CTGTGGGTTTTTTCAAAATCTATTTAAAAAGCATCCTCTTTGTCTCGCAGGGACCGCATAGCGTATTACGACTAGGCTTACATCACCAGTTTTTAGCCTTTTTAACCTTTATAAAAATACGTGTCTTGTCATTGCGTGGCTGTGGTAGCATCACAGCCACAGTACAGTAAAAACCTTTGTCGCAGCTTAGTTTGGGTCTCTCTTCTTCTCTGTCCATTTAATGCTATCACCTATACAATATGTCAATATAAGGCTGCTATCAATTATAGGACAGACGTGCTTAACTAGAGTCGCGCATCGGATATTCAGGCGTAAAATAGAGCGGACTTGCTCAAACGTTTTTAATAGACCGCTATACTGTTTCTCGATATGATCACTAACCGCGCGATGCTTATTTCTTCGAAGTTTTTTTTTGTTATAATTGCAGCCGGCCCTTTCGTATGTGAGCGTTTTCTTATTTGTGAATTGGATCTTCACGGTTATTTTTAATTCTGCCGCTATCTTACAGCTACTACAAGGAATTATTAAGCTCGGATCTGCTGTAGCTATCGGACCCCTGTACCTGTCAATGGTACCGAAATGGGCCTGATTAGCCCAGTGTGGCCGGTGCAATGTGCAGTAGTTTACGAACCGAGTACCATAGGTGCTCCTTTTACAACATGCAGTAGCTAAACTCTGCCACGCTTTGCTGCATACGTATGGTTTTCGTCTGCTTGCCAATGCGCTGTCATGCTCCTCAACATTGTGAAGTGTAAGGAGAAAAAATCGGCAGTTGGTGTGAGAACCGTGCTCAGCGAGCTGGCCTGCCCTGTTCAGCCGCCAGCCTTAGGAAACAACGGAGTGCCAACGCAATTCCTGGTGCATATGCGGCCGACATGCTAGGTATATACTGCAGCTTCTACCGTGGTAACCGTCGGTACTGATGCTGCTGGTACCAATGGGCGGCGCGGTCTCTTGCCATACACTGTTTGCTGCTATGCAGGTTTTTCGCCGAATGATCATGGCCCCGCCATGTAGAAAAAGACAAAACACGCACACACGGTGAGTAACAATGCCTTCGAAAACTCTCCCATTCTCACCGAGAAAATAGAGTACGCGCAGACGGTATAAGGCAGCAGCGGGCTGAGCTGTCTCAGCTGTCTGCAGCCAGGAACTTAGCGGCGGCCGCGCGGAACGTCCACACTGGTGGAAGATGCATCGTAGCTCAAAACGCACACAGATGGGCTTGTGATACAGTAGAAACCAACAGAGCTAATGTTCTATTCTATTTATGCTACTGATGTCTTTCAGTCTCACCGCGATCACAAAACCGACCGGCACATCTTTGCCGATACAGATAGCCAGATAGAGACAATCGGCGTGACTGCATGCGCAAATTGCCTAAGGTTTGCTTTTGTTTCAAGCCGTGACAATAGTTACTAGTACCTTCCTTGCGCCAGTAGAATTTTTAAGCAAGAGATCGCTGCCTAACTATTTAGAGCCAAGTACTAATAAAAAGACAGCGAACATTTAGTGAGAACGAAGACAAACGATAAGAAAAAAGTGCGCACAAAGTGGGACCAGACGTGTATCGCCCTTGATGCTATATCTGATTGAGCAGGAGCTGCCAACAAGAAACTTATTATTTATAAATGTTATTGTATAATAAATAAAAAAAAAACCTTCCTTAAAAATACCCGTGCTACAAACGCACCCTTTGATTGAGCAACAAAGATTTGTATTTGCGTTTGTCATAATAAGGCAGGCTAACTAATGAACGAGTTAATTACAATGATTTTAGCATAGTAGCAGCAATACGAGTCGCAGATTTAATGGATATATATACACATATATGGCTACTACTTACCATTGTGAAAAATGATCTGCAGTACCGCTTGCGCTCCTATGATTCGAACGGAATGTACGGTTTTTAGGGAATTTCACCGCGGTCGACTGGAGTCTTCCCGTATGAATTAGTAAGTCTATAATCTACTTGTTAGCGTTGTGACTATTAATCTACTGCTAAAACGTTACACTTGATTACTAGTTCGATTTGCAACGTTTAAAGGTGGTTGTCGCCTTACGTCGAGCGCAATTCACTTATAATCTTCGCTGCTTCGTTGATCTTCGTATTTTTGTCTTGATCCTTCTTTTCGGCTCAGTTCAGATACTGTGCGGGCGACCGAACGAGTAGCAGGCTATTTCAACGCTGAAGCACGAATACACACGCACACATGCAGCCAGGAACACCGTCAGATAATAACATGAACTTTGTGCCGCTCATGCAGAAAATTTTGACGAATATCGCTGATAACTCCTGCTGCTGTTACCGGCAAAAACGCAACGAGAATGGCGAGTTTACCCGCACTAATGATTGTTATTATTATTACTAATACTTTATAGGACTACCACTGTTTCTAATAATAATCATAATATGTACATATGCACGACGAGGGAATGCACGATGCTGCTGGCTGCAACGTCCTGTCTGTTATCAGACTAAACAAACAGTGAAGCTACAGTAACAATAGCAGTATTACGACAATTTATTTTTTTAATTTTTCATCATTCTATAGAAACACAGTCACCTTATAGTAAATGCAAAGAACATTACAGATTATATTTTTCCCTCCGTTCCTGCTACATCACCAGTGGACGTAACGGCATCCGTCAAACGGGTAAGTTCGCTCGCTCACTCGCTCGCTCACTCACTCGTGTACGATTGTTTGTCGACTGGCGAATTTTGCATTAGTCCTTTCCGCTGCGGTGAACTGCGGCAATAAACAATCCGACGTCTTTCACGACTTAAAGGACCTGTTGCAAAGGCCAGTGGAGCTTACTGGGTTGGCGGACTACGTGATTTCTGTTCATCGGTCGATTCAGAATTCTATTTGTAATTCTACCAATCAATCTCAGTTGTTGGCGTTGTTCTTGTTCTAATTGTTACTACAGTCACAGTGACAGAACTGTAAAAGTAATATTTCTCTACTCTACGTACACTTCTAAACAACTACGACAACACAGAACACCACCGCCTCTTGTGTGATCCTCTCAGTAAATACGACGGGAAACAGCCAGTGAAAGCGGGAAAAAGGACCCAGCGCCGCTGGTGCCACTGTTATTTCCCTTTCGACAGAATGATCGTACACACACAAAACGCTCAGACCCACGGCTGCACGAACGGAGGACCGGACACAGCCAGCATATAGAGGCAGCACTTGCTGCTGGGCTGCCTATTCGCCTATATCTTTATGTTTTGCTGCCAAACTTTCCAGCTACTGCTAACGCTGCTACTGTACTCTGGGTGCCGTTCGCATCTGCGCCTGCTGCTGCAACCGCTGCACTGGGCTTATCGAAGGAGCTAGCAAACGACCATCCCATCACCTCTGAGGCCACGACGACGTGTGGCGTGCGATAGTACGGAACGAACACCACACGAGAAACACTGCGCCCCCCTGGCGAAGGTCTCTACGGCTCTCCTCTCTTTTGGCTCCGCTCGACCCCCTAGGAACGGGTCGACGTTCTGAGAATTATTGCGGTGAAGGGAATCGTGTGCTGTGCACCGCCAACCTATGTACACCGAGAATGAAGTAAAAGATAAATTCAAAAAGAATGGCGCAATAGTAAATGTACATGGGAAAAGATCTGTTATTTTCGTAGGATGTATGCGAAAAAGTTTGACTTTGAGCAGAAAAAACAGGTAAGCAGTGGATGTTCCGGAAAACTAACGTTCCGGAGAGTTAGAGACGTTCGATTCAAGAATCTCAGCTAAGCGCTATTGTTATCGTATAGTTAGCTGGAAGTTCGATTGTGGAACAGCGCGGACATAACAGAAGCTTGCTTAAGACTGCCGTTCGCAAATGTTTATGTCTCGGAAATTTTTCTTCCGTAGACAGCACTGGTTCTTTGATTGTTCAGGAAATGTGTCCATTGTTTATAGAACTCGCTTGAATGCGTTGAATATATGGCTATTGTGCTCAAAATCTAAACTGATATTTTTCTTAGTTGAGTGGTTTCCTAATTAGGAATTAGTGATCTGAACAAATGTGAAGTTATATGGCAGAACTCTTTATTCCTAACGTCAGAACTTGACGGCTGTCAGACATGTTCAACATTTGCTTGTGATAGTTATGATGCTTGAAATTGACTACTATATGCCTTTTAATGCTCTGCTAATCTCAGAAAGAGTAATACTAGAAAAGCATATGGTACTGTAAAAGACTAATGGAAAATCGATTTTTCTAACAGGATTTGGGCATTTGATGTGTTTCGCCTGTTCGAAAAAGTAGATTAGAAAGACGATAATTCAGCCGAGGGCTAATTTGCCTCTAAAATTAACACTCTCTGTTGTGAATGAATACGCAAATCGGGTGTCAAATGCAAATTATTTATTGCCGTATTAACAACAAAAAAAATCTTACTTAAACAAACACATTCAAGTTTAATTGTTTTATCTTAAGGTATAGCGTGCGTAATGAACAGACGCCCGAATTTCTCCGATAATACTTTTTGGTACACAGGTGGGGCTGGTCGATTGTCTTCAAAAGCATTCATTAATTAACTTTTCAGAAAATTCTGAATTGTTATTAGTAAATGTTCAAATCCACGTAGACACATAATAAGCACCTAATGCTCCTCGTGACAACTAATTTTATATAAATATGAAAAATGCCGATTACATTAATTAAGTTACATTAGAGGCTGGAACACAGCCCCTTTTAGAGGTATTCATTTATTGTTTACGAGGTAAGACAGAAGATAGTTTTTGCAAGTTTTGCATACATTGTTTTTCTTATATTTAGCTGATGTTCCGAAGCGCACGGTTTATGATTTCAGTTTGGATTCGATTTTTGGGACCGGGGGGTCTTCAAACAGACGACCCCAGCAGAATGCTTTACCATTGAATATGAGAATTGAGGTATCTGAAAATAACAGGTACATGTTCAGACCTACGCGCAGTGTGATAGACGTCGAGTACCTGCCTCTTTTACTCATGCGAATGAAAGGAGTGAGTAATATCTTATATATGTAGATAGCTAACGCGGATGCTGTGACAAAGGAGTTCAATGATCATATGGTGTATATAGCTCGGTGTTTCTGTTTAACATTGCCTGTCTAGGTACCGTCAGCTGGTAAAATCTGGCTTGTTTTTCAGATGAATACGTGCTCATTGTGTAATAGGACATTTCCTTTTCCTTACACGGATAAATAGCTTAACATAATTTATCATTGGTCACACAACTCAAACAGAGGAGAACATATTCATTATCTAGAAACATCAGTTCTTCCAAAAAGTAAAAATTATTATTATATAATTATAACATCATAAACCAAATAGTGTTAAGCAATAAGTACGGGATATAGTTCGTGAGTAACTCGCCGCTTAGCGAGCACTGCCGGGGAACCATGAGACAGTCGGGGAAAAAATAAGCGGACACTCGACGCTACTGCATTTAGGTAAATAAAAAAAAGTCATATATTCGCTTAGATACTCAATCGCACGTAAAGTAGTGAAGCCTGCTTTAATTTTCAAAATACAATAAGGAAATCGACACAACGTTGCTTCGCCATGAAATGATCGACGTTTTACAGTTATGTACGTATATATGTACATATTAAAGTCAAGCGAGAGTTGCGCTTCGGGGCAAACCGCAAAGCAAGCACGAGGCATTTTCTCAGACAATAAAATAACAGACTGAGTACACGCATCGAAAGTACTCAGTGTCCGATGTAGTACTTGCCAGTGTCTAATTATTCGACATTAGTAATAATAAGTTATCATATACGAAATGTTTACTATACATACAAGAGTACTATCGCAAATAGTTTCATACGTTTGTCTTTCATAGATTCGTTATCTGAGGCTATTTATCTGTTGGCTTATCCGCGCACTTATCGGTCCCAGTGAATACAACGCTAGTAATTATGAGAAATGGTAAAGCATGTCTGCATATTGGTTTTTTTGAGTTGACTTGCGTTGATGATTGCTTTGGCAGTACTTTGAGATTTGAAACAGGTCAGGGTTTTTAAGATTAACTAATATTCTGCAAGCTGCCCCCTCTGATGCGTGTTGAACTTAATATGGGTGCATCCTATGCATCATTCGAAACTTCGTCGTATAGTTTTTTAACCCGGCTTTTTACATATACGATTACTGACAAATCAATTCGCATTTACATTAACTGGAACAAAAGATCTATCTCCTCAAATTTGTACCGCGCCGATGAATTAATGAATTGTTGTTTACATCCATAGAGAAAGGGTGAGAATCAGCTGTTCGGAGGATTACTGACTCTATCAGATAGTGTGCCGGGCAATTTAATAACGTTTCTTCTATCTTCAGTACGTTGAGTATTTCGTGGACATATTTATTGGGAAGACTTGTACACAGGTCTAATAATGGCAGGTGCTCCATTTTGCCTGCAGGGTCTACGGCAACTTTTGCAAGCTCAGATACGAGAGAAGAACTTTAACGCAGTTCTTACTAATGTAAGTACATATACGCAGTACCTCAAACACAGACGGTAACAGGACACAAGCGAACCAAAGCAATCATTATATCATGACACGGTTCGCAGTGTTTGGCTTCTGTTACCTTACTTACAAAGCGCTACATGATGAGGGTTGTCTATAAAATGCTATAAAGCTGTCTTTTTTGTATCATTCCGACAAGTGTAGCTTATTTACTTGAGTGGGTTAGCTTGCGAACTTGTGACACGAACCGTGTAAAACCGTGTAAACCAAGTGAATTAATATATCCAACGTTATCTAGATTGCAGAGTAAAATGAAGTCTGGCGATAGAACCCAACTAAATCAGGTGTATGCTTGTAATTTGGTAGCTCAGTTTATGTTCTTTCCTCCAATATGTGACCATATATAGTGAAAAACGTTGCCGGTTGTGTTATTCTGTTTCAGTCTGACGTGTGCATTTCGTAGGGGGCGCTGTCACGATGTCAGCTCCACCTGCAGGCCCACCGCCACAGGTCCCACCGGGGCCTTATATACCCTTTACAGCGTTAACCGCAACCCGAAATATAGTCTCTTCCAGCAGCACGCCACAGGATCCCGTTACAGCTGTAACGCGTCGCTGGGCTTATCTGAGCCGGGAATACCCGATAGCCATCGTGAAATACTTTGACATTGAAGCGATCATCCAGGACGGTCCGCAATGTGGGCTTGTTGCATTGGCTATGATTGCAATCGCTCTCGGCCGTAAAACGAGCGTCGACGAAATTTTCGCCTGGGCCCATGAGCAGGGTTTTACGGCTCTCGGAGAGATGTTTGATATTCGCAATATGAAGAAGTTATGTGTCAAGTTTGTTGAAAAACCATCTACTGTAATAGCGTTTCCGTCCAAAAAAACTATGGTCTCCGATCTTATCAAGGGCAAACTGTTTCTCGTTCCATACGACGCTGATGCTAATCACGAGCCGTGCAGAAAGAATGGTCGTTCTAGCCACTGGGCTGTCGTTTTTGGCGTGTTATTAATGCGGCACGAGTGCTACTGCCTTGAAGGATTGCCGAAGTTATCCGCTGATAAACCAATTTACCGTGCCGAACTTGGCTATGACTGTGAAATGGGTGGAAGAGAGTTTCTATTTGCTCGACAGGGCAAAAGTCGACATGTCGCCGTGTGGTCATTTGAAGAATTATACAATAGTTGTATGCAATTAAATGAAGCTAGCAAAAAGTATGAGGGAATGATTGTCCCCGAAGGTGGGCTAGCGGAAGGTCTAAGAGGAAAAGTGATAAAGATCCATCTATGAAGATAAGAACGTCGAAGTAAACATTTTTGCTCAAAATGCTCAATTCCAAATGTTGTGCATAAGTTGGATAACTATGTACGTCTCCTATTGTACTTCGATTGCTAGAAATGTTTCTAAGTTTTCTAAGCAATTATGTATTACCTCTAACGGAACAGTACATAATGTTCAATGTTTACAATCAATTATATCGAAAAGCTTCATTCGTTGAAGTTTTTCGATATAATTGATTGAATCGATGAAGATCGTTCAGTGTGATATCTTAAACTGGGTGAAACAGCACAGCTAATTGATAAAGATCCTGTAATTGCGGCGGAAACGATTGTAGGTTTAGTCAAGGAACGACCCATACCTTTAGGTTGATGCTTAACCTCTTCGACGAGGAACGACCCATGCCTTTAGGTTGATGCTTAACCTCTTCGACAGCGCCTTATCAGAACTTCTGTATCGTTAGTATTTCAAATATGCCATAATCATTTCTTGTTCGCCAAATGGAAGAATCGCTGAGTTTTGTCGTAAGGCGAACACCACCTGCTCACTTTTCTGGAAGTTGTCCTGACGGCGCAGAGACAAAGTGCGTTGAAAATAAATAAGTGTTTTTCAAATAAAAATTTCATTGTTTTTGAATTCTTCTTCTCTTTTGAATTGCTCGATCGAGTTGGCACTTCTATAAACTGTCTAATTTATGGTTATAAGAGCACTACTTTTTTTTCAGTTCTAGCGTTAAGTATCAGTAATACTTAATGCTAGAACTGAAAAATAAGTAATTGATAAGATGTCGAAAAAATTATGTAAACAGTTAAACTAATGTGCTATATAATGACTGCAAAAAAATTGACTGCTTTGCAGACAACGGAGATATTTCCACATAAGAAGTTGATGCATTAAACAAAATGCTCATCCTTGAGTGGCTATTTGTGACTGGATGAAAATATCTCATCAAAGATTTGATCCTATTCTATTCGAGCTTGTTTCTACTGATTTTCAGCTCGAGCTAAAATCAGCCTCTGATGGACGCTGCGTTGCAGAACTTCTCGTAACGCGCCCGCATTTGAATGTAGCGCGAACGTTGCACGGAGGTCTATCAGCCACCCTGGTTGATTCTGTTTCTACCTTTGCTCTGCTAACACAGCGAAATGTCCGATCTGTGAGCGTTGATTTGAGTGTCAGGTAAGCAGGCACCTTTAAGGCTCGATCGCTACCTAGTTAGATCTGTAATAAAAAAACTTATTTTGATCCACTATTGTCGCCAACTTTTTACTATTATAACTAAGGGGAATTCAAGTTTCAGCTCGACCAGTCCATCTACTATTAATCTATCTCCGTAATGTATACTATATATATGATACAGTTACTATGATACAGTTTTATTAAGTACGGAATGTTTTTATTTGCCATGAATAAGTGTAGAATTGCAATGTGATAAAACGGCCGGGATTTACTAGGAAGCACATCTGATTATTGCCGAAGTATAGATTGTTTATCACCATACAGACGTGTAGTTTAAATGACACAGCCAATATAAAAGAACCATAAAAAACGTAGGATTATTATTATTATCATCAGACCGCACATAAGCGAAAAGACTTCTTTGACAAACATTTTATATTGTTATTATTACTTTTGTGTAGTTTCATAGGTCCTGCAAAAGAAGGTGATCTAATAACAATAGATGCGACTACCCTTAAAGTGGGCCAGACATTGGCCTACCTTACCGTTGACATTCGCAAACAGAGCAAACTCATCATTACGGGAAAACATACGAAGTTTTTACAACAGAACGTCGACTACTATGGAAATAAGTTTTAGGAAATCATGTGTATTAACATTGTGTGCTCAATATGCATGTCTAAGTGTCTGGTGTAATAAATAACTTAGCGATGTAAGATATCATTTTTATAAGCTGCCAAAGCTATCTGCGTAATTCTCTATGGAGTGAGTAGTCGCAGGAAGGTTCCTATAAAAACTATCTAGAATAAGCTACAACTTTTTGTGAAATTGATTTTTGGCCTCCTAATCTCTATATCTCCAGATTAAATTGAATAAATGTAAAAAGTTCAGTTGTACTGCAGTTCAGCGATTCAAAATACAAAAGACGCTAAAATAAAGTATATAATAGTTCAGTTTCTGCTGCGTTTGCGATATAAAACCTCCCGTATGAATAAAACTGTGTGAAACTTTAAAAACAGAAATATCATTTTAGAGTAGAGAAGAGTTTCTTTGATAAAAATTTCATAATTGCATGAAGTTAAGTAAAACATTTACTTTTGCAGGAACTGTTAAATAAGGCTTAATGAAATAAACTGTTATTATGCCATCCATCATGATGTCGGTCTTGGCGAAGTCGTAAAAATGTTGTTGTTTTTTTTTATCTCCTGTTACCTTTTTCTACAAGGGCACGGGTAGATTTTTGCTGGATACCCCTGAACTTTCAAGTACTTGAATAACATAAAGATGTTATGAATTGCCATAAAGACCTATTAGATTTTTCTATTATATTTACAAAATCTTTAGCCACGTATGTTGAAATCGAATACGAAAAATTCCTTACTTGTCCAAAATGTATACTGTTATCTGTAGTGTGGAGTAGGCAACTGAATTTTAAAGCTGAAAAAAGAATAATCTACTATTTATGCGCCAGGAGTATAGCCAAAAAATTTTGTAGCCAAGATAATGCGGAAAACCTTCAAAAAGGAAAAGAAGATTTGGCCCTATTTGGTATTCATAACAGAACGCTGGACAATTTATTGCGAAGTCTGCAGGCTCCCGAGGAAACTGTTGAATATCAAACGAGCGTAGTAAATATATAAAAATATCAGTCCGCAAGTTCAGCTACTACTTCCGCTAATTAATTCAACCTTATCCGAAATCCTTCGATTCCGTCTCCTATACAAAATCTGAGACAACTATAACTAACCTAAATATCCTGCAGATCTTCAGATCAAACACCAAAATATTAACTGTACACGAAACGTAGAGTGTCGTAGTCGACAACTCATGATTCTATCTTAACTAGACGACTGAGTGCTTAAACACCACCGAATAATATAACTGTTACTGATGCGCTATAGTGATTCACAAATATATAGATCGGAAGAATGCCAATGATGAGAATGATTTGTAGATACAGAAATACAGAGATCCCAAAATGCTAGTAAGTCACAAAGATCATTTCTCGCAGAACAATAGCGCTTTCACAACATCACTTTACCTATATTATCGGCCTAGGCAAAAGGTAGCAAAAACGTTCTCCGCTACGAAAATAATTCGTACGGGCATATAACAATGGTTATAGTCAGACTTCCCGATTCCTAAGCATCTTTTACCTAGAATGAGTCAAACTGAAGATGGATCTTCCTTTGAACGCGAAATGTCTAAAAAAAGGACGATTGCAGTACCAGCGGAGGAGGATCGAAGTTGCGCGCATCAATATCAGCGGCATCGGCGTCACTATCATCATTACGGGATAATAAGAAATCTACCAATCAGTTTTGGCCTTGCCGCGTTGTTCGATGGGAGATGCTCCAAGGAACGCAGTAGTTCAAACATGGAAATCTCCATCCCGTGCATCGTGGACGCATGTTTATCTCATATGTTAACGTACGATGGTACAGCCCGTGGAATAGTGCTTGCTACCAAGTACTTAATATCAGTCTCTCTTTGCGCAGCCATTTGTGTAGTGCTCTACTGTTTATATTACAAATTTGGTCTCCTGTAACGTAATATGTGAATACTATTCAACTACTGAATGTATTCAAGAAAGTAGCTACGAACAGAGCAGCATCTCTAAAGATTCAGATGTACATAACCTAAAAAACTTTTTATCTTACAGACTGTGTTGTGTGTGATCTAATATTTAACGATTTAATATTAGCAATACAAAAAGTAATTTATTATTACAAACAAACAATAACTAACAAGCCAATTCAACAAACTAAGCTCATATTCTCGATTTCATTTTCTGCGAACGAAGATTGCTTGGTAATGAACTAGGAAAAAACAAAGGATTACCGCTTAACATGTGTATCGAAACAGTGTAAAATACCGAGATAAACAAGCCAGTGATATGACATTAGCCTACTAAATACAGCCAAGGCTTAAGCTACTTAGCAGTGTCGAAAATTTAGAAAAACTTAAATTATCCACTACCCACAGTCGAGTTCTGGTTAAGTCGGGTTTCCGTAGTTACCGAGCGAGCGTGATCAGAGAAGTTTAATGAGGCAAGATATGAAGAATCATTTCGTACCGAAAATCTATGATTAGGTATATGTTCTTCAAAAGTAACAGCGCTAGTAAAATTTTACAAAAATTAATGAGCAATTTATCATTAGATTAATTACGACCTATAATTCGCTGCTGGTGCAGCCATTTTAATCCAGGTTGAAGGCCTCAATCGGTAGAACAACTTGCTGTAATCACGAAAAATGAGGACGAAAAAAATGAGCAAAATATTACATTCTTGCATATATGCATCGTAAACATAAAATAGGCCGGCCTTTTTTATTCGCTGCAGCTGTTGCTAAAAAACCACATCTTCAAATTGTGCAGTATAAAATAGGTAAGGCATAATGGGTCAATTTGTTGTTAGAAGGTGACGATGCAATGCAAACTAAGAAGATACTTTGATTTCAAAAGCAAAGAAAAGCTGGTAATAGATTGGGTTATTAATTCAATAAGAACGTTAGAATTTGATAGTTTGATATTATTCTTTTTTCAGCTCAGTTGACGTAGATTATCTATACTTAGCGTAGCGCCCTAAAAGACATACACGTTTCGTGCAGTTCACTCCCTATCGAGACTCCTAAACTTGTGTGATATTATTACGTCCTCAACCTTGGACTAAGGTATCTTTTATTCAAGGAACTGTATTCAAAGGTGCTACTGGACAAGAGCATCTTTTTCGAGCATTTACTTCATGGGTATTGAATAATGACTTTTTAAATATAAGTCAACATATTGTCGCTATTTGAAATATAGAAAGAACCGAACAGTATATGCTCCGATAGGCAAATTATTGTACTATTAACTGCTTTATAATAAGATTAACCAGGGTCATATAAAATCTAGCCCAAACAACACACATTCATTGACAAATAATAATAGCAAAAGAATACACGCTGAACGCAGACCATATGCAAAAAAAACGCGGGATAAAGGCTGTAATATTATATAATTTCGAAGCTTCATTTAGCCCATTTTTGGACGCGCTTTGATTCAACTGGAAAAACCAATGGAGTTGGTAAGGTTTATTAATTCTTGTGTGCATACACATGTGTACAAAGAATATTAGTCTGTTTTCTATCGACCTTAATATAAACATTGATAGACTTTCACGTAATATATAATGCAAAAGAAAAATTTTTCTTTTAGAACGTCTCAACGTCATTGAAAAGTCTGGCCAATTTCTCATAGCATCGTTAACACGGGTCGTGTACCGTCCACTCGGATATATAGATTGGCACACAAAAAACGTATTTAAACAACCATAAATATGACAGTAAAAAGCCTATTCCTACTGAAATGTTTTGCTTTAAGGTGTTTACCTGTTTCGCTGGCCGTACAGATGACTCGATAAATAACATTTAATTTAATAATTAAATTCCGTACAAAATCGATTCGTTCTTGCCCCTTCGTGTAATGTTAGATACATTTATAACATCGTTCTACATATGGGCAACCTGAGTAAGTTGTAAAATAATGCCATAACGAGAGGGTTGAGGCTAAGCTGCTAGTGACAAACAAGAAAGTGCAGGAAAAACGTTGTCAGGATGATCGAGCACCATTCGCTCGACACAGCGACGGCGCAGAGGCGACACCTCGTACGAGAGCTTGTAGCCATAGCAATAACTGGCCCAAGTTTTGTCACCGCGCGGCCAGTGTTTATATCATACGAAAATGAGTACAAAACGACACTTCACCGCGTTGGACTAAATGGTCCGTATTTTTTTTTTTTGCTACATAAAGGCCATCTGCAATCAATTTCTCAGGAGGTCTTTTCCCATTCTACGGTTCCCATTGAAAAAGGGTACCATTCTTTAATGGTAAGCCTTACCTAGTTCCGTATGACGCTGGCATCGGCGGAATCCTTTCGAAGGACAGGGACGCTAAATCACATTGAGCCCTGGTATTCGGCGCGGTAGTTATGCGGCTTCACTGTCGAGTCTAATGACTCGACAGTGAAGTTCTCAGCAGACATGGAGAAAATGAACCGGAATTCCTGCTTGTGCACCAATGAGACTGAGTTGTCTCACAAATAGAGCCCTATCAATGTGAACGTATTGCCGAGGCTACATATCTCAGAGAACGAAAATAGCGCAGGACTACGGAGCAGGCTCCAAAGAATCGATGCCTTAACGTCTCACCAGAGTTTCTCCGGCGGTTTTTGCGACTATATTTATCTTTAAATTTCCGTAATAACATATCTGATTTCATTTATATACACAAATACAACAATCCCAACTAGAGACCGCCGCTGAATAGGCGCAAACGTCGTATGCAGAATTTATGATTAGTTAAACGGGGAGATAACCTTGATGTTCGCGGCATGACCACTGCTAGTTTGAGTTTAGAGTAATACTATTTGCAGATTCTAGCCTAAAACCATGCAGGACGATTGCGTATATTTTATGAATACCCGTTTGATATGGATAGAACTTCTTAAAGGGACACTTCAGGGCAACTAGTATTTCGCGTCACCATAGAGCGTACGATAAAAGACGCGTTCTATTCAAATAAATAAAGATCTAGTTCTTAATTTTAATGAACATGGACACGAGTTTCTATTTAATTTAGCTTTGAAACGTTTAAGAGATATGTGTCATCGTGCCAACAACATAAATATTATAGTCTCAATACTTGTTACTATTATTAACATACATATAAAAACATAGAATAATAAGAACTTCGTATGAAGATGAGTTTGATAAAAATAACTTTATTAAAATACGAGCACTTCTTATTTGATCATGGTAACTTGATTGGTTTTGGGCAACACTGCCTATTGCCACTTTCATACCATCTTAAGAGTTCTCATCTCTATGCGTATCAATAAATAATACAACGTCTATTACAAATAATTTAATAGCAGTAGTAATGGAAGTAATTACAAGAATGAACCGGTACTTGAGCTGCACCGTATGTTACAATTTAATTTAACGGTCGTTTTGTGAATGTAATTAAAAGTTGTACATCTTTTTTGTTGAATAGCGTTTGCCTTCTACGTCAATTAAATTCATCCAGCAACTTTAAAGCCTAAAAGCGTCTGACTTTCCGTTAATTTGGTATTCCATTTATTTATTAGTCGCTCTTTGAGGGTACTACTCTTCGTCGACCATAAATTTGGCCGAACAGTTGCCTTCATTACCACTTCATTTGTATATATCAAAAGTCGTTCTATATATATCATTCTCCGTTAGCTAAATATTCAGGTTCACGTGTCAGGTGGATAATTTTTCCTTCCTCCACATCGTATTTTTACTAGTGTTTCTTCAAGGACACATTTTCAACATCATGCGAGCGGAAAGTAAAGAAAACGCTTTCATGTTTACATAATAATAATAAAATATAAAATAAAATAAAATTGTTATTGCGACAGGAAAAAACGCTGTGAAACTTGAAGTTTCGAACTTGAAGAAAACCAGAAGGTAGCATTACCAGCAGTGCAAGAAAAGTTGTGTGTCTGATTCGATGCTTTCTTGAAACAATGCGCACATTTTCACCACTATATTCGTCAACTCAGTACCGTAGAAGTCATTTATCAGCAATTCTTAATTGTAAAACAACCAAACCACACGTCTTTCTCATAGTATCACTGGCGGATTCACACATCAATGGTTCTTAGTTCATAGGTGATCGATTTACGATATATGTGAGGCAAACAGCTAAAATACTAAAAAGTAGTTGTCTGAAGAAAAGCTGCTTCAACAGCCACGGAACCGATGTCTCGCAAAGCGACAAAAAGGAAAAGTTTCAGAGAGAGGTTGGCAGTGCCGCGTTTATTTTATTTTCATTTTGCTTCCCGAACGAAATGATTGTTAGCATTCATCAGTCTTCTATATGTGAATTTTCGACAATGCTGTCAAGTTTGTTGGCTTTTGCATAGGTCCTTGTCGCTAGAGTTGTATATCCCAGAGCTTCACGTTGCTATCCTGACCCGTTGACACGATCGTCCTGTTGTCGATCCAAGCAACTTTGGTAATCTGCGCTTGAGGGTGGGCCTTTTTAAGTATTAGATGCTTCATCGGGTTTTCCACACTCCAAATAATCAATGAGGTGTCCAGACTACCAGATGCAAGAAACAACGAATTGGGCGCCCATGCGAGACAGTTGACCTGTAGAATCATGGAAATATTGCTAGAGATAAGGATATAGCTTGATGAAAAGCTTTGCAAAAAGATCGTGTCACTACTCCTACACCTAGGAGTGAACTCGCCAGTTTTTCTTGGAGATATCAGGTATCTGTTAACGACACAAAGTAGATTAGATGGGGTCTGGGGGAGGCACAACATATTCCTGTTAAACTGTTATTTAAAAAATGGTCAACAAAATAGTTTGTTTTCAGAAAAAGTTGAGTAGTTAGAGGTAAATTGCGCTTGCATTTATGGCTCATACTTTAGCGGTATGGAAGCACCAATCGAGATCATGGGCTGGGGCATAGCTGTCCTGAACCGAATAAAGGCGTATCATACGATTCCCATCGCAGGCGGCCAGAAGGTTCCCTTGGGGGGAATACTTGATGTCCGTGATGGCCGCACGGTGCTCCATTGTCGCACGCTCGTCTAACTCATTCGGGGTGATCGCATACACGTGTACCTATAAGACCCAAATAAGCCGAACCGACGACAGAGAACATTTTCGAATTTGTGCGGTAAGCAACGATATTCTTGTGTACCGTACGCATCAGAAGCGTTAGCTCAAACTGATTAATAAGCTAATTACTCTCAGGAAATACGCTCGATAATTTTTATTGCGCGAATCTCACTTTATTGTCACTGCAGCTTCCCACGGCGACGTGGCTTCCCTCTGGGTGGATAGAAATACATGATGCCTCATACTTTATAGGATGAACTATTTTTTTACTTTCGCCTTCGATAATTGCAATGTCCTGGTGTTCAGCCACTGCTATCAAACGGCCATCTGTTGAAATGCCGCGAGGTTGCGATTCAGCTGACACTGTCCAGAGGCTGGAAATAATAGAAGGCGTACCCAATTCACCCGTTAGCACATCATCGTTAACTTACGTACGAGAAACGCACAATTTTTATATTATCCGCGTTGGTCCCGGTCACGCACGCTATGATAGGCACGTTACAGAGCCCGACCCAGTGTGGAAAACACCTTTGGAATTATGTAGCGGGCTGGCTAAATGCTATGGGCTAAGCTAAACGTAGTTTTTAACACCGGTTTTAAAACTGGTTGATTATATGATCGACAGACGCGAACATTACTTAGCAATACTGGTCTGGAATAACACTTCATTAACATCAAAGGTGCTTTTAATGAAACAAATATGTAGTAATAAAACATTTGGAAATTATGTGATTCCAAGGCCATGGCTTCCGTCATAATTGGGTCCGATGCCGGAAAGCTTGCTGAAGCACTTTTCTCGGAGAGATCAGACAACGAGATTTTTTAATAGAATTCTTTTTCCCTCGGAGCATCTTGGGGAGTTCTAGTGAATTAAAATATTGAGTTGCATGACTTACGCGTATTCATCGGCAACGGGATCAATTTTGCGAAGGGTATCATCAAATCCACAGGTGTAAATGCTGTCAGGACTAACGCACATGTCTTGTACCTGGCTCGTATGGCATTGACCCTTTACACGGTCCTGCTCTCCCGTCGCCAACTGCCATCTGCAGGATACGAAGAATACCAATAGCATCAGGCATTGTGTCGGTATGGGTGATACACAAATCACTTTTAATAATAATTATAATAGCGAACGACGTATTAAAATAAGTCGGTACTTCTGCCGATTAATTAATGGGAGTAATTGTACCATGCATTCAGGCGCATACATTCTTATTGTTTCCAATCATCACTTACATACGTCAAACCCATAGGTTAAAGCAATTGGCCGCGAAAAATGTAAGCTGTCTGTTCAACCCCTCTCAAGAAAATAATTTTTATCAAAAATTCGCATTTACCTGGTGACGAAACCATCATGACTTCCGGTATAGATTTTGGATTTATCTTCTGACACTGTCATAGCTGTAATCGGTTTATTGTGACCTTTAAGAACGCGAAGCGGTTTAGCTGGGTTGTTCTTGTCCAAGTACGAGATGAAGCCAGACAGACCGACCGATAGCAGGTGTTCGTCTTGCCAGAGGCACGATACCTGCTGGTCCAGCACGTCTGTGCCCATTACGAACTGTGTGACTGCCTTAAGGCTTTCAACGTCCCAGATTTTGCAGGATTTGTCGCCCGAAGATGACAGCAGCTGGGAGCCGTCTGGAGACCATGAAACGCCATACACTCCGCCCTTGTGCGCTGGTGAGCCACATTCGCCGATCAGTTCATACGTGTCTGCGTTGTAGATGAAGATTTTGCCATCGAAACCTCCAGTAGCGAAAAGCTTTCCGTTCCGCGAATAGCGCACTGATTGAACATACTTGCTGTGATGTTGAAGTGACGTTTTGTACTTGAATGGAGGTCCCTCGTAAATGTTTGCCATATTATCTTCTGAACCCGTGAGAATACGGAACGGGCGTGAGGGCCTGATGATAAAGTACAAATAGAGCTCAAAACATCACTATGCACTACTTTCTTTACACTATTGATTTTGGGAGAACAAAGCGAATTAGTCAGTATTGTTTGTAAAGGAATAGCTTCAATAGGTAGCAGTAGAAATGACAGACTTAATTGTTAAGTTTCTAAAAACTTATTCACTTTTCAAATCGCGTTACCTATGCTAGTCGAAGAAAAGATAGAATCTACATTCTGTCTTTTGTTCATTCCATACACAATGGAGGTTGACACACAATGGCGAAGCTTATACTATTGTATATATGTGCACGAATATCAATAGCTGAGCGTCGTCAGATAAATGAAAAAAAAGCCTACCGGAAATCAACCGAGTTGATGGTCCCACTATGTCCACCGATCTCACCAACGGACGTTCCCGTCTCAGCAGCGATAACGTGGCCAAATCTTTCTCGGCCTTCTCCAACAACAACGATGCGCTGGTTATCCGGGGACCAGGCAAGATCTTTAATGGTACCGATAAATGGCTACAACAACAACAGCAACAGGTAAATGTTAATGGCTGTTATTGGCAGTCCTAACAGAAAAGTATAATGCTTACATGATGGCATTTCAGGTAAACCTAGTATAGTTTAACTCGACCTTTATAGCACCCAGGAAGTATGTAAAAGTCGTATTACACCCAGAAAGGTGCCGCTCAACATTGTGGGTTTGAGAATGAGGAATTTTGATATTTCCATCACCATATAGATGAAGTAATTCATCAAGTGAAACCCTTAGTATACTTGGATGCTGCGCTTAATATGATTTGACTACATTTGATTGAATAGATCTGTATGTTTACCTGGAACTCATTTTTAAGTACGTGCTCCCTGTTCACCGTGTCCCAAATACGGATCTTCCCTGAGCAGTCTGCCGAACAGATATAGAACCCGCTCGGCGAATGTTTTGCCACAGTTGTCGCCGTGGAGTGCTCTGCATAAATGTCGCATATGGATGGATTCTGTGAATATGAAAAAGCAACTGACGATGATAAACACGAGCGTGTAAATGACTCTGCTTTAATTTTAAATATGCTCTCTCAACCACTTCCTTGCATTTGGCATTTACTTTCAATTAGGATACCTCTAATTATGTAGTTCGAGTTTTTGAGCTGTATTTGGTTAGCTGAAGCAAGCCACTGATGTAAACCCCGTTGCAGAATCACAATTCTGAGTTACAGGCAGCTACCAGTTTTGAATAGCGATCGCTATAGTTGTACAATATTAAGCGTAAAACTTAATTCAAATTCAGGTTAGCTCAACTATAATCTACTAATATATATATATATATATATATATATATAGGGCTGTTTAACTGACCTGAATATCCCTGATCACGACATAGTGTCCGTTGGTGTAAAGGAAATTGTTGCCCTTTGGGTCCCCACCCAATACAATCGGCCGCCCGCGCTCTGTCCGAGGCAGGGTCGCCCATATGGACCCTGAAAATACGAAGAGTTACGTTTATTGTTTCTAATTAACACTGGTACTTCAAAAACATTTAAAGAATTATATATATATATATATATATATATATATATACCGAGTAGCCAACAGTGAATTCATTTCTAAAATATTTTCTACATACGCCTTCCTTGGCTAACCCTTGGCTCTCTGTAGTGCCGCATAACCTCCCTAGACCTCTAAATAAGGCCTTAGGTAACGTAAACTCGGTTTTACAACTACGTAGGCTCCAAATGTGTCCCCTCCTACATAGTTAATGCACTTCTCGCTGTCACTACGCACTGTGCAAGTAACTTATCCTATATTTATTAATAAGTTAGAATTTTGCATACTAAGTTATTTAATGCAAGCTGTATGATGCAAGCTGTAAGTATGTGTAAGCCGCCTATTACTACTGGTGATCCGTAGGTTTCCATTTAAACGCCTCAAAGCATAAAGTTCCTCCGAATATTGTTGTACTATAGAAGTATTAAACGTATTACATTGTAAGCTGTAAATTCTGTGGCCTGTGGAGATAGACAGCTCAGGCTTATCCTGCTGCCTGTTAAACTAGGTTTAGCTTCTTCTGTTACAATATTGATTTTGCAAGTGGGAGAAGTTGCCGACTCAACTACGAAATAAACTAGTTTATATACCCGGGTTGATTTACAACGAATTTTGTTTCGGTCAGCCGTTAGATTAATTTCTTTGCTTTTTATTGACGTGAATATATACGAACAGTTAACAAAACGGTCAAGTCGAAGGAATTGTCGCCGCAAAAGCAGATCCATCCACGTTTACGACTTCAGAATAACGCGTCACAGGAACAAACAATAGTTAACTTGATACCGAAGATGACTGGTTTACATCCAATTCGCTTGGACGCACTCGACGCTCGAGTCTTCGTCAAGCCGACGGACATGTTCCACTAATAGAACTAACGCGCATATCAAACGTTAGAGCCAGCTATAACATTAGCCAAAGGGATTCAACTCAAGGCAAGGAAAATTTCCCAAAAAAGAGTTACTGTCACTCAGAAAGGTGAAGTTCGATTTAAAGGGCGCACTGGAAGCCATCTTAGTAGCGAACAACGTGCAGATTTGTGCCAGGTGAAGCTCTATTAAAAGGTATAGTACAATTTTAAGCATACTCAAAATTTGGTCTGGGACGCGTATTTCAACAATGGCATTTGACTATGATCTGACTAAAAGGTGTCACGCAAAGTCGGAGTTATTTGATGAGTTTATAGATGTCTATAATCATCGTTTGTTTTATATACACCCTTGTCAGATTTAAACACTGGTATAAAATCAGAGGTATAACAAAACAAAGCTAAATCGCGTTTTATATGGACAATATGATGGAAAACAGTTGTTTTTGAATGGCCAATCTAATATATAAACTGCCTTTGGCTATGTTTGTATTTACCAGATCAACAGTTAAGATATTAACTGATTATCTAGTATGTTAAACACATTCAAAACAGTACAAACGGGAAGATAAGAAGCAAAAAGTATCCACTTTTCAAGAATATATATTTTCGATTAACTGCAAAATTACGATGTAACACATCCTAAAACGGAATTCTAAAAACGTAAAAAATAACTTTAAAGCAGACCCTCTAAGTTGTCCATTTTAAGAGAAAAAATTAACAGGCTCAGCCTTTTTAGTAATAGGCTATTTGTCAGGCCCGCAGGCTCAGCCTAGCGCCCGTTTTGCCCGTTGGCTGCTCAGTCGTTATGATGACTGCAACAAATGTAGATCTGCAGGCTTCGGGCCACGCCCGCTGAGCCTATATGGCTGCTAGGCTGTGTGATAGTGACACTGAAGTAAAAGGAGAAAGAACCATCCAAATAGAAACAAATGCAGGCAGTTTGCAAAATATCTCTAAATAGAATTCTACTAGTTGATAAAACATCAGATCAAAGCAATCAGACATTTACGAACGAAAACGATGCAGCTATCTAGGACGGCCAATCAGCAGTTACTATACGACACTATATATACACTATATATATGTGGACAAAGCCCAATTCAGATGTGAAAGACCTAGATGATAGCTTGCGACTACGAAACAATTTTATCCCTGAACGCAAATAGTTCTTTGAAGCCTACTATTTATGGAGAATACTCTTCTTTCAACGCACCTAAACGAATTACATACAGTAGGTTGGAAATTTCTGCAAAAATCGGTTACGATAGAGCGAGGCATTTGCTTCGCCCGTATTCGTTACCTGACTGTCGATCGATATGTTAATACTACCAAAATAACAATAACAACAGCAATGAATCTAGTCGTCTACATAATCTTGTACAGAATATATCTTCAGAGTTTTATGTCCTGTGTTATCACCAAACAACACAAAAGATAACGGATTAGTGACTCTCATCAGCACAAAACGAAATAATAATACATTGCATAAGCATGTTATCATTGTATCATTATCGGGATATCTGGTATAGTTGCACTTGAGTCCTACACATCCATACGCAGCCCCTTGCTCCAGCTATCTCTATAATTTCCTTTCAATCCACACAAGGGTCGCTGCCTTACTCGCGAGTGGCCGCCGCCAGTGAGGCTTCTATGCGACATGCAGCTGACAGTTGATGGCTTAAATAAGCAAAAACCACAAGCCTCTTGTTGGGGAAGACAAGTTAAGGAAGGAGAGCATCCGAGGCCCATCTTAATCTGTCGTTTTTTGTCTAGAGCAATTCTTATTAGAGCTGAAACAAACCGGTGACGCGACCGTGTTATCATTATAGTCTAGGCTCAGAACGATTAGCCTAGTAGTCGAGCGCCTTTCGTTCGGCTACGATGGACGCTCATACCGTAATCATGGGTTGGGTGGCGCAGGTTGAATCATTGACATCAGACTGGTTTACGGAATCGTTGACCACAACGGCGAAACAACGGTTGTTGTGTCTATACCGTCTATTGCTTCAAGGAGGACGGTTAGTCTATAACAGCAGCAGCAGGAACCAACAGCTAGGTCACTGGTAATGTGGGCGGGCTCGTAAAGGTCAGACATCCGGTCCATGCATGGGTCGAAGTCCTATCGCTACAAGGGCTTCAATAAAACCTCAGCCGAGAATGAGGCAAGCACCTCTGTCATCATCATACGTTGCTAATTGGTGGACGCCAGTTGTTGCCGCTGCCGGCATTGAGCGCGAGGTGCCGAAATTAACTAATAAGCTTTAGATCTAAATTTGTGAATTGTGATTATAAGAACGTCTCTTCTATTAAAAAGGATTCCTGCAAATTTCCTGGTTTCTGCCTCGCATTTTACGAACCAAATAAGAACACAATCGACGCCTAGACGTTTTATCGTTAGCGAAATGACACGCTATGCTTAAACAGACTTTCACAAAGCTAAAAGACGCATCGCACAATATTTTGGTAATATCAAGATTTTTAATAGGCTAAAGCTGCATAAAACTGAGAAAAGGAAAAGTCTTTATGGACGAAACTATCATCTAGGTCCGGCACCACGGCTCGAGTGTGGCCATTTTATATCATTGAATCGACCCAACAGAAGCTTAGTGTTGTTAGTTATTGTTTATTTGCGGATAACTGGCGTAATTTAATAACAGGTTGTGCTGCTAACAATAGTAGCATTATCAATTCGATAGTGGACATTCATTTTTCATAAGTTCCATCGGCATCCACAAGTCAAACTAACACAGCGGTGCCAAACTTGCGACAACAATATCACATTGATACTGATTATTGGCGCGAAGAGTTTGCTACTAACAGGTCAAGTAATTTCCCATAGAAAACATTTGGAAGATATTAAATAACAAATTCTCAGTATCTTCCAGCAACCAGAACCTTAGAAGCTCCTGTCAATAAAATACAATTCGGTCTAACTTTACAGGATAACAGTTGAATACTAAAAACATTTGTTGCGTCCTATGCAACTCATTCATCTGTTAAACATCGGCCCTTCACTCACTCTCTAATCCGCCAGCTGCTCCAATGCGGCTTCAGCGATCACTGACCCGCGTTTGCTTGAGTCGTTTCTTTACCAAACCATAACGTACGACAACATGGCGCATCCGATGGGCGCGATTTTTACAAAATACGCACAGCCGCGTCGGCGACGAGGTTTGCCAGTCACAACGACCTACTTGCTGCCTTTTATGGAAGAAGCGGAGAAAACTAATCGAGAGCAGCGTCGGTGGTTGTGATGGCCATAAGCCGCAGTCTCCGATAGCGGCCTATAGCCATAAGCGAAATCGATAAGTAACTAAATTAAAAAAAAGGGACAACGATGAGGTTTGTATAAAGATTATCCTTCGGGGGAGGCGGTGTTACAGTTGAAGCGTAAAAACTCTTTTCTGTTTACCTATTCCCTACACGTTGTGTCCAGGGCGGACTACGCAAGAGTCGTCGTGTGCTTTTGTTCGACTTACTGTTCGAGTAGCTCATGGCTCTGTTGTTGTGTGATGAGACAATGGGCTGCGAAAATGCTCCGGTTTTTCGAGGTGACCCAGGCACAAACTCAACGTCTGATAGCCGACAGCTGGGTCAGACGCGACTTTTTCGGGCTCTCAGCACTAATCACCACTAGCGCACAACGGGATGGGCGGAGGCACCAGGCGCTCAGCTGTTCTACCGGCGATGAGACTACAGCATCGACGATTAAACGCCAACTACGGCGGCTGCTGCGCTAAAACCAAGGGCAGGAAGTTCGTCCGCACTAGCAGACGCTTTCCGCAAGGGCGCTCGGAAAATTTTGCAAGAGTATCCACCACTACTACTGGCAAAACCGAGGATGATACATAAATAAATACTCCAACCAGTCAATAAATTACCCCACACTTAGCCAGCTGAGTTCACATAGCGCATGGAGACCGGAGGTGTAGCTCGGTTGGGATCAAGACGCTTTGCTGATTTTAACTCTAAAACCAGAGATATTAGGCAAAACCAGATTTACGTCCTAAATGAGCTAGACCTATTCACTAAATAAGCAGTTAATGTTTTGAGACGTTCGCAGCTGTGGTTAAACATTAATTCAGATGGCTGCCGAAATGAGACATAGTCGCCACTATTGTGTGCTAATTTCCGATAATGAACGTCTATGTATGTCCTTCGTAGTGCAATATTTAATAAATGGTGTTGACTAACAAACATCTATCGCAAATGTAACATTGTACTAATACGTCCATGTTATGAAGACTCATATGAAATGTCGTACTTATGCTGTTCTGTGATATTATAATCAAGAAAGGTATAGTGCTTGGTCGTTTTCGAACCTAAAAAAAACGAAAAAACAGTGGGTTGGGAAAATAAAGTATGAAAAAATCCGCATATAAGTGACACCATCGATGGTCACATTTAACCATTATCGTGAATAACGGCAAATTAAAGTAAGGGAACACACATAAACCCCAACTTTGAATAAATGAACAAAATCCATTCTGATAAATTCAGCATACATAGTTAGCAGTCTTTGGGCTCTTTGTTTGCGTAGTTTTCTAGTGAATGGATAAAATACTACTAAAATGGATATCACCTGTAAGTGATTAGCAGAGTTTTTTTTTTTTTTGGGTATTTCAAGCAAAGTTTTGGCGCAGTCGTATTTCGCGCCAAAGATCCAAACTAACAGCAATGAAAGCCATTGTTCGAGTGAAGACACCAGAATCTATCATTTACATCTTACATGTGAATGTTTAAAGAAAGCATAGCTATCCGACAAAAAATACTAGACAGAAATACAGGGCCATTAATCTCTAACGAGTGAAGGTTCAACGTGAATTCTGCCATTCGGAGTCTATGGTATTTTTGGAAGTCTGGATCATTATAATTTCTCAGTAGTACAAGAAAAGTTGGAGCCCGTATAAGATCGCACTATTTTCACATTAATGGTGTGGTTGCCTCAGCTGTCATTTGTTTGTATAATTGATCCTCAATTAGCCTGTTAGTGATAAATCTTGTATTTGAAATTCATGGACAAACCCATTCGGAATGGGTCGATATATCCGTCGCGTGGAGTAGCTCGACCTGTTCCGTTCAGTAATAAAAAAACCCTTACATACAAAACATTGCAAACGTTACAAAAAAATCCGCGGTTTTTGCTGAATTTTGACCGCAATGCGGCAATTTTCCGGTCTAGGAACTTTTTTGTTCTTCTGTTCGAGCCTGCTAGTAACCTGGGCAGATGATGTCGTTTTAGGAGATGCTGATTACACGATCGAAGGTGAGTTTTAAAATTTTTAAAGAACAGTGACCATCTGACAGGGATAGTTCCGTTTTATAACACTATTCTTGTACCCCTGAGGACGTGCGCGCTTTGCGAAGAATTGCTTATCTTCTACTCAAGATTTGGTCTTGTAAAGGGTTCTACTACGCGAACCGGGAAGCCACAACCGGTTAGTGAATCTACGAAATGCCGTGGTTCACGTCCGCCTCAGGTCTTTAATCGTGCCGTGCTTATTTACATCCAAACGTAAAACGATGATTTTCCTTAGACGATTCCTGTGTAGTTCGGCGACAGCATTTCGGTCGGGAACTGTTCTTATCTCAAAATCATCTTGTATCTTTTCGAACCTTGCCTTAGAAACGTGGTTGTTCGAACGACTTAACTTTGCTGATTCGGAACGGGGCATTCTCCTTTTGTGGACCAATCAACCATGTGTCGTCATTGGACGCCATCAGAATCCGTGGCTAGAGGCCAACTTGAAGAGAATGAACGACCTCAAAATAGATATGGTGCGCCGAAATAGTGGGGGTGGGACTGTTTATCACGACCAAGGAAATCTCAACATATCGTTCATGGGACCTAAGGCCACGTACAATCGAAAACGGAACCTGAACTTGATTTGCGATGTTCTTCGGAAGAAATATAACATAAACGCGGATCCAAATGACAGGGACGATATTATTGTGGATGGCAAGTACAAGGTCTCTGGAACAGCATCGAAACTCGCGCACAAGAAGGCATATCACCATTGCACATTGCTAGTCAATGTCGACAAATCGGTTTTGAGTGAAGTTCTAAAGAACCCTTGGGAGCATCAGCTCGAAACCAAGTCAACGAGGAGCGTGCGCGCAGAAGTTCGAAACTTAAAAGATATCGCGTCACAAATCGAGCCGTTATCCTTAGCCAAAGACCTCGGCGAGCAGTTTTGTGCCGAACTTCAAACTAGTCTCAATTTGAAAGAGATTGAAATCACTGAGGAGGCGTTCCCAGGCATCACAAATATTACGAAACGACTTCAGGACTGGGAATGGACGTTCGGATGGACACCGAGATTTAAAATATCGACAGAGAAGCTCATTGTAACAGTATACCACGGTCGAATCGAGAATATTATCGAAATAGGGGCCAGATTCGAAGCCTCGTCATTGGGTCTCGTTAACATTGTATTGCGAGGGAGACGATTTACCGTCGAAGAAATATATACAGTACTTAACAAGCTGGAAAGCCAACGAAGTCGTTTGAGCACGTTGCAAGATGCTCTTATAGAGTGTGTCAACGTCGTATCTTATACATAACCAACAAAATTAGATTAGTACATATGCTTTTAGAACATATTAAAATTACTATTCAGCATTAGAATAACGTTTACCATAAGCAAAAATCCAAATGATCCTAGAACCGCGCTGATGCATAGCAGGTCTCCGTCTTTCACAATATTATCATTTTGTGCCCTTTATTGTGTTAGATGACCCCCGTTATCATTGCAGTAGTCCATCGTTATATGTATATTGCTCACGCAGGCAAATAAAAGTTAGGATTTTTTTTTACATGCGTATAGTTTTCTGGTGTTTTCTTATAATTAATTCTTGCTTGCATTCAGCTATATGTAGATGGCTTTTTAAACTATGTGTATATATATATATATATATATATATAACGGACGCTGAAATTTTGGCAAGCGAAGATGAACAAACTGTTTGTCGGGAACGCGTAAAGGTTTCGTAGATCAGCTTTTGTCTCGAAATTCTATTACATTAGCGCGCAAATACATTCATGTATAAACTACAGCAGGAAAATGTGACCGATAGATATAACTAATTGGTAACCGCAAGCCATGAGCACGTCAAGCAGCATTGTCGAGGCTTGTCTTAGTAGGTGATTACGTTAGTTCGAAAATTGCAAACAACACAAGTAGCAGCGCTCAAGCCTGGTGAGGTCCTGGAAGATCTTCGATTTTGTCCTGCCTATAAATATGGTGCCAAGGTGAACGTAGTCGAAACGTTAAACGTATATATAGTACTTGATAGGATTTAAGCATTTATAAATCAAGAAAATAGCCGTATGTTGAAACGTTTAGTTCGATGAGAGAATATAGTGCTGTCTAAAATGGGTATAAACAGACTGTAATATTTTCTGTAAATGGCTTAAAGCAAATATCTTTAAAATGCTGAAATATGTACATATTTAAACGCTTTAAGTTACGAACTGCGATTATTCTGTGTTGTTATTCTATGCGATTATTCTGTGTGAAGCCATATTATATGTTGCTAAAAATATAGGAACGACGCAGATATTTTCCAGTTGAACCTTTTGAGAGAGAGCTGAATGAAAAATGAGCGAATTTTGTCAGGCTACCTTTGATAACAGGATTATCATTCGACGATATTATCTGAGATCGGCCTCATTAACTGAGATTAATCATAGAACAATTAAGACCAGTATATTGCTAAAACTATGTACCAGTACAAAAATTATGAGTTGCACAAATAGAATAAAGAGAGCAATTTCAGCAGTATATTACAATATCATTTTTTATTTTTTCATCATCGATGTTTTTAACGTCCACAGGTAAATTAATTATTCCGGCAAACCAGGAGAACTTCACAGATATTATCGAAGAAACGCAGATTCTGATCGATGGCGGATCTCACATTGGCTTCCTGAAGGAAGACTACACCTTCGAAATTAAGAACGTCGCTGCCGGTTCATATCTTATCCAGGTAAGTTTGCATACCGTTTTTCTAAACTAATTGAGTCCGATTAAATCCTTTGTAAAGACGAAATTCGAAAGATATCTCCAATAATCGCCAGACTTTGCAAAATGCATATACTTCTCTGTGTGATGATAATGTTTCCGCTTAATTTTTGAATTAATGTGATACATAAAAATTAAAAAAATTGAATAAATTTAAATATAGTACCAGATCAGAATCCATAAAAATAATAATTTCTTATTTAATTATAATCGTATTGTCCATATGCGGATTATTATGGTAAGAGGTTTCAGATGTTTTCAAAAGGATAATTAATAGTAATCAATATTGCCATGATGTCACAGCGGTGGTTTCAGTAACAAAGAGACATATCTAATGTCTTCTTACAGATTGCGCACCCACTAATTAGTTTTGAGTCGGTCCGTGTCGATATTTCGTCAAAAGGCTCGAAACGCGCCAGGCGCGTTAACAACCTCCAGCCTAACCTAAATCATCAGTTGCAATACCCAGTAAAGATTCGTCCTACAGGCACGCATAACTATTTCCATCAGGTAACATCTTCTTTGAAATTGCGTTGTTTTTTTTTGTACTCTTTCACTGTGTGCTTCCGACATATCCCTGGCAAGATGGTCGTCAAGTTTGCTTATAAATAATTAATGGCTTTAGTTTAACAAGCACCGTCGAGTTTCATTTTACTTTTGCTTCTTCCCGGTTGCTTTCAGCGAGAAACATGGCGTATCACGGACTTCCTTCTGAATCCAATGGTTCTAACAATGGTGTTACCTGTTCTATTAATTATGATCCTACCGAAGCTTATGAGCGCTGAAGATATGGCGCAAACGCAGAGGGAGGTTCAGCAGATGCAAAATGCAGCAAGAATGCCGGATATGCCTGAACTAAGTGAACTAGCTACGAAATATCTTGGAGGTCAGCAATCGCGCAGTAGCCAGCAAAGTCGAGGACAGGGTAGTGGTCAAGGATCATCTGCGGGAAGCGGCAAAAAGAAAAATTAGTTCTCCCATGTGAATTTCCTACTCACGGTCATTCCACAACCTCAAACTTGATGATGGTTCACCAGTTGCCTCTCAGATTGTTGCCTGGAACTAAGGGCCAATCCTCTTTACCTGTGGAAAGGATGTGTTTTTGCTGGCAGCAAAAACCGAATGACAGATGCTATTTTTTTAAAGAAATGTCCAACAAGGCAAATTTATCTGGACCGGAAAGCTGACCTGTATGTAAGATATATTACATTCGAATGGCCCATTAACATGTCACACCTTGGAGTGGCCTTACGAGGTATGTGTGCATGGGTGAATTTATTTATATGCGTGAATAGATAGGAATCAAATATTGAAGAAAAAACTATTAAAATTTGCCATTTCTTTTATGTGTGTAACTACAATAGTGTGATTTTATCGAGTAATTGACTGGATGAATAATATAAGCGATACTATGCCGTGTTAAGGTTTAGTTTGATATTTAATAAAACAAATGTAAAATGCGATTATATATAAATTTTTTTCTTTTTAATCGAAATATGTTCCACTACAACTTTTAGCCGTTCGTATGGTAACTCATCTTTGCTGCTGTTTCGAATGTCTGGGGCACAAAGAGTTGTGAAATCTCAATCGTTGATTTGGATATAACGTTGAAATTTAAACCATTTTGCTACGACGATGTTAGAAAAGTGCTCTTTCGGGGGAGCAATATCGGGTGAATATGGTGACAGAAGGCCTGACAGAAGGTGACAGAATGAATAACAGAAGGCCTTCAACTATATTTTCTGCATCTTGATTCTTACGGTGTCAAGTCGAGGATGTCGTACAACGAAAGTAAATTACCTTTGTTCACCAATTTTCGTTGTTTAATGCGGAGTTCTTTTCTTCTTTAAGTGTTCAAAATCCATAGTCGGCAAATTAGGAATTATGTAGCTCCTGCTCTATACGAGAGAGCGACCATAAGCTATTGCAGCTGTATAGCTGTTCTAGGGTAATGTTTCGTTCAGTCCAGTATCATCAACTCATTGCTGTAACAATTTACGAATACCGCAGACAATTAATTTTTCAGCCACAGTTGTAATCTGAGGCAAGAGTGGGTCATTGTCGAGAACAAGGGGAGTCAAGCGTCTCCGCTTCTCTATTTTTGATCCCTTATAAATTGTCCCTTTTTTTTTTAATTTAAATAATCTACTGAAGTAAACAAGTATGTTTTTTTTTTTCAACATTCCCCATATGTGGATTCTACCACCCATGCGCTTTGAAATCGATCGGTTTCCGCCGCAGTTGTCAACATCTTGTTATTCATCTTTACACGGGATCCTTTGCGAGACTCATTTTCGAATCATAAATTTCTTTCCTGGAATTTTTAAAACCAATAGTTTGCGCTGGTTTCAATAGTAGATTTCTCACTGATTACAATAACCATACGACGTACAGTTTCTGCCTTCGTAAACTCAAGGCGGAGTTGATATTCGTAAAGCATGTTCGGTAGCTTGCTGTAAGCTCGCCCACTGCAAACTTGAATAATAATAGCCGAGCGAACTGTCTGAGAAAATTCTAAAAAATGTTAGTGCATCGCGAAAGCTTGAGTTGCACCGTCTCACATTTCGTACCGAATGACATATATACTCACAGAAGTATACACATTACAATTTATTTTTACCCTGCCACACACTGCGTGTATATATAGTATGTACCTATATACATCTTATGTGACGTATAAAGAAAAGACATTTATTTACTCGGATTTTTTTATTTCCTTGGTCTGGCTTTTTTTAACTGTATAATCTCATCAGCAGAATAATAAATAAGAATTTGGGAAGACTGTTTCCAAGAATAATGGTTAGCTTGGACCTTTTTCGAGGTAAAGTTCTTGACCAGGTAAGTGGTGGCCTTTGGATTTATTTGTCCACAATATTAGTGAAGATATTTTTTTGTTTTCGAGGTTCGTTAAACCTGCGTTATGTCCGTCTTCTTGAAAGTGTCGTTTTTTGCGGAATCCATTGAAGTACAGTTTTCATGGCTATTATGGATCCAAGTCTCGAGCGGACGAACAAGAAAGGGTCGTCCATAAATTTACATAGAATTTGGGACCCTTTTATAATCGTAAAGTTGGCACTAAGTATGGTTTATGTTTACATGAAATTCATTTTTTTTTCTGGTTATTTCTGTGAAGTCGTTGGCGCAGCTGATGCACGATCTCTCGAAACGTACTCCGTCCAATCTTCTCTTCAAGTCGTTCATTTTGTGAAGCAAGAGTCTTCTCAAAGGAAATATCTGGCTCCACCATTTGAACAGGAGAAATTTGTGCAGCAGAGACTGTCTTATTGGGACGATTCGTTGATGTCGGCATCTATAATATACGTATTGGATTATAATTTGTTCGAATTATAGGCACAATTCAAATAAAGATCTTACTGATACAAGCCATCAAGGAAAAAATCATTACATTTTATCCAAATGGACATTTCGTTCAATTCAAGAGTTCTAAGCCTTCTCTGAATATTTCGCTTACAAAAGCTTTTCTAGGCTGGATCTGGCAGAAAAATGACATATATTTTGGGTTAAAACGTGCAGTTCGCGATTGAAGAACTGCACCTCTATACATTTATATTTTTTTCGCAAATCTGCTAAAAATGTAAATAATTTATACGAAATTGAATTGTCTATTACAGGCTAAAACGACTCTTTTTTCATGCTTTGCACATCATTACTAAAATGCAAGGCAATTTGTTCTAATGATGGAATATTCAATTGCGTCCATAAAGCTCAATAACTAAACGCATAATATTGTTGTTGGTGAATTCATAACGGAGCAATCACCGTTTCCGCTACAATATTTGCTATGTATTAAGACATTTTTTTTTAGCAAACCTTGATATAGGGCTTCCAGAGTTGACAGGCCTGATTGCGGACTGGTCCTTGTCCGATGAAGGTGTAAGTTGTCACTGGGGCGCTAGTGTGAAATGATTTTGGGTTGATATTTAGGTACGTCTGATTGTATTGCGCGTACTCAGGCCATTTTGAGCTGTCGAATTCGCTATAGAACGTTGTCGGAATAGGAGTTATCATTAGGTAAGATTTTTTTATTCTGAATCTGTTTATTACGTTTTATATGTCTGTAAGCCGTGAGTTTTTACTCTCCTATGTGTATAGTTTTATAGTTGGGTAAAGCTTTTACTGTAAAGTTCATAATAGAACTAGGGCTCATCATTAAAACGCACGAGTTTTTCTTGGATATTGAATAATAATTCACGTAACGTAAGCTCCATAAATAAACTTACTACGAGTCTACTGGACAGTTTATTTGTAAAATGTATAGTACTTTGTTTCAACAATCCTTCATACCGCAAATCTTCGCTATAAAATTCTAAGGAGTACTCGAAATAACTTTGCTATTAGAGTGAGGGTAGAAATAAAAAAACGTTCACGCTTTTTAAAGCAGGAAACCTAAAACGAATTATATGTGCTTTAACAAACGGTCCCTTATTGTGGAGTTACGCGGCGTCTCACCCGAATTTGATGAAATGAGTCCACATCTTCATCATTCTAGCGCTAAGACGAAGTTCCTCAATGCTTGGAGAGAATGCCAAATCACCATGAAAAAGCGCTCCCATCACAAAAAGAAATTCGTCAAAGTGGACTGCTCCCAGCCACGGGTCCCACCAGGAGAAAGAAGGTCGATGATCAAAGTGATACATGTAGACATGACGACCGTGGCGACTCAATATGTCTGCGAAATAGTTTGTCGGACATTGGAACACGAAATCGCCAAACGCTAAACAGGCCGCTTGCAAAGCCTGAAAAGCCGAAGTGCGATATCCGTCATAAAGCAACGTTTTCCTTTAACGGAACAATCGCTTTCTAGCTTCTATTCTAAAGTACGCTAGATGATGTTAAAAAGGGACTAGATAGACGTAAAAAAATGCGCTGAGTCAATCAACATTTTATCGTTTTTTTTTCGATTGAAGCGTACGAGAAGCAAAAAACTTTGCAACAAGACACTAAGTCAATTAGGTCTTTTATCGTTCAGCTACGGCCTATAACCACAGCACCTTTAGTAATAACGTTAGAAAAACAAGTGTTCTTACCTGCACGCTGGTTCGAACTCCCTTAAAGTAGTAGTCGCTGATTTCTTTAGGAACCGTATGAAGTGAGAACCGCAGGAGCACGTTCAGGTAAAGATGAACCTCGTCAGGACTTATAGAGTTCACGGACTGCTTTTCAAGAATCCGTCTCAGAAAGAAGTGGATAAAAGATCCGCCTTCATTTTGATTTGTGCCTAGGGAATATATTCAGTATTTATTAGTAGGTAATGTATAAGAAGCATAGAAAACAAGATTGCCAAATCAGTTTCGGACAATGACGTATACCGCCAACGTATATCATGGGCATCCACATGTTCCTACGCAGTATTTGATGTATATCTATTGGCATTGACCTAGGGCTTCGGACAATTAAGACATTTGTCAAGTTGGGTCGCCTATGGTATTTTTATATAGCTGAATCCCTTTAACAACGAGTGACGAACAATTCTAATTGCGTCAATAGCAACTACCAATAGATACCGTATACGAATATTGAAAATTATCTTACCCATAAGAACATCTACCGGTTCCATATCTCCCAGTTCTATTGCTTCGCGTGGCTCAAGTGGCAGAAATTCGTTACCCCAAGTGGGATAGAAGTTGCTGCCGGGAATTCCACTACCCATACGACGAGTCGCTTCCAAAAGTGTGCGACCTAACGTTGTGATATATTTCAAGCGTCAGTTACCACAGAAATCCTTTCGTATCGAATGTAGTCTAGTAAATACAATTGTCAATGCACTTATCTCACATTCGACCAGTATAGAGAACCGTTCTTGCAGAATATGGAGGGCGCACGGAAAACTCCATAACGGTGAGGTGTACCAATATCTAAACCGTAACCTAAACTCTAGACGTAAATAAATAGGAACACTCTATCTATACGGTATGACAGTATGACTTTAACTTTTAATTGCAAGCCAAAGCTAGTAATAAACGTACCTTCACTCCACTTGAAACACTGCGCAATGTCTTCTTTCTTACGGGACTCTTTTTTCGAGACCGAACAGTTGAGTTCGCGCGCCATTACTTCCAACCATTTGATGGTTTGCACGGAACTCTCATAGCGCCGTACGTACGGTGAGCCGCTCTGCATGATTGCTCGTCGAAAGAGTCCTCGTGACAACGGGCTGACCATATGCAGACCAGTGGAAATTGAACCGGAGCCCTGCCCCATCAAAGTAACCTTTTTCGCATCGCCACCGAAGCTAGCAATGTTACGTCGAACCCATTTCAGCACAAGGAGCTGATCGAACATCGCCTGATTGCCAGGTGAATCTGGGGTACCCAAATCGAGAAATCCAAACACGCCTAGCCGATAATTGGGTACTACCACCACGACATCGCCCAGGGCCGATAGAAACGATCCGTTGTAAAACGAATATGAATTTCCACCGCTCGAAAAGCCTCCTCCGTGCAAGATAACAACGACAGGCTTTTTGTTTTGGGCGTCATAACAGGCTTTCTTCTTGCACACGCTTGGTGTCCACACGTTCAAGTACAGGCAATCTTCAGTCGAGTTAACCCCACTGATCTGCACGCGATCCGTGTAGTACTGGTCGTCCTGCAAACATGGGAACGCTAGCGATTCTGCAACATAAATCCCATCCCAAACTCCGTACGGTTGGGGTTTAGCAAAGCGGAGATCACCCACAGGAGGCTGCGCAAACGGCACTCCGAGGAAGCTGTATAATGTGCGGTTGAACACGCTCGCCTTCGTGCCTTGTAAGTAGCCTGACGAGGTTTTGACGATAACCTCTGACGCTGAAATAGCCCGCGCTGCGGCTATTACTGCGATCTTGAAGAACAATCTCATTCTGTCACACCTGCGTGCCGGAGACATACCGCATAGCAATGGAGTATAAATGATGGAACCGCACCGGCTAAATATGCTATACAAATACGTTAGAATCAAAAACAAGGACAAGCAAGAGAGTCACTCACAAGCTTACATATCAACACAACGAGAATACAAGCACAGAAGCATGCACATACTTATCCACCCAAGGTAGGTACGCTACACTAGAAAACTTTCCACTGTCACTTTCTGCGCCAGAACAACCAGGGATTCGCGACTGTTGGGTGTTACGGCCGCAGTTAACAACCTTCGTGTGACGTTTGCGTCCCGTTGTTCCGCCATAGTGCACTAATGGCGTAGTGCTATTATTAGTGTAATGACGATCGGACAGTTTCTCCGTCTTTGTCCTATGGCCGGGGTCGTTCAGCCGATGACAACTTCATGCGCCGCGAATGTCTCTGGCCACCCGTATGCTTTCGCTAGTGGTCCGTGACAGAAAATAGAAAAGGCTATAGAAGTGGGAACAAAAACGGCAGCATCAGTGGCAAGCGCTGAAGATGATGGCAGGGTACATCTTTGTCGTCGCCTCTTCAACGGCAGTCCAACTTGTGCACTCTTACCAATCAAATACTGAGTTGACAAACAAGAATGAGAGAAATTGAATAACAGGCCTCTTTTGCATTGGCTTCTGTCTTTTGCCCCAGATAGAAGCGATTTCTGCCAATGACGATACCTCTGACATTAACAAAACAGATGACGGGCGCAATGACGGTTGACATTCAGCGCCTTGCTCGATTTTGAAATTCTCTATCGGATTGCCTTTGCATATGAGGGCAATAGGTTCATTGGCATTAGCCGCTTAATGTCTTGCTTCGGGGCTTTGATGATGACTTTTCGAAGATCCGAAAACAGTTGTTGTCGGACGGGGCATGGTTCACAGCGGCGGCACCTCACCTTGTGTCAGGGATCCCAGCGTCTGTGTGCCCATGATAAGGTCGGTGTCGTTAAGTGTGTGTGCTTTTGTATTTCTGTGGATGTTCATTAGAGAGACTAATATGTCTACACAGTGAGAAGGCGATATTGGATCGTCACAAACACGTAGTTGACTCCGTGTCGACTCGATGACAAAATTCGTATGACAGGCATTTAGCTCTTTACTGCTGTTATTACAGTGTACCACTGGTGTCGCTGTTGTCTATCCGCGCGGGTCTCAACAATGCGGGAATGGCATGTAATATCCGTGTGAATGATGTTTCAAATTGAAAGAAAAGAGCCATTTTAGTTGAACATGGCCTTTTAAAGCGAGAAGATTTTTTTTAGAAAAAGTCAAAAGCAATATTCATGTTACTTTTCACGTTACATCATTGTAGGAGACGATTTCGTGCAGCTGACCGGTTACACGTTAGATTAGTCATCAGATTCCCTTTTTGTGACAGGGAGCGTCCTGTGGCTATTATTAGTGCACAAATGTCGTTTCCTCGATTGAACGGCTCGCAGAGTTCAGATTTACAGGGCAGCTGAAACGATACTATGGTTAGCAACAGGATTTCCATGCATTCTCGAACAGTTCGTAGAAAAATTTCGACTGCATGCAGTATTTTTGCAAAATACAACTTGTATCAACTCAAAGTATCGTATCAAATACGCGAAAATTATTTGGCTTGACAACATGGTAATGAGAAGATAAAATCCATCGCATAACGATTTTAGTGCGTTTGATTATTCCAATCTGGATGTATTAGAAGTCATTAGATGAGATCGAAATTTTCATACGAAGTCATATTGAAAATTTCCAACGCCGACATACTATCTTATTCGTCACATTATGCTGGGAGAAATTTTCATTGGCCTATGCTTTCCCAATACTCATCTCTCAGAACAATCGTTTGTCATACCTTTGGTGATTCACCTCAACTACTAAAGTTGAAAGTTTAGTATAAGTTAATTTTATTGTGATAATGTAAATTTTACCGAATATCAATGGCGCTACACGCATCTCAGTTATTTAACAGCGAGCCTTCTCAGCTAAATCTAAACATATAGAACTTTTTAAAGAGGTAAAAAGTTAGTGAATATTACTGTCCCTCTCCCCTTTCCCCCCGTATAAACAATTAGCTACCCTGCAAAGAAGTGCGTCTATTTTCCTCGTCCTTACATACTATCCGTACCAAGAATTGCTAAGAGGGATTTACGTTTTACAATAGCATTGAACTCCGACGACTTTCCAAAGCCAGCTTATCGAATCAAGAGGTATTAGCAGCCGAGGGAGATTTCGGTTAACGGAATGAATATGTACTTGATGAACGGAGAGGTATTCGTTCATAAATCGTAAAACTGAGGATGGCTCGACAAATTGCCACTGCCGACAATCAGCGTTACAAGCAGTAGCAACACCACTATGATGATTTGCAGCACAAGAACAGAAGTCGTTTACCAGTTGATAGGAGCACAAAGGTGGACTCTTCGCTTAAGCGCACAAGCACCAACAACGAATTTAGAAATACACTTAGATTAGATTACCATGCAAGACACAACATGATCTTGTCTTGTCTTGCCTTGCCTTGCTGAAGACCACTGACTGGTGGGGTTGCTAAGCTGGATGTTTTCAATAGCTGTGCAGGGTCTCTCCTAAGTTTTTGGTCGCAGCTGCTATTGCTGCTGCGCGGCGATACTACTGCAATAAAAACTACACTACTACGCGAACATTGGGTCCCGAGCTAGCCCGATGGACCGCGACGGGAAATACACACGCACACAAAAAGCCGAATACCGCATGGGATTAGAATAGGATAAACGCCGAGAACGTCCGTTGTCCCCGCTGTTACAACTTGGAGTCGACCCACAACTACCATCACTAGCAGATGGGAGAGATGTGGAGCAAACGCATCCCAAAACGTGGCGGAATCTACGGTGCCTGCCGAGTTTCGCTACCTGCTATTACTGCTGCAGTCGCTGCAACAACGGCGGTAGCAAGAGGCTCTGCAATCGCACCCGATCAACCAGACACGTTCCTTTCGGCAGCGTCTCTTTTCCGATCCTGCTCCTGATCATGCTGCTATAATTTCTACTGCGCTCTGCCGTCAGTGGGGTCAGCATAAGCCCGAAATGTGGGTTACGTGCTGTTCGTTAATAACGCGAAGCGGCAGCAGCAGCAACACACGGCGGCTACGTTGCGGGCAGCGGAAGCTGGCGCGCATTCATCGCACTCGTAGTGATAGCGCTCGCCTTCGTAACACTACCCGTTATAGTAATAGCATCGGGAACAACAACGAAAAAACCAACAGCATCGTCGACAGCGACGCACAGGTTGCCTCGAGCAGCCAAGTCGCGACAGCGGCGATGGCGGTCCAGTCGCCGGCAAAGACAACGCTTGCAATCTTTTCTAGCAGAAGCAATGCCAGTGCCCTTACCGCGGTTAGCACCAACATCAATACGATCATTAGTGTGGTGACCAATTCATTGGCCTTTTCCATTCGGCTCGATTCTTTCGTCATTTCTTTCTGTTGACTCTTGGTTGACTGACTAACCACTGGTCAACGACGTAGGGAGCGGGGAACAGCGCCTCTGTAGCAGTCGATCTTGCTCGTGGTCGTAATCGTTTTTCTTTCTTTTTTCTTCTTGGCTTTTTCGTTCTGCAATAGTTTCTGTCTGGGCTATGGGCGCGCGCCGCGACCGGCCACAGTTTGCGTTGGCTCGGGCCCTTCTGCAGGTAACTAGCATTTTGTGGTAGCTTCGGAACCCAAATACCGAGACGAGATTATTGGTTTGGGTCGTCCATCCGCAATGAATGAGCTACCGGATACACAGAACAGGACGTTGCGTCTCACGTGTTCAAGCACAAGCGCACAGAGAAGCTATTGGGTTAATTACAAACGGACGGGCAGACGGCACACTTATTAACGTAAGATCAGTCATTATGACCCAACTCTCGCCTGTTCTTTTTGGCTTGAATTTTTTTTGGCGATTGGCGAAGAAGTGCCCCTCGTTGCCGCTCTTACAGCAACCCTCGTCATAACCAAATAATCAACGCTTCGTACACTTAATGTACGCGATCAAGGTAATATAGTCAGTATCGATAATTAAAATACCATGGTCTAGATTAAGAACCCTTCCTTGATTATTAAAGTATCGTATTGCTATATTAACACACGTCCACGTGGATTTTACACCGTCTATAGGTCATTTGTGCCAGTTTTGAGCTAGAAGGGATCAGGCCTCGTCACACAGCTCTGCAAAGCCACAGACGAGTTGCGATCGGTAACATTGTAAAACTATCGAGGCTAACGTTACATTCCTAACTGCCTAAAGAAACTTGTAAGTAAAGTGACAACATTACCCTCTTCCGAATAGACTTACCACTTACCTGGCTGTACTTTCGCTTATCATGCTGAGCAGAGTTTTGCAAGTACAGAGTTCGTCTTTTGGAGTTATATATTTACGTAAGTTCATAGAAATCCAAGTTTGTATCCGTGTGAACCAGTCACATATTGTAACTTTCACTATGGCTCGCAATGGAGTAGCAAATAAACTTGGTAGCGGTACGGTCGAAACCGCGTCTGTTCTCTTGCCATAATGGACGTCGTAGATTAGAATCGTTATTAGCTAGTAAAAGAATTATTAATCCAATTCTTTGGGCCTTCGCATGCAGTTCAGGTAGCTGAGACATGTGTGGGTGAGCAAAATACTACGGAGATCGCATGTTTGGCAAAAGAGACAATAATTTCATAAAATATATTGGCTAACATTAAATTGAGCAATTTAAATATGCGTCAGTGCTGCACATCTGCACAGTCAGCTGTGCTTTTTTTTTATGAACTGTTACTGAACCTCTTTTATAAACTGTTACATATTGACAAATATTATTTGTGAACGAAAATTCTTATTTTTCTGTTCTCTAATATTATTGGTCAATCTGACTCTTCAGGCCAATTGGCGGTAAGAGTTGTGCGATTATCCTATGTAGAAGCTTCTTTCCAACATACATTTCTGGTCAACTCGACTATTACTAGAAACGAGCTAAATGTAGAGGAACTAACGTCCAATGGGCAGAGCTTTATGGCATAAAACCTATGAAGATTATACCATTCTCGGTATTCTGTAATCATTGATTAAGTACAGTATAATATATACACATATACGATTTGCGACGCCGTAATAAATACTAGGCTTCGTAACAACTTTTTTTGTAAATGATCCTGATTGATATGACTCCTTTAGTTCTAGTCTATGATGAAAATGCATGATCCTCAAGAGCCTATGTCCACTGCATTGCATTGAATATTTAGCCATGTTTATGATGAGGTATTCGTGATGAGACATCTCGGCGCTAGCTAAACAGCTGTCATACAAATCTAAGCTACTAAAAAGGGAAGCTAAATAATTTTAGTACTTCGGCAATGGCTATTATGTTTTTGTCCAAATGCATTTATGATCTTCTGCAAACAGAAAATTAGGTACTCTTTATCACAATGTCTTTCTGACGCGAGTTTAACAATTCCACAAATATCATCGAAATCTGTTATATTTAAAGGCGCGGTTCGTCACCTTCCGCAAGCCTGCCTGACTCGTTAACGCCAATATGCAACGCATGCCTTCACGTGTGACATTATCATGCGAAGACCATCCTATCAACACTGTGATGACATTCGTTTAGTATGAGTGGATAGTTTCAAATGATTCTATGGAAAGAGTATTTATTTTGTAGTCACATCAGCCTAATCAATCTGCTACTTGCCTTTGCATGGAAGAAAAGTGTTCATTAAGATGTTGTTTCGATAAATTAGTTGCCTCATATCAGCGCTCGGGTCTGTGTGACGTGTGTAAAATTATTTCTGGTTCCAATTTAACGTAATTTCATTTTCCATTGAGTTTTTTGTGTTAGCTTGTGACATTTTGCTCAATAGTAGCATATCCAGCGTACAACATCTTTTTCTTCGCAAAAACTTCCGCAGCTGGCCATCGAGGGATCTAAAGTAAAACGACACAACCGACATACTCTAGCCAGAGATAGCTAAAATAAGCTTACATATGGCAGGATACACCTGGTATACACTATGATACCATATGAAGCGTTATGCATAAGGCTTGCCGTGACCATGCCACATGTGGAATATAAGTACGCATAATAGGAAGATTGCTAACACTCATCGAATCCGTATACTACCCGGTCGTATCAGTTGGTACGTAATGACATTAAAAATCAACACCATTGTTTTTCACACAGAAGAGACAACTGGCGTCGATCTCCTTCGACGAAGCGTGTCTTGGCCAGGTCAAGAACTATCTAATATTCACAAACACCCATTGTGATGACTGCATCACGAATGCTGATTCGTGTCGAGTCTCGGAATTAGGAGTAATGATTGACTAATACAATACGTGTATGTAAAGTGCGCAACTAGTGAATCGTGATGCTGATCGACGGCTCCCCTCCACGAATACGAGCGTCATCGTCTTTTACGCGTATGCTTTTACTTCGCCGGCGTTCGTTTGCCGCATTTGTGTGACGACAGCAGTGTACGTTTGTCATTGTTCGTTTCTTTCGGAGCCGCCGCCGCCGCCGCCGCCGCCGCCCCTGCTAGCGATGTCTACTTAACCGCTTACACTCGATCATATCCTTCTCACGTCATTTTGTCGATGACGGCAACCGAATCGTCTGCCGATAGTTTCCTTTTGCTCGCGATTTGACGACATTACGATATAGATGGGCCGGTAACAGCAGCAGTAGCACCACCCGTTTTCTGCTGCTCAGCTCCAAAGGGAGAAATGGAAGAAGAACTGATAAAGTGACGACACGCATCCTTTCGGCTATCTCGTTGTAGCTGCCAGGCCAGCGCAACGGCAGACTGTCACGCAAGACATTGTCTGCTGATTGTGGTTGTCGACGAGCATATTTCTAGTAGTGGTTTGTAAAGGATGTTCATTTTGGATGAAATATTACGCATACACTATCTACATAACTGGTGAACTTGTTAACTGTGGTACTTCATGCAGTTACATTAAAAGATACGCGGATTTATATGTATATACACGAACTTCATTAGAACGATTGCTATATAACGATGGTGGTTTGTTCGGGTCAACATCGTATTGAAAAAAAGGATGAAATCTCCATTGTTCGGATTGAATGTAAAATATAATTTCTGATGGTCTGATAGGGAGGAGGACGCGGGAACTGTTCGAGAACGGCTATATAAGTAGGGTGGTTCTTGAGGTTGGGCTTCGATGACCTATATTTTTCTTTCAACTATGCTAGCTCAACCTAGTATCTGCAGATTATATTTTTAAATTTCGTAACAATTTTACTTGTGGCTTATTTAAAAAATGCAGACTACGAATATGTTTTGCAAATGGTCTGCATGCATAGACGGTAGTTATCATGTAAGGGTATTCCATCAACACTTATTTTCCAATGACGTGCCACGCACATCTTGCTGTTTTTACCTGAGGTTACATACTTTTATACCTTCAAACCCATCTACTTTACCCTTTTACGGTCTCTTCATCTATAACACTTTTAAAAAAGCCATCAATCATCGATGATTCATAATCTGTTTCACTAAATTTTACCCGACTAAACAACTGTTCTTCTCCATAAAGCGTAGAGATCGTTTTTCTTGTCGAATGCGTCAGTCACCCCTGTTACTACAGCGTTACTGCCGCCATCATCAACACACTCCGACAGAATCTGCGAGGCTACACATTCGCATAGTCTCAACGTGGTAGGCCAAGCTGACTTTAGCCAACCTGCTGCTCAAGTATCAGCAAAAGCGACAGGACCGGCGATCAAAGCATGAAACAACATAGCTCTCTATGTCGTCTTACGGATAGTAATGGCGATGCCCATTTTGTCTAGGCCTTGTTCTGCATAGGTCTGCTAAGGTCTTGTGCGTGTTATCTCTCCTGCGTTGTCGTCGTCCGATTTCGATGTTGCCCGTCGCCACTGTCAGAATTGTCGCGCTTCTCGAAAAGTCGTATGAATGCATCGACTAGCGTTACACTATCGAGGCGTGTCACGGCGCAGCAGGGCGCAGGACATGACCAACTCGACACCAGTCGCGTCGTAGCCCTGTCGCAAGGCTGCCCTTCTCTAGTCGTCTTCCGTTAGCAAAAAAGGACTCGGGCCCCCCCTACTTTCTCGGGCTACCGCTAGCACACCCGCACTTAGCTACACACCGATGGAAACAACGGTACGAGTCGCAGCAGCATCGGCTGCTGGTGCCGGCGGCATTAACCAGTGACGCTCGGTGCTCACCACGCAGCAAGACAGCCGCTCACTTAAAGTCGGCGTCGCGCGCCAACTAACGGGAAAGAAGGAGGGACTTCTGTCTTAATACCGGTTGTTGTCCGCATGCCACTGATGCTACTAGCCGATTTCCTCTTCAGCCAGACAAACAGGGTAACCGACTAGGAAGAACGTCGCGGGAACTAAGCGCTACTTGGTTTTCTTTTATATATGCTTCTTCTTCTTCCTGCTTCTAGAACTTGTGCTTCTGGCTCTCTACTGCAACTAGCATAATTAGTGCGCGCCGTGGCCGCTTCCCCTACCAATAATAACTCATTTGAAGTTATACCACTACGAATTCTGTGGCGGCTATAGTTATACTTGGCCACCCTGTGTCACCTACGATTGATCAGATTGTTTTCATTGTCCAAGGAGGTACTAGTGACGGATTCGCTACGGCTGCAATTTGACTCAACATCGTACTGAGTTAGCAGTCTCCGCAGGCGTGGGACAGCAGCGACCCGATAAAAAACAAGAGAGAAGCAATTTCGTCGGTTGGAGTAAAAGGACGTTCCGATAGCGTTTGTAGTGCACGCGCGAAACTGAGCGAGTGGAAAAGCGTGAGAGTTCGTTTCGTCGAAAACCGAAATCATTTGTCTATATTTGTTGTTAAGTGTTCAACAATGATGCCAAGAGAAATCCTAACTATTGTGACACATATAACGGGACCAGCAGCAGCAGCAATGAATCGAAAGAGATAATAGAAGGCAAGCAACAGATTAGAGAAATTGTCAAATAAATCGTTGATGAGAACCAAACTGCACAAAATACTCGAAGACCTGAAAGCACCCATTGAATCTTCAAAGAATACTCCGACGTTTGTTTGACTGCGTATGTGGATCGTATCGATTATCAAAGACTGCATGTTATATATGGGTTATATAAACATTTGAAGTGGAACTCTTTGATTCAGAAGAAAAATTTGAAAAACGGTCTAGTTCGGCGGACAAAATGAGTGCACCTACGGAAACAAATAAACAGATAGGGGCCGACACACAGGCCAATGAAACTGGAACGACGACAATAAGCAGCGTTGCTATACAAAGCGGTGCAACAAAACTTGTGCTCGCGTTGTTACAGGTTGGTCTGAGCCGGTTTTTAGGACACGTAAACATTTTTAACAGCAAGTTAACCGTTCCGTACGTATCTGAAAAAAAGGGTACTATGTTTTTCGACATTTTGGACTAAGAAACATAGGAAGTCATTATAGTCCGATCGTAAACGTGTTGAGCTTGTCTTCGAGGTTTGCTAGCATTTACAACTAAGCAAAACTATTGTATGTTTTTAAAGCCGTTTGTGAAGATTTTATGGAGTTGCATTCTTTTTTTTTGAAGCTTTTTCCTTTATGAAGCTTGTATTACTATGTTGCCTGTAAAACCTATCAGATCTGTTACTCCTTAATTTATTTGTGTACACAATGTTTACTGCGCTGATAGCGAACACCGCCAAGAATTTTATCTTGCCTATTAATATATATCGTGTAAACGAAACATCGCTCAGTCAACACATTTTATAGATTCATCAAAAGGAAGGAGTCAAAAGGAAGCCTCTTGATGTTCTAATTGGGTGCCATTAAATGATCACCATACGTTTATAGTATGGCGATCTCTGTCGATTCAGGCCATCAGTCATTGGTGCTATTGACCGACACCTTTCGTTAGTGAGGCCAATGACAAACAAATGCATCGTCATAAGGTCTTGAGATTTTTGTGCTGCTAGGACCCTATGCATCTGGCCAAAAAGGCTGTATTGGATGTGGTTGGTAGAGAAATAGTTATCCATATAGTTGTAGAATATGGTTAAAATATCTCATCACAAATATTTCACTCGAAGTTTGCGGTTTATCATGTGATAGGCACTATTTTGAATTTATAGAAAATTAATTGTCATTTTGTCAAGTATAGTACTGTTGGTCGTGTTACCCATTTATGACGTAAGTTGTATTGCTCGGTCGATATGTCAGGTTGAGTCAGCATTCTGTGATGCGAAGTCTTTCATGTCAAACGGTGTTTGATGTTTGTGCTAACTTCCAAGGAACTGTTTATTGAGGCAATGATCTGTTTGTAGATAGAATGAACGTATTTCGTCTCAGCGGTTTTTAGCAATTCTTTGTACACTCATATCAGTTCGGAAGTCTTTGCTTTATTAATTCTGCATTAAATGCTTTTCTTCTATGAAAAGCTTACAACATAGATTCCACAGCTCTCAAGGTCCTACCAGACCCAATCGCCGGTCGTTTAAAGATCACACAAGAGCACTCACAGTATAAGATAACTGTCTGACCAAATAAGGTCTTTGTTCCTACCATATCAACCATTATCTAAACGATTCATGTTCGGCCAACCTGCCCGTTTGCTTCAGCGCGGATCAAGAGAAGTTGCAATCTCTACGAGGACTCAACACGAGCATTTTTATTCAGGCCCCTTTGTTATGCAGAAGGGCTTTGGCAATGTATTCTGCATTAAAAACATTGTTTTAGTTAAAACATATTCTCATAGTTTTTGTTGGCTCAAAAACCCCTCAATCGCTCCTTTTCTGTTGTTCTCCTTTGCCCTCTATCGAAACTCCACACAATTACTTCGCGTGTCGCCAGTTGTTTACTGGTCTATCGGGAAACGCTTGTATAGAAACTCTTACGGCCAGACATAATTAGTTTCTATGCTAGCAGTGCTCACCTGCAGAGCGCCTCATTGTTAATTGGCTATGGCGTCCGTAGCGACGCCATTTTTCCCCACTCCACCTTCTGGGCTACCAGACAAGTTAGATCGCTCACTGAATGACTTTACTAGTAGTATTCGCGGTCTTTTGAAATGGGTCAGTGGATCTAATAGGAGCGAATTAGTTCCCTGAACAACATTTGAAGCTCTAAACACTTCCCTTATAACGACGCTATAATAGCTGACACACAAAATCATTGGAAAGAAACAATACTATCTTCTCGCACGGGCGAAACGCCTGAAATTATTAATCTTCTACATGCCTTGATTAATAAACGTTAAGGCGTTTGCCCTTTATTACTATAGAACATCGAGATTTGTTTAGGAATGCTTAAAAAGGAATACCGAGCTGCCGGTTCATACCGAAAATTTGTGCAAAGTTCTGTTTGAAAAAAGGCCCAACATTACAGATATCGTGGTGTGATTTTTTTTTGTTTAGCTGCAGGTCTAAGGGTATCGTTGTGAGCATCTCGAGGCTTAGTCGAAAAATTAATTATAGAACGTGACTGTTCTTTCCACACTTTTACTATTGGGCAAAAGTACCAATTAGATAAAGACTACTTTGTTGTGTCTTCAAAATACCAAGAAACAAGTATCGGCTGGAAGGTTCATTCTGGCCTGTTAGGTGCATTCCAGTAGCTTGTAGGTGATTTTGTTTCCCCTGACATCTGTGTACAGAAGTGCCATTTATCGCTTCGTGTTGGTGGTACGGTATGAACCTTCAAAGCAGAAAATTAATATAATAGAGCGTAATTAAAAGGGGACTATGCTGTCGGCACATAACTAGAGCTGAGCAGTAGGAATTAAAAAACATTATTTAAGGTCTCTCCTGAAATATTCACTTTCCTAGAGATAATAGAAACGGTTTCGTTAACCTGTGTATAATTACTCTAGTTTCGAGTTCTTCGAAACGTTTTCTCATGTAGTAAATTCGTTGTTGAATAAACGAATTACGTTTACATATGATATGGATAGAGGGCTGTGTAATACCATATGATTTTTTTCGTTACTCGTCGACCAGTGTCTTTTTTTTTACGAAAAAGAAGGATCCTTTTACGAACCACAGCCAGTTAGGTGAGTGTATAGAAAAGCATATTATTAAAGCATTAAACAACTGCGTATTTGGTAGATGTTGATTTTCACGTAGTACGGGTAATGGGCTCGCAAGCTTTAGCCAGAAGCTGAAACACAGTTCAAACATGCCACCGAGGATACTGAGTTAGCTTCGATGCCCGGCTATGCGGAGGCGTGTTTTAGGGGACCATGGCAAGACCATAACACCTTATGATGAAAATTCTAGTCTATCCATAGGTCAAACACTAAGCAAACTGTCTACTTTCGACCAATGGCGCCCTGAATGCCACATAGCAAATACACGGGCTGCTAACGAATATAGCAATAGTAATTAACTAGGTGCAGTCTTCACGAATGGCTGAGAAGAAGGTTTTTGACGATAGCTAGATATGACCATGTGCGGTACAGTCTGTAATGAGAGAAAGCTTTGCTACGGATAGGAGCGGCATAAACCGGCAGCCTGAAACTGGACCTATTTACATATCAACGGCCCTTAATTGTTCCACTTTTATTCGATTAAAATAACAGGGTTCTTAATGATTTGCCCTATTATGCCCTGTAATATTGTAGACCAATTTACCTATTGCCAGTTACACTTCAGTAGGCGTCCTCTTTTTTACGTGCACAATATAGGGTTAATATGCATTCGCATTTATCAGACAATTAATTTTTATTTAATCGAGTCTAGACTGATCGTCTAGGAATTGATTTCATAGATGTTTCAATTGGTATCTGCCACAGTTCCAATTCGTCCTATTCCCTCTCGTGCGAATACCGCGGCAATTGTCAATGTGCTACAATCGGATATTTTGTGACCGGGGTTTTGTGACTATTAAAAATCGTACTGAATTAAGCTCTTCAAATGAGTATGGCACAAGACTACTTTTTCGTTATTGCTTCTATATACGTACTCTTTAGGACATTTTATCTAGTTCACACGGCGAAAGGACCGAATACAAAACAAAAGGCTACTAGTTCATATAACAAATTTTAAGATCGGTCTTTTCGATCTATGTCTAATCGATGGGTAACGTAATTCGTGAGAGATATTTCACTGCTTACCCGCCGCTGTAGTAACGGCTCATGTAAGGGTAGATTTCATCCAGAAGCCAGCTTGTAGGAGCTTCTGACGTCGGCGAAAGGTTTAGAACAGGTAAAAAAGAATCACTTCCTAAATATCGCCATTGATGAAGAACACGGTGTTTCAAACTAAACCTTGTGTAAATTAAGGCACACAAATTCGGAAACGTCGTGCGCAAGCTCATTTAAGTAACACAGAAAAAAAACATGTATAAGGATACACGCAGGGGAGACAGTATGGATCTGTCAAAAAAAGAGGTTTTTGCTTTCGTGCTCCATGAAACACGTATGCGTATAGGGTGTTCAGAAAGTTATCGGAGAGCAGTTAAAGCTTGGTGGTTTGAAGGGTGATCTAGCGGTAAACTTAATTGATGTTCCCTCTTCTGTAAAGGCGTTAGGAGATATGACGGTTTTTGAGAAAATAAAAGAGAAATCATTACAGACAAAATATCTTCGTAAAGCAAGCTACATCGAGTGCTCAATATCGTAACCAGTCGTCTATCAACCTCCTAGGTACGTTTTTCTGCATTGAAACGATATTAATAATAATAAACGTTAAGAATATGTAACTACAGAAGTCCGAGTGAAGGCAAATTGCACAGAAGGTTATATTTAAAAACCGTCAAACTTTACTCTACAAACAACTATGCACTGATATATAGAAGTAGTACTGCCAGTAAACTGTCAAAGACTCCATACCCAGGATGACGCCATACCTCCAAAACACGTGGTCACTGCGATTAAAATCCCTCAAGATTAAAATATGTGTAACTTGGCAGGTAGTACAACGTTCAGCCGTTGAGCCTGCTACTGGTAAAAAGGTAACCAATGATTTTTTCGGATTGTTGCAAAATGACAAAAAAAAAACTGTTGGTTATGCCACCACTACCGCAGCAAACGCTCATGATTGCTTGTTCGTTTAATTGTATGGTTCTCGGGATTGTGTTTTAACCCCAACGTCAGTAATATATTTAAGGGTTTGTCATACTAGCTATGCGTTTGAGGTTTCGTAACCTCCGTAGCCGTAATCACACTCTCTTATCGGCCAATTTAAAGGGAGCAATTTTCACGGTGAGAATGGATGGGAAGTGAGAAAGTAGAAACTTTACATGCAGTCAGGTAGAGGTCGGTCTTCAAAAACGTAGCGTGATTTTCCAACGAATAAAGAAAAACTGCACTAAGAAAGGGAGGGAAATATAGTGAAATCTCAGATTCTCGCACACATGTCTCTCACTATAATAATTAGATTTAACAAAGATATTTATAATAAACCTCGACGCTGTTGCATGGCAAGTAAGAACAGCTCGTCTTGCAAGAAAAGCTTCATGAAAAATGTTATTGAACCCTTTCAACTCATATTGCTTGAAGATGCATAGGTGAATTCACTTTGTCTATGCTATTTCCAGCTGTTTAGATATTGAATATTCTGTGATGAATATACGTTCGTTTTTAGACGAAATTGGCATGTAAACTAATATCAGACTTTTAACACGCAGGCCTGTGAAGGTGCGTAATTATATGCTTACAAATCGTTGTGTTACTTTGTATACGTTACACATAAAATTAAACCAAGATGCTGAAACTATTTTTGTGCGGAATGCTCTTCTTTTTTTTATCAGAAAAACGCCAGAGGCCTTTTGGATCTGGTCATTAGCGTCATTCAGCCTCTGAGATAAGAAAACGCACCGGCAAATTTTAAAATCTGCGCCAAAGTCTTTTACTGTAAACGGGTTTCCAGACATCCGGTACTTAGGTTTTTTTGTTAAGTCTAAAAGAACACAGATAGTTGAGATAACCATACCTAGATCAAAGAAGTACCATTAACAGTTGGTCTAGTAAGTGGTGCGAGCCTGATTACTAGAAGCTTCGCCCCGAGCCTAAAAGACAGCAAGCGGTCGTTGACCTGTATGTTTCCCATTAGCGGTTGCACGCCTAGAGCCGACGCGTCTTGCAAGCTCGCCACTTTTCACAGAATTTGAGCGGTATTAAGCCCACGCTTAGTCATATGATAAGCCAGCACGGTAACATTAATTAAAGATTCTTTTTATTTCTAATACCTATATTAGTAGCAGGCGTCAATACTATATAGACCAGAAGAGATGAGCTGCTAAAATAGGCTTCAGAATCCACTACACTTATAGCCCGTTGTACGGTAATTGTTGAAAAAGAGGACTTGCAAACCTACTAAGATCTTTCAACATGGGTTATATTACTGATTATTCCACAAGATTTCAACATATTTACCTAACCTTTGTGTAGATTATCAAGTACCCAAAACGCCTCTAACTTAAAAATAACTTCGATAATAAATCGATGAAACATTATATATTCTATGAGATGAAATCGTTTAGGGCGGAGTTGAGATTGAGCCTATATCGGATTTGTTATTAAACACGTAGGGCTTGTACTTAATTTCTGGTAAAACCATTTATTTCTTTCGTAGAAGCGGTATTGTAGGAAACGATACCATGTACTGCCATTTGTAATGCAACTTAGTTTGAGAACTGGAACACGCCCATTTTAGTAGTTCCTATTAGGTAAGGACTGACTTCAGACGCTACGAGCTAAGTGGATTTCGAGCAGGCTAATGCGTCGAAGAGAATACTCCTCGATTGTACCCGTCTGGACTAGTGCAATCTTCGAATAGCTTCACGCAATAGATTGCTTTGTGGGCTAAAGCTATACTGTCATTCTGATATGTGAGATTAGTATTAGACTGCAAAGCAACCAGCCCATTTCAACCTTCTGTTGGCTCGAACAGTCTGGTTATCTTCTACTCGTCAATAACCAGCTTTTTTTAGGCGCGTTTATTTGAAATTTTAATCTCGTGCACTGCAAGTTGCTAACCGGTTTGGCTACGCGCTGTTTTATGTATCCTAATTCACTGAAGATTCTTGATATTTTTCCCTAGACCCCGCTTCCCTTGTGAGTCATAGAATCTTGTAGCGCCAAACGATAAACAAAACAATGTATATATATATGTATATATTTCATAGAACTTAAAAGAATGATTACATTGAGCTGTGTAACCCACATATATATATATATATATATATATATATATATATATATATATATATATATATATATATATATATACATAGCAGATGCAAGCAGAGAATCGATAGGGCGCGTCCAGTGCTCGCCGTAAATTTAATGAGAAACGAAACACAGCTCCGTAGGTATGGAAGTAGCAATCGTTGTGACAAAAACTATGTGGGAGTATACTTCGAGCATATATTAAATAACTCGAGGCACCCTATTAACAACAGAGGTTTTTATTTCACATCTGTTAAGGTATCCAGAAATATATAAATTGTTGCAAGGAAGAAGTTCTTCGGCCATTGGTAACACATTGGCATGAGCTTCTCAAAGCAGTCTAAAAACACTTGGCTTACTTATTATATTGTCGTATTGGAAGTGATATGATCGCGAATCCATATTACTATGGGGGTTTCAACCAATCAATGTATAGTTTCTGTGCCATGTATGGTATGGCCGACGCTGCGTTTTGGCATTAGCACATAAAACGTCGCCGAAAAAAGCTTACTTTTTTATTTTGACATTTAGAGCTAATACTTAAAGCAGAAAAGAAAGCTCCTTTAGTATTTAGAAAACAGATTATTTATTTTATATTATATTCTCTATTTCAGTGTGCGGAATGCATTAAGCTAAAAATTCAAGAAATGGTACCTTTATTCACGGATATCGGATCGAATCTTGAGGAGGCTTCTCAGCTCTGTAAGCAGCACGATTCTGTCTTGGAAAAACTTCAGGGGCAGCAGAATCCTGTTGAAGAGTTGCTAAAGCAGGCAGATGAAACAATTACTAGACAGAAACCTAGGAAAGAGGTTAGTACTATGGACTGTGAATTGCACAATAGATTAGGTCCTGTGCGGGTTCGCGAATACCGCTAAAAATATAGTACCGATATCATATATAATACAAACTCTCTCTCCCCCCTCTCTCTCCCACTCTCCCCTATTTCCAATGGGTTCCATAACGGAGTTAGAATGACCATATCCGGAGACAGAATGAGCTATTCGTCAAATAAATGCGTTACGTCAGTCTACATCAGTGACTGCAACACTAGTGGATACCACTATGAAAACTACAAGAACGTCAATTAACTTATTTCGCAGAGTCAAACAACCTTAGAAGTTCATGAGTTGAGCGATGACTTTAAACGCGCATGTGATAGAATAGACGAAGCCAACGTCAAATTATGGAGTAAATCTTACCGGGGAAACCGGGCGTAAATTCTAGAACGTGCGAGTATAGCCTTATTACCAAATATAGGTAATTTCTTTTTCCTTCAGGTGTATCAAGCAATGGCTGATAGTCTCGGCCATGCATGGAGGGATCTGAATAGCCAGTTAGAACAGAGGAAACTTATCCTACACCAGGTATATATGTATATACATATAAATGTGTATCGAAAAGAATAGAAATAGTAATAATACAGGTACATTGTATATTAGTCATAAAAGCGGTTGACATTAACTTACTACTACATTTGGGAAATACTTTCGAACCTAAGATTGATCGTAATAATATCATAGCGCTAAGTTATTTTCCAGCTTCATTTTGAAAGTCTCTAGCTTAAACAAACTAGGCGCGTTTTGGTCGAATTCGGCCGCTAAAGTTCCTCCTTTAACTGAGAATAACCGTATTGCGTTAGGCGGTGATGTTCCATACACGGGCACGAACACTTCTTGAGAAGCTGACTCGTGCTGAAATGGAATTCGGTGAAAGCTTCATTCCTCATGATGCGCAAAAGTGCCACCAGGCATTAGAACAACTGCGAACAGCAAGAGAAGGTAGGCGTCTAATTAATTGAATCAGACTTGCATGAGGTCAGCAAGTTCCGCGTCTAAATTGCTGTCTCTGACAATTGACGTATGAGCGGTTCAAGTTCCCAAGCCAAATACTGCCCGTTGAACTTTCTTCTTATCTACGAACTATTTTAATTGAACTAACGTTTGATGATGATTTTTTAGCATTGACAAATTGTTCGAAGCAGCTGTCAACCGAAGCTGATCTACTTCTTGATTTTGTGCGTCCCATTGCTGAACGTTCATTGGCAGACTCACGGTCAGAGTACATGCGAAAAGCCGCCGAAAAGACCCTGCGAGAAATTAGCGACTACGAGGAGTTCTTACAGACGAAGATGGCGGAGGTGAGCATGAACAGATTTCCACTTCAAAAATAAGCCTCGTGTTATTTAGATCCTCATCCGGTCACTCGACTGTAGTCAGTCCGTTTTTATTTACCTATTCCGGCATTCTATTTTATGGTCGTTTATATCAATCTGGACGGACTCTAGAAGATACGTTAGTTAGTATTAGTACGTTATTAAAATTACGACTGTTAACTGAGTACCTCGTAAAAATACGTTTAAGTAGAACAACCTGGGTAATACGTACGTACGATTCATAATTTCGAGCTAACGCAATGGCGATTGTCGGAGCTTAAATTAGTCTGATTATTGTTACTAAAGGAAACCATCGTTTCTCCGAACACCGACTATAGAGTCTTAAGCGTTCGATCAGCGTCCGCTTATTCTGATGTAACTCTGGCTAACAAGTCAAACTCTGTTGACCCTCAAATAATTAACGTCCAACGTTATTTTATCTAATGCGAGTTTATTCATCTCCCATTACTTTCCATACAGATCATGTATAAATAACAATGCAGAAATCATCACGCAACGTTACTCTATAGACACACAAACCCACGAAATAGGTTAGGTCCTACATATGTACAACATCAGACTGCATTACATCTTTCTTAATAATGTTTTTCGTACAAGCTAATTTTCCAGTACCTTGTGTCCGTCGTTCCTCCCCCATTAACGATTAATTCTATATGCATATCGCAGAAGTACTTCATTCACTTCTTGCACACGCCAGTTTTCCACCCACGTGTCCTTTCCCCGCTCATTCGCATTATAACCATCGCACAGAACTGTTTGCCGATCTATTCATTGCCGCTCCCTTACACCTAATGGCTATATCCGTGCTGAGTCTGAGCACTAACGGTGCCTGACGTGACTGCCACAATTTTGAGCTCGATTGCGCAGTAATCATCCACCTACTCCTGTCCGCCCGAGTCGTCTCTGACCGTCGTCAGCATAAGAACATCTACCAGCAGCCTATAGCTTAACGTCGGTTTGTGATCTCCATTCGGCCTTTTATGTTCGTATTGACGATTGACCGCTACGCTCTGGCACACACCGTTGATCTAGCAATCTCAACTTAACGACTGCGGCTGGTTCTTGTTTCGGTGGTTCACGATACGTCCCAGTTGCAGGGTCGCGCCATAGGACTCGAGTTCAAAGTAAACACTGCTGCAGCGGCTGTTGGCGGCTTGATAGCAACATTCTCGTTCGACGCTCGCTGCCTCTATGGAAGGGCCTGACGACGTATCGCTCGCAGACACCGGCTGTAGCCGGACCGAAAGACACCAGTCAGTGCGGTAGTGTCTACACCGTCCGTCGTTGTCGCTAGATTGAACAGTTGATTAGCTTAGTCAAGTTGAAGCTCAGGTCTTCAGTGGTGTTACCGCTACTAATACGGCATTGTTTTTATCGTATTTCCACTCGCATCGCATTTGCATCATCATAATTATAATTGTTTGCCTGTGTATCATTGCAGGTGGAAGTGATACTGTCTCAGAGGGAGTTCATGTTGATTGGGTCGACTCGCAAAAGAGAGCTGGAAGAGGGTCTTCGTTCTCTGGAAGAGTGGTACCGATCTGTTAGCAAGAAGATTCTCGATGAGAGGTCGCTCGGAAGCAGCAGTCAAACAACTCAGGCCATACTCAATGACCTAATCGGGAAACTCGACGACGTTAAGAACAAACGCCAAGTAGGTAACCCGGTTTTCGTGCGTTTTCTACTTATGATCAAAAGTGGTTCATCATAGTATAAGTGCAATGAGGGTTGTATGAAATGAGGTAACTCTAGATTTTGCTAGCAAGACCTCATAGCACGTAGAACTGAATGGGATATAAATATACGTTTTAGCTTTGAGTAAAATGGCTATTATTTGTCAGTTATAATCAGGCGTGAATAGGACTTCACGCCAGTGTCTGAAAGAATACCGATGACGACATTAACTCGGGACGGTGGTCGAGCATAGGATTTTCAGTAGTATATAGTACCTTCTCAATATTCTACACTAAGTCCATGAGATCTTCATGGACGGAAATATACTAGTTCATGCAAACTGTCGTAGTTGAATATTTTCTGTTCGGTGTATTTTGTCTTCCTTGTTACCCTTTCGTCCACATTGAGTATATGGACTGAAAATTTGCGCTTCACTGGTAACGAAGCCGAAACGCGCACACTCTTCATTTACAATCTTACACAGCCGAATGAAAATTGATTTTACTATGTACATAATCAGTACGTTACGATCTTTGTCAGCAGGCGGCAATCAAACTATTGAAGTCTACTGAGGATCCATCGTGCGGCGGTTACACAAGCTCCGATCTTCAGCAGAGAGCTTATCTTCTTCTCTCTAACATCACAGATGTGGAAGAAAGTCTTCACACAAGAATTGAATATCTCCACAAGGCGGAAGATTTCTTCACAAAGACGGATGAGGCTCGTTGTCATGACAGATCTGCAAAAGCCTTATATATATATATATATATATATATTGTGCAATACTAAGCTCGAATTAATATTGTCCAATTATTAGGCGATGCTTATAACAGAATAATATATCCCTAAAATGCATCAATCGCAGCTGATTATGATATTTGAAGATTAATATTTTCCAGAAGTATCTAGGATTACTAACGTGTACTGCTTCTATTAATATTGCCGCAATCCAGCAAACTGCTTGGCAGCGTGAATTTAAAAAATTTTATACTAACTAAAATTTCTCATTTTGTGCTGATCGCCATTTTATTTCTGCATTTGTAGATAATTGGGAACAACAAAGACGACGCCGACGCTGATTGTGCGAAAAGGAAAGAAATACTCGTTAAAGAAGCTCAAGATTTAGTAAAATTTTATGAAGTTGAACCCTCTGCTGTTGCTGGTGTTAAGATCGCTTTGAATAAGCTCATAAATAGAACTACAGCAGAAACGATAACAAGCACAATAAGTCAAACCTCAACTTCAGGCAGGAAGAAGGCTGACACAACAGGTGGACAAAGTCTGCTTTCATCGAGACCGAAAATCTCAGAGGAAAAGTTGCTAATGAAGTCGGCGGGTCAAAGACCAAACAAGCCATTACCAGCGGTGCCTAATTTATCTGCTAGAGAAAAAGTTGAATCAACTTTAACTACGGAAACAGCTAAAGTTTCCACTACACAGGATCAGCCCGCCGCCGCTAACGATGAGAGATCGCTGTTAACATCGCCTACCGAGTCAGATCTCTATGAAGAGGTCACGCCACAGTCCCTGAACGAGGATAAGCTTCAGCCAGACGTTCCACGCAAACTTGAAAAATACAAAGAAAGTCTGGTGAACGAATCTATACAGGATACGTTCCCATCTAAAGATCAAGTTGCTCCGCAGCAAATAGAAACGATCCAAGCGCCGCCTGCTTCCGTCGAGGGATCTTTTGATCAAAAGGTAACTCAGTCAAAGACCTATATAGTAATGTAAATATTCTGATATTAAATATATAGATAAAAGTTTCATGTAATCAAATTAGTAGAAATTATTAGTAAACTAATTACCTGTATTATTGAGTTTGTAAAAACATTTGATGATTGCATACGTGTGGATGAGAAATACCAAGGCCTTTTCGTGCAATGGTCTTCGATGACACTTATTTCCAAGTCATATTTTAGCCACTTATTTTTTAAATATTGGACAGGTTGTTTGTAAATCTATGGATAAGGAGATCAAGGAAAAGAAGACGACTTACAAAGAGGTCCACCTTGAAGAAGCGAAAATTACTTCAACTGGCATTCTCCGTAAAGAGTTCAAGTCAGAAGTAAAGGTAGATGTTTAAAATACGAAACAGATTCATTGTATTGGATATCATTGTTCAGTTACTTCTTCTACCGTCTTATTGTGCTCAGCTGAAGTAATTGGGCAAATTGTTATTGTACGTTAAGAAATTGTTATATCCATAGTTACAGGTGGCTACTATGATTGCGGATACTAAAACAACACCAAGTCGATGCATAGATGAGCAGGTAAATAACCGATCGCTTCCTGGTAAGGACATGTTGTCCTTCATATACATATAAGCGGGTAATGAATATATCACTGTGCAGCATAATCAAATATCGCAAGTGTACCACAGATTCTTTATCCTTACCGCAGATATGGTAGGTCATAGCGACGTCTTTTATTAGGAGATTTTCTTGATAATTTGCTTGGCTTGCGCTGCGTTAATATATAAACGAAGCTTTTTACTACAAAATATAATCATTTTTAGCCCCTTAAAAACCTATGAGGCAAAAGTGGTTTTTAGCGCATGTGCTCTATGTATCTGCTTCTTACATTTTCAGAAGACTAACGATCAGGCGTTCGTTATTCAGCGGAGCCCGTCGTTTGTGAATTTCTGTTCTAAGATCTGCTCGATTGAAAAATGGCTTCACGAGGTGCACGAGCAGCGATGCATTTTTATGAACAGAACTCTGATATTTTGTTAATGCCTTCCTGTGGGGCCAAAATCGCGACTACTGGATGTCATAGCCGTACCTTATATAAACTAAAACGAAAATGCTAAATTGCATCTAAAATATCTATAACGTATAAAACCTATGATTGAAATCGACCTCAGATTCGGCATTCATAGTTTTACTAGGTGCTCTTAATAACGATAATCTACGATAAAATGAAGTCTACGGAGCTCATTTTTCACTTGAATTATCAGAGACTAGAAACTGTCCTCAGTTAATAGGGAACTAACCGCATATTTCTTCATGTCGGTGATGTACGCAGGTGTTAGACGCGTTTCTTCAACAAAACGTTGCGATCGGGGCGGATCTGATTAATGTCAAAAAATTTTATCAAGAACACAGTAAAATACAGAATGACCTGAAGGTCAAAGAGATGGATGCGTTGGCAGCGTTCTCAACGCTTCCGGCTGTTCTTTCTATTGGAGGTATATATACATCAATTCAATTCCGTTTTGATGACTGAATTCTGATTTAGCAATTTTCTTCAATAATTTACATTCGATACTTTGTTCAGGCGACGATGCAGCGGACGCACAAAAACACGGTCAAAAACTTCGTGATGACTGGGAGCGTATTGGCAATATTCTTGAGCTGCGAGTCCGTCTTGCCCAAAGATACGTCAACTTTCTCAAGCTCTCTGTTCAGGTAATATTTCATATAAATGGCCCTTTCGAATACGAGCCTATAAATAATGCCTCAGGATGTCCCATGAGATCCATTTATCCAACACTGTCAATTAATTCAGCTCCTGTATGTTATATCATATCGTTCAAATACATCTATAGCTGTCCTCAGATATGTCGGAAGTGGAAGAATCTGTTGGGCGAGCCCGTGCCGATTTATCGGAAGTTGAACAAAAAAATCTTTTCCAAAGCTGGATGAACGCCCAACAGGCAATCGTGCAGTTCAATCATCAAGCGAAGATTATTCAAGATGACGCAAAACGGGTACGTACCGCATTCGATCTTTCTATTCGGATCTAGTAAGAGAACCTTCGAAGGTAGCGGTAGGAAAATCATTGATTCAAACTGTTGTGAATAAATAGAACTCGAGAAAAGTAAATATAGTTTTTATATTTGGACGTTTTTTTTACATACATCGATGTGTAGATATATATACTCATGAATGTATATCAACGACTTAGCATTAGTACCGCGTTCAACCTAAATCGTAAGGAAATTTTTTTTACTGGCGCCTTAATATTATATAAAACAACTTACAGATGCAGGACCCATATTTGGATGTTGCCGCATTAGTCTCGGCAGTACAAGCTGTACAAGCCACCGTTTCAACGAGAAGAGATATTCTAAAGAAAACATTCGACGTCTGGGAAGATCGAAAACGATCTCCGCCACCTCCTAAAATTTCACAGGTCGGCATTACCGCCAAAATGGTTCACAGCACGCAAGTAGGAACTATATCAATTGAAAAGCAAGCCCCTTTGTCTACAGTTTTAATTATCCTGTATTCTGTAATTGAGTAGCTTTGATTGATTAAAATCCCATATAGATATTTCTTTGCTTTCTTCTTTTACCACCTATACTAGGTTTGTCACAAAAATGCAGTTTCTGTTCTATAGGTAACGTGGCTTTTGTTTCTCTGGTGTAGGCAGAGCAGCTAATGCGCGAAACACAACGCACAAAAGAATCCGCACAGAAGCTGGAGAAGGAGCTCTTCCCAATAATTCCTCGAGAGCTCAACCGTGCAGAGAGCATCCGAAGGTATCTGAATAGGCATATTGACACCCTCATGCCACTTGTTAGGGTACGTATAGCTTTCATGATACACAGCTCACGATTGTCATTATAAAATACGGTGAAAAATAATTGGATTAATCTTTTTTGGAGCCGATGGTGAGCCACTCTGTAATTGTATAGGTATACCTGCTGGATTACAGACAGTACAATCCGAGTTGGAGGTCCGACTCCGGTCCATGGACCATTTGTTGACGAAGGCACAGCACGAGTCAGAGAAAAAGGAACTGCTCAAGGTTAAGGACGTCTTGGAGGAAGCCCTTAGTAGGCTACTAACAAAAATTAGCGACTACGAGAGTATTGTTGAGAAGCTTGCCGGCTTCCTTGTTAATGTGGAAAAGGTGAATGAATATGTATATAAGGTTTAGCTAATCAAGAATGGTACTCTTGAAAAAGTTTCGCCTAACGCAAGATCTCTCTCTGTACGCACTCTCGGTATTGAATTTGTTTTCCATATTTAAATAGTAGATTTTTTTTTATAAACAATAGATTTATGATCTTGAACAAGCTAGGTGCAACTCTCAAGTTTGCAAAGTGATAACTTGAGCTATATTTTATCTTTGTTAGATGGAGAAAAGTGCGGAGACTGTTGAAAAGCTCGGCAAAGGTTCCGGTTGCGATCCTATTGCGTTGGAGGATCTGGGTAGAGCTCTTGAAACTCAGCAGACTCATGCTTTAGACCGAGTTGTTATTCTGGCACAGGAATCTGATCAATTGGTCCAGCTCATCGATAAGCTTGTAGGATATTATGTTCATCAACTAATTGATGACTCAGCTAACCTCGGCGTAGTGTTAATGAAATCTTTGAATGTTAGTCTGTGTTCGAAAGGTCGACAATTCGTTGAATTTAGTCCTGAGACATACTACTGTATTGCAGGAACCGGCTGCGGCGGCAACCCGCGATAAGGAAAAAATTTCTCGCCTAGTAGAAGCCACAAGGCAACATTTTGAAAGTGTTCTGTCTCAACAAAAAGTTAAACTGGCCGAATCGAAAAAACTATTAGACTTCAAGGCGAACACACAGGCGAGTTTCGAAATTATCAGAAATCGCCCAACCAAATTATTAGATTTTCTTAGCTGTTGGGTGGTCATATCAACCACGTGCTCAATTTTCTATATAAACTGTTGTTACATTAACTCAATTTTTTATATCTATTCTCACTTCTACGAGCTTAATTAGCTCTATATTGTGAGTTGACCTAATAGAGTACAATAATGGTCACAGATGTTGAATCAACGAATTGACCAGCTAAGTGAAGATCTGTCCTCGCTAAGATCGGCCTTCGGTGATAACTTCATAGCTGCAAAAACCGCACAAACATCGTTTGAGCACTTCGAGGAGACCGTTAAGGTAAGTAAATAAATTTATCGCATATCAACCATATTAAATGTATCAAGTGTTCTTATTAGACGAAATCCTTATTAAACAAAGAGCCATATGCTCGTACCAATGGGAAAATACAAATTTTGCAAAAGAGTCATGAATTGCTACGGGGACGTTCGTGTATGAGTACCTTGTGTTTTGCATCGTTTGTCGTCTAATTGAATATATAACTATTTGTTTTACGACCGTTTATATTATATTAAACACTTATATTTATCAATGGTTTTAACATTGACCGTCAGTGTCTAGAACGACAAATCAATGAGTTCGTGAAGCTGTCGCAACGTTTGACTTCTGATCGGCGCCTGGATACGCGGCAGGTCAAAAGCGAGGTAGCTAGTCTACAATTCAAGTGGAACGCATTCACGCGTCTGGTACAAGACAACCGCAAGTTGGTAGATGTCGGCGTTCTCTATTTTTCTGTTCTCGACGAGGTTCGTAGCATTATATGTACGACTATCTGAGACGTAGCGTTCTTAAATTCAATGACATACTTTATTAAAATTGAAGTGATGTATAATGGTAAAAAGAATCCGCGTCAACGTCCTCAGTTTTTAATAAGACTACATCTTTTTATTCTTATCGTATCTACTAGACCGAAAAATGGTACCGCGAAACAAACGACTACCTCGTCCGGGTCAACCAACTCTGCAATAATGCACAGAGGGCTGACAAAGAAGTACTTCTTAACGAAGTTCAAAGTCGGATTCATTCGTCGCAACTAGACCAAGAGGACCGACTTAAAAAGTAACATTTACCATATTGACACTGCTCAGAAATACGAAGCGGTTTAGATTTCAACCTTCCGAACGCCTGCTAAACAAAATTGGTTATTTTATAATTTAATTTCCTTCTTGTTGGTTTCTGGTATCCCGTATCGATTCTAACATTACACACACTATCTGCAAGCATGTTGTATGCCCTCAGCAGCTTTTACCCTCTGAGATGAAATTGTGAACAGTTGTTTCTCTTGTTTCAGAAAACCTACGTTGTTTATTTTTTTCTTCTTAATTTCTGGGTAGGCTGATCAGTCTGGGTCAGCAGTTGTACCAAGGTCGAGTACCAGCGAACGCGGAGCGAGTCATTCAGGAGACCCGAACAGTGCTCGAGACTCTCCAACTTCTAGTGGCCCAGCTTCGCAAGCAGTCTATGCAAGCATCACTGATGCAATTCCAACAGCCCGCAATTCCACAGCAGCCGACTAAAAGTCAGAGCTTTGCAAGCCAGTCAAGTTTCCAGACGTCGTTTTCTTCAACGCAAGAGGTCAAATCGATGTTTTTGCAATCCCAAGAGAAAAATACAAAGGCGTTTACCTCCGTCCACGAAGAGCAAACCCGATCGTTTCGGCAAGTTGAACAGCACGCACCAGCTCCCGTTAAGCGTATGCATTCGGTTCAATTGTTCCGAGCTCCCAATAACAGTGAAGTTGGGGGACAGACTACGGTTGCATCTTGTCCTTCATCAGTAGCAGAGGACGTGCCAGCAACGAGTAGATCCAAGTAAGAATTAGACTATGGAAGTTCGTTCTAGCTGGATTATACCTATGCGACTCAGAAAAACTACTATGTCAATGTACTATTAAAGAAAAAGCTGGGCTATGCTTGTCGTTTTGTGATCCGCTCCTAATCCGTTTGATAACACCATTCTTCCTTTCTAGAGGCTTTCATATGATACAATTAGATAGGTTCTAACGGATAAATATGGGAGCGGTTTTTGTCAAAAAATAATTTCCGAATCATGTCCTTGACTAACAGAAAAAGCATTCTGATATGGATCGCGTGCATATTTATGTACGATACAGCGACACTTGTTTGGAGTTCTTTCCTAAGCTTATGGGCGCTGGCATTCCAGAACGTTCCCACGAAATGCGTCATCGGCTAGGCGTAACTTGCCCGCTGTTGGAGGACTTCTCTCTAGCTCGTCATACCCGTTTTTTGCAGTTCCTTTGGAAGATATCGAAACGCCCGAGCTTCGTCGGGTCACTCTTCGTTGCGTTGTTCAAGCTTTTCCCGCACCAAGGGTATACTAGTCCTGTATTCATTTGATTTTTAAAAAGCTTAATCATAGACCGTAATTCCTGAAATTGTCCGTATGACTGTGTGATACACTATTTTTGAAAACTGATGTAGGTTTTTCGGTGTAGATTAAATGATGTAGCTACTGTGGATTTTGTTGTACGTACATGACACAACTATATGCCCTATTACGAGATTATTGATAGTAGGCCTTGATTTGACAGTAACACAGCGAGATCAATGTTTACAATGGAGTTATATTCATATTCGGACGTGGACAAACAGGCCGAAAAAATCACGTTTGGCATGACAACTTTAAACACGTATGTCGAGAAACACACACACCAACTCTGCACTTTACTCATTGATTATTGGTCATACATACGAAGAAGAAATTAGATTCACAAACGTTCTTTGACTGCTTACAAGGGCCTGTACATTATTCATTTGATAAGGAAACCAAACGAAGTTACAGTAAAAAAAAAATAAGGGTAGTGCTAGATCCAGGCACAACGTTAAGCAAAATATATGGCTACAAAGAAATGAAGCATCGCATCGAGTCGAATAATTAATTTTTTTTTAATGATAACATACTTTTTGAAACTAGATGATAATGCTAGGCTCCTAGCGTAGTTAGCTATTCATCGCTTTTACAGTTTGTCTATTTCCATAATGTATGTAATGTTGTCTATTTCCATAAAATTTGGTTCCTCTACAATGTTCAATGACGTACTCTATGAGAACGTTCATAGCTCGTTTCATCCAATTCGTGTGCGCAGATTTCGTGGTACAAAGACGGAACGATGATTCGCCCTAACAACTATATAACGCCAACCTTCGATGACAGTACAGGTAAGCTATGCGTCTGCCTAATGATACATCTGGTTCGCGGGTTACATCATATCGATACTAAAGAATATCGTTGAAAATGCATGGGAACCGCGTGGTTTGTTGTACGTTTTAAAATCAATGCAAATCTGTTTTAAATGTTTATCACCGTCCACCGAAGAAATGGGTTTCAGTATTAAGTGAGAAAGGCATTTGTCTTTTTGAACAGGAAAGCAGAATTCTTAGAGGCAAAACCTTGCAAAATAAATAGATCACTCTCAGGTACCGTTGGATCCATAGCGTTTATATGGGCTGCTTTGTTTCTTGCATATATTTCCTGTAAGAGTTGGCGTAACAAGGCTATATTGGTTGGTCGACAAACACCATGTGCAGTGTAGAGTTGTTATAAGCCTAAGAACCTTGGTCCAAAGTTTTGCCGATTGGAATACACATCTAATCTGTGCTGTGATCAACTTTTATTGAGTAGGAGAGTGCACGCTCTGCATGCAGGAAGTTTTTGTCGCCGATAGCGGCTTGTACTCGTGTAAGGCTGTCAATTCGTCGGGACTGGCAGAAACGAAGGCTCGACTCTGTGTACGCGGAGAACGCTTTAGGATCAGACTTTACTAGTCGTCAAGGCCAGTGATCGAATTGTCGATCCACTGAGTAGTCATCTCCGTCTTTTTTCCTGCATAAATTTCATGTCTGTGACAAGTTCTATTGCATATTATTACATTGGGTGCAAATGTAGTTGAACTGAGCACGAGTAAGTCGACGTCCTTTCAACAATGTAGCAGGTTGCATTCATTATTTTCTGAAAAATAAGACCCTTCGGCTCAAGTGCCAACTTACGTGGGTTACACATATTCTTATAGATGTTTATGCAGAGCAAAAATGTTTCGAAGCTTCACGAGCTCAAATCATTTTCTGTATCGTATTAGGTGTGATTGCCCCAATCAAGAACTAGAGAACCTTCATTTCCATACACATTTTCATAAATAACTGAGCGAAAACCAAAAGTATCTCTGTCTTGTAATATGTACATCTGGATCACCATTTATTTGGTGAATATACACTTGATTTATATAATTTCGTGTGTTGGCGACAAATACGTTATCATGATTTTAATTTTTCTCAATTCGGCAAAACAGCGGCTACCGCTAAAGGCTTGTTATATTTATAAGAAACTATCTATCAAAAGCTTCTTAAATGCAAAAAAATAAATTATGCGCATTGTGGTAATATTTATATACAGCATCATGATTATGGTGTGCACACAAAAAAATCAGCCGCCTGACCTCATGGAATTGAAGTAAATCTGTCCTAAATCGAATTTAGCGGTGATAGGCTAGTTCTGCATACACTAGAAGTACGCTGGGTATGAATACTATTTTTCAGGCTACGGTTTATTCACTTTATAAAAGGAAAAATAAGTTAGAAAATATGTCAGCAAGAACAGAGAAAAATAAGGAAAATTAATTTATTTTTCAAATTATTATTCAGAACTCGAGTTATTCAGCAATTTGCTTTGTAGTTATAGCTGCGTCGACAATTTGATATTGAATCTAAATTGTAAGATAAAATACATTAATTTGACCAAAATATACAGTTCTTTAGTGGACCTTGAATAGAGGCAATAAGAGTAGAGTCTTTGTGACCCACAATAATCCGCGTTATATTCTCGCCGGTTAAGGGGCACTTAATAATTATGACAGAAAGTGGAGACTGTTTACCTTGGAGTCCTCTAATTCTTCTCCTCTCTAGTAACTCTAACGAGACCTAGTGAATTCTAGAGATTTTTAGGAGTGGGGCGCCTTGATAATCCAACCTCCTACATGGAGGCGGATAATGAGGGTCATATTGGTACAAATCATACGAGTAACCTTCGAAAATTGGTCAGACTACAATTTTCCTATGGTAGTCCACCAAAGACCAGCTCGACAAAATTGTGGCAAAACCTATTACCTACAGTTTGCTAACATCTTTTTAAGATTTACGTCATTAGAGAAAAGACAACGCATGAAAACGATGTACGGACTTTATTCATCACCCCTTGTGTATACATTTTCTATCAAGAGCTGGTTTGAGTATCCATTCCAGAGCGGACATTCAGATATATTAAATATAGATGCTGAATGTACAATTCACCACGATATACGAAAAAAAGCAGTTCACAAATAATACCAGGGCCGAGTAAATACAATAACATTTTACGCAGTTGTCTACTCAAACTAAACATGCTTGTATAATCAACCAAAGCAGATGCATTTGATATCTGCCTTACTTTCCGTTAATTAAAACACATTCACATAAAAAAAGTCAATTTGTAATCATAGAACTATATACATTAGTTAACTTTTGTCACTAAAGATAACTTCTCATGACCATGCCAATAGCGTCGCTTTCAATCAGACATAAAACTTTCGCGAAACGCAGCTTGTATTCACTGGTAGTCATCCTTTAATGAAATCACAAATCTAATCGTAACACCTTTCCTCTGAGGCCCTCCCTAATTCCACCGTGGGGTAGAACATATTCTGGTGCACTTTTCGGATCTACTTCATTTAACTGGCAGCAGCTTTCACGTAGTTCCTCCACCGACCACAGGTCCGGTTCGTTAAACCACCCATGCTGCGCCAATACATACTCCGCTCCGCTGTTCATGTGCGCTTCGTAAAATTCAAGATTTCCGCGGAAGATTGGCTTATAGACTGATAATCGGTCTAGTCCACTCATACAAGGTTCACACGGCTGCCGCATCAACAATACACCAAAGAGTAAAGCCCAATGCGCCTTGTAGCCGTTGAACGTAGTCGGTACCCCAGTCTCATACGAGGCATCGTACGGTACCAAAAACACCTTCCCTTGGAAGAGATCGGCGATCATGGCTTCCTTCGTAGGAAACTCCATTACGTGCGAAGGTAAACCAATGTACCTATCGCAGAGCATTTTCAAGTTTCGAATATCGAACAGGTCTCCAATATTTGTTAGGCTCTGATTATAGGCCCAGGTGAACATTCCCTGAACGTCCAGTCTGCGTCCTACGGCTGAGGCCGCCATTGCCGTCGCTACAAACCCGCACTGAGCGTTCCCCCGTTGAAGAATAGGCTCGATGTTCCTGTATGCCATAACGGCCACCGGATAGTACAGAGACAAATGATCCCACTCACAGTTGACCAGCTCGACCGGTGCATCGGCAGACTTCTCACCGAAGCTCCTCTTTTCCTCTACTTGATTTTCAACTGTTTCGGCTAGACTAGCAAACGTGTTCAACCGACTAGTTTGATCTGACGATAATGGAAAGACGTCGACGATCGATGTCGCCATCTGCGATGACCCAGGCGCTGTTTCGTCACACATACTGAAACACAGCAGTTTTATGTCGCCTACTACACAATTTGTTGTTCTTGAATCGATCGAACTTACGCCTTTATGTGTGTTTAGAATCCGTTCATTTTGGCGTACATAGGACCAGCACAATAAGCCAAAGCAGCAGGAATGCCATTTAGAAGATGTGCTAGTTTCACCGGCCAAGTGTTCCAACGCGGCTAAGCACCAGCATTGCTCGACCTCCGTGATTTTGTCATCATATGTTTAGAACAACACATGTGTAGCGTACCTAACTAGTTAATTGGTCCGTAGCAATGCAGAGCAAAAGAAATCTTCGAATTGAACAATTTGAATATATATTGATGGCGTGGGCTGCACCGCTAAGGACAGCACTACAAACGCATGATACCTTTTTTAAATTCGGACGTAGCTGAAGTGGATATTCTAATGATAATGAGCGCGTCGGTGGTAAGGATGTTGATGGCTACTTGTTTCGACGGTACTGCTGTTTGTAGAAAGAAACAGCAGCAGGAAGTCATCTCGGAAACTCGTCACAGGTAACGTCGTCCTAACTTATTTGTGTAGATCACGTGTTTTTTGTTGGTTCGTTGATGGTAAGTCGTCGAAGGTGCCGCTTTCAATTGAGATAGAATGCATTTGTAGGGTAAGTTTTGCAACAGCGCTGTCCTGTGCGCCAGCCTTCTATCCAGGATCATTTTGAAAATAACTATACGTTATCTGAATATGAGCGGATTGGCTGAAGGATTCAGTTTACCTGACCTTTGGATCTGTCGATATTAAAGTTTTCGTTCAGGTCCGCAGGCTTATCTTCGTCAACAAAACAAGCTTTAACGACGGTAATAATGTGTTAGCTGCATTTTAAGGCTCAACTATTCCACCTGCTTGGGTCATACTGCAGTAATACTGATATGGTTACCGAAAATCATGGCCAGAATGGAAGAGTTTCCTGAAATGCTAAAAACTGCCCTTTAAACTTCTAGTAGTAAGAAAACAAAAGCAATGGTTTCAACAAAAAAAAATCTTTGGTTCAAGCTCTGTTGGTAATAAAAAGACAGATTACAGATAGATTTTACCCAAAAACGTCGTCGAAATTGATAGCTATCGCTTTTGTATGTCCAGGCCGACATTTACGATTGAAATTCCTATGGCTGATATCGTATGAACGAACAAGCTTCGAACCGTAAACAGACAGAAGGTACGTCACTCAAACCCTATATTCACGTCAGATTACGGAACAAACCACTAATTAATTATAAGAAATCTATCAGTATGCTTAGAACAGGCGACAGCTTAACAACTTTGCTAAATAAACTTGTGTATACTTAATGAACTAAGATGTTAAGTATAAAGTGATTGAGTCAATACGTCCCTTATTAACTTGCTACATGTTCTTGTGTACGTCATATAGTTAAGTATATTAGATCTATTCCATTTCAGCAACGCCCAGTCTTCATACAAGTGCCTGTCATGGTCACGCGCTGAATAGAAGAAACCAAATATTAATTTTTGCAAAACATTAAAATGAAGAAGCTGAATCGATGGCAGATACTACAAACGGAATGCTCAATATACGTTCCAAATAGCCAATTAAAGAAAATCATAAAAAATCGCTATTATCCAGAACACATGTCCTCTCTACATGATTAGCTATTGATGATTTACAGTAGCTACTGAAAGAGACGTTTGCATTTATAGATCCCATTAGTCGTATATTTATCCAGTTGAACTTGTTAGAGCACTGCGTGTCCTTGCCGCACATGTGAAGCTCAGTTGGGATACATTTGTCATTTTAGATTAATATTTTATGTAAAACCCAGATATTTGACTTTTTATTTAACAGATACCATTTAATTTTTTTCCTGCTAGCTGTTGGCTACATAACGGTTCCTAAAGGTACACTCTTTGCACTTCAACTTCGACTATAAGTTACAATTTTAGTGGTCTGTGGAATTAGCACGGCCATACAAAACTAATGTTTACTTTTGTTATAAATTCAGAGGCTAAGGACGCAGAGACCCAAAAAAGGTAGGCTTCAAAACCTCCTTGTTGATGTTGAAGCTGACCTTTTTCTAAGTCTGTTCTGGAATCAAGAAAAACACTAGCCCTTCACCGTAAATTTAATCTTTATTGTGTTTATTTTCTCGTGTTTTATATGTATACATTGAATATTGGTTATAAATGTATATACACAAAAAAATGCTTGCACAAATAAAGTCCTTACAAAACCGGAAGACCACGATATTTTCATTGTATGACTGTATATGCGTTCAAAGAAATAATGTTATCACTACTGTGTGTGTATTACGTAGTACCAGAAGGCTACTACTACCACTAGTAACATTACTGCTGTTATTATAATCAGTAATAATAATAAAATGCAGATGATGTGTAAAACTCACATAGACAACCTGTGGCATTTGCACACATTGAGTACAAAGAAATCCTCTGTTCTCTTTGAAATGTCTTTATGGAGAAATGACTTCACCCATCGATCTTGATCTTCGGATCTTTGCTAAGGGGACGATGTGAGGCTAGCTCAGGATCGCTCAAAGGATGCAATCGTATGAAGCACGCAATGCAAAGGTATGAAAGACACGTTAAGTGCGGACAATAGAGGAGAGCAGGAGACCTAGGGCCCTCTGCGACCGGTGGCACACCTAAACGCGTCAGACCACGTAAGCAAGAATCGCAGTCCATTTCGTCGACTATGTACGGTTTGATCTCAAGCACCTTTTTGCGTTCCTGAAATGATCCGCGCAGGGAAGTATCTAAGAATATGTGTACGCATGTTTCAGATATAACAATAAACATATAACAGATACGAACGTCGTGTCATCAATGGTCGGAAATTATTTTTTTTGTAGTTTACAATAATATTTTAACGGCTTCAACTTGACATCGTGCAACAATCTGCTCTTATAGCGGGAATGCATGACATATGCAAAAATGTATACACTGTAAAATGGATCACAAGTTTCTCATTGTTACTTCTTTTCAGGATGTAATTTATTGAAGATTACGAGTGAACCAAAATCAACTTTTGCAGATAATATTGAAATGCTATTGGCATTATCAAAATGCAATAAAGCACACACGCAATATCGCAGGGAACTGCAGGCAGGTCTACCTATGCGACTTACAATTGTTCAAGTTTCAAACAAATAAAACTCTCCGGAATGTTCATTGGGGGTTTCGGAAGACCAAGAACATTAACAAGCTTTGCTATCCAAGGTGGAGTACTGAGAAATTGCAGCAAAACCTCCGGAAATTTACGCAAGTCGTGCGTTTGGTATCAGTAAATCAATTGTCCATTGAATTTTAAGATATTGCAAACGGAAACATTATAATTTCAACAACGCCCCGGACCAAGGAGTATAATGTTGCGAATGACAGTTGAAAAAACGTAAACTGGATGCACAGTTTTGGAGTGGATTGATTAGAGCAATGGGACTGCATTAAGATTAAAGAGTATAAATAATCGGCATAATTGCGCTTATTGAGCAACTGTCAATTCACATATTATGTAGAGACAAAATTTAGTAAAAATTAAGCAGTAATATGCAAACTTACCAAAAATTATACTGTAATGCGACATTTCAAACAAAGGACTAACTGGACCATTCTTTTTTGACAGTTCAACGATTCATGCAATTCAATTACCTACAAGAATCCGCTTTATCACACATTTTCAAAACTTGGTGAAAATAGCGATTTTGGTTTCCAAGAAAACGTAGCACCTGTACATTGCTATCGTTATGCGAGAGGACATCTTGATGAAAATTTTCGAAAAAGACGGTTTAGCGAAGAATGGAGAGGTTTTCCAAACTTGGCGCCAATGGATCTTTCTTCTAGAACTTCCCAAAAAATAATGTCTACGCCAGAAAATTACCGACACTCAAAGACTGCAATTCAGAGAGCATGTGCCATAATGCCGAATGAAATGTTTTGACTATTTGTTCACCGTAGTCAGCAATGGATTAATTGAAACTATGGTAATATTGAGCATGATAGGAAAAAAGTCATACACCTTATGTGGATTAATTTACAATTCAAATGTTTATTATGTGTAAATAAAAAACTCAAGTTATACTTACTCAAACTATATGCACATTTTGAAATACGTTCTTTATAAACCAACTTTTCTAGAAGTCTTTCATGAACTTGACGATCAGTTTTGTTGATCAAGAAAAATATTCCATACTTGTTGAGAAGACCTCAAGTAATTACCATCGAAATATTACTACGCCCTAACTGTTTCAAAATGACTTTTGAGCATAATGTACATAAGTGAATGCCTTAACATATAACATATAGGTACCTGACCACGGTGGTCGCTGTAGACAAATGAAAGAAACCGAGCTTTTAGAGCAGCTCGATAAGCTTCACTCGTGAAGAATGTTGCTCTTGCTGCTCCCTTTGGAAAAAGAAATTCGCGATCTACATCGAGACCAACATACCGGACCCCAGGAAAAGTTGCTTCCAATTTCTCAGCCAACTCGCCTTGAAGATATTAAAAAAAAATATGGGAAAAATTACACCACATTAAGCCATGAGTTTATTTTTCAGTAACGTATTTGTCCATTTCATTCGAATCGTAGATCACAACCTTACCCGAGGAAGTCTGCTAAGTTTCTGTAACAATTATTCGTATAAACAAGTAAAAACGAAACGTAAGGCGAACGTACTAGCTTTGATGCAGCGCGGCACACCCCCAACAAAAATTGTCTGGCGGTGCAGGAGGTCGGAAGGCTCATCAAGAAAAACCCATCGATCGCGGAGGAACCAAGGCTGAATATGCAGTCTTTTCTTTTGCTGCTCAAGCTGCTGCTGAAAAGCTTGCTGCGTCTGAAAATTCTGCTGATATCTTCGCTGATTATGATGAGCAAAATAGTTCTGAACAAGTTGTTGGCCTACTGACAGCGCGCTATAAGGGCGGATAGCACGGGTGAGACGAGCACCCTCAAGAAAGGTGACTTCAATATAATATAACCCGCGTTCGCACATCTTACATACCGACAGTAGTCGGTGAACAGAGGCCTCCTCCTAAATAAAAGAAATACAAAAGAAATCTCTTTATTCGGCTTAATTTGAAATGTGTGGAGATAGATGCTACTGACAACTAAGGTTGCTTAAAACAAATAGGCTCCAGGTCTATATTGGGTTATCGGAAAAGCATTGACCGTTTTTAAGACAAAATCGAATTAAAATTTTGTATACTTTAAAATAATATTACCGAACTAAATATTTCCCTTTTTTTAATCGATGCTTTTACACAATTTCTCTAACAACACTATAAGCCCATCACTGTAGAACTTCTGTAGTTTACAGACAAGCAACTGTGAATAATGCTTTTTTCGTCTTTCCACTGAAATCGAACCAAGCTAAGGAGCTCTGCAGAGACCACAACAGGTTATCATCTGTGTGATAGTACAAGTTCCAGGCTATACAAACGATGCATTAAAATTACCCACCTAAATTCTTTCAATTTTTATCGGGTAGCTAAAGATGTACCTGGTCTGACACTGTCATGGAGAAAATCGGCACCTTTCCTGTTTAATAGTTCCAGGCGATTTTTTCAATGGCTTCGTGTCATCTCGTAAGCTGTAGACAGCAGAGGTCCAAATCAATCGTTTTGTCAGGCAGCAGTAACTCATAATGCAGTCTCATAAAAACTTAGCATCACGTTCTCTGGCGTCGGTCTGGGCCTGGTAACAGACTGTAAAGCACTTTTTTGTAATATGTGATCGACCTTTCCTTAGTCATATTCCAGCGCCTTAGAACGCGTTTCTCTCTACTTGTGGATGTTTAGTTTTTTGACGACATCATTGAGCTTTTGAAATCATTTCATCAACTTTCCCTTTTTTGGTCGACCACTACGAGAAGCACCTTCCGCATGGAAATTTTCAGAACGAAAGTGACACGATCATTTTTGAGGCGTTTATTCCGACAGCGTATCTTAATTATAAATAGTGCATTTTTTGCAGGCTGGGTTTTTTTAAGCCTTTACCGTAATAAAATTATAAACTTCAGAGATTTTTTGCGGAAACTGCACCGGTCTTTTAAACACTAGTTTAAGTCATTAATACAGGAATGACAACACCAGTTAGCACATCTGCCACTGCAATAACGCCGACCTGCGGCTCCTAATGCCTAAAATATGCAATTTCAAGACCATTCAAGTAAAAAAAAACAGTCAATACTTTTTCAACAACCCAATATCCTTATAATAATAATTATTATTATGTATATACATACATGCAAATTTTTAATAAATATTGTTTTTGAGAGTCACTGAGTACCTCTTCCATGCACCGAAATTCAAAATTTGGGAGGACGTAAGGTATACAGTCCTTATGCCACAAGTTCGATATAGACTCGGGGGGGCTATCAGGGGGTGCAAATGGGGTAAATGCCTTACGCTGCATGACTGTCGGAAGAAATAACAGCGGGGAAAGCAAAAGCACAAAGTTCGTGTGAAAAAAAGAAACATTTTTTTTAGCGCCAAGGTTATGTGGGAGCGGGAAAAGTACTATACACGTTCGCACTTGACAACTGTGATTCTTCACAACATTAAATTAAACTATAATCACTGAGCAAAACAAAATGACGGTTGCGTAAAATTAGTTATTATTCTTCTCATGATTATTTGAATTATAAAGACTAACTGAGTCTTTATAGCGGTTCAGTTTACTCATTTGAATCAATTAGGCTTCTTTAGTATTACCATTATAAGAACAGTACAACTTCGTAGTCGGAATCAATTCATACTGGACGTTTGCAAACAATCGCGCTGGTGAATGAATATAATATTCAAAGCACTTTACTTCTCCAGTTCTGCTGATTCGATTGCGTGCAAAAAGTACAAGAAAATCCTATTACTATACCTGTTCAAATAATTCAAGTTTCTGCTAAGTCTGATTACCTCGAAGAGTAGAAAAACGTAGCCTTTGATATCTTTACCACCTCCAAAATGCTTTTTGCCCGGCCAGGTGACAGTGAGTGGACCGAAAACTCGGAACATATTAAACAAATCGTCTTCAATATGCGAACTTGGGTACGAGCATGGTAAGCCCCCTACAAAGACTTTTCGAGAAACTGTACCGTCCATTACACACGGTACTTGAAAAAGTACAAAGCTGATATGAAGGCGCTGATAAGATACCGTGGTAAAGTCTACGAGCGTGAGCCAGAGTGTCTGTTGCTCAACAAGCAATTCCCTACACTCAATATAACAACAGCAATAACATTCCAAGAAACTGATCGGAGGAGCACGTGTTTGTCAACGATACTTGATGGAATCCTGTTTGAAAAGAAAAACGAAGTAATTAAAATACTGATCCCGGGTGTCAAAATTCGAATGACGAATAGTATGGCCATCAAGTTTAGCAATTCTTAGAAACACACTCTAGTGGTACAAGGTGGATAATAGCAATTCGACAGCACAGAAATTATTCTTGGTAGACTGGTCTTAATTTGCTAATAATTAGGTCAGTTAACTTGACAAAATTAGACTAATAAACGTATTAGGGTAGGAATACAACATAAATCAAACAAAGCTTGAACAGAGACTGTGTAGTATGATACAAAATTTATTCATAAACATTTTTACAACCATAAATATAAAATGACTGCTTCAGGTTTATGACAACATATCGATTGACTTGCAAAGTGCCGTGACGACTGAGGAGTCACTTTCTTGGGGAACGCTATTAAAGCTTGCTCCGTCATTTCTGCTATGTTATTGAACTCTGATAGCCGGAACTACTGAGTGTCGAACACTCCGTATGATTTGAAGTGTTATGGTCTTGTAGGAAGTGTTTGTTAGCATACCATTTACTTAAAAAAAACTATTCGGTTACTGCTCTGCTTGAATTCTAAAGAAAATGGAAATATACGTAATCTACTTGAATCCTAGAGAAAATGGAAATATACGTAATAATTGATAAGCGTTTGGCCCACCCCACACAGTCATAATTACCAGTCATTATTTGATATGAAGATTCCTTTTTACTAGCAATCGATGATCACATGAACACACACTTTCCACCAGCGAAATACCTGGATCTTGCCGTTGTTTTTAAAATACAATTTTTTGGATACCCACATGAGGCCGTGCCGGTTTTGCCACGCATGTGATAAAGCAGAACTACTGACCTACGAGCACTCATCAAATGATGCATTTGTTATCGAATTGAAATGCAGAGTATAGTTATTTTTGATAAAATTAAAGATATTCTCAAAATGCATCATCAAAAAAGAGGAAGCAGAACAGGAATGATACTGAAAGGCGGGACGTACCCGTCACAATTAGGGCAGTCTAATGTATACCGATGACGAATTTAAATATCTTCAGTTACCATTTCTAGGGAACATTTTTAGTGCCGATTAGTTTATTACTAGGCAAGCCACTTCTCAAGCCAACGCCCGCTTATCTCATAATGGATAGCAGCATCGTAGTTCTTTTTCTTTACTGATTACCTACTATTGCGTTCATAATTTCAATGAAAGTAAAATTTTCTATAATCAAGAACAATCGAACAAAATTTAATCAAGGAATTGCTTATGTACACGTCGCAGACGCTACATCAATCAACCATCCAAAACAGAAAACACCACTGTATACTCAATTGTAGTCAGAATGATTTATTCTTTTTTTCAATGAATTAATATTCCATTCTAAATCCTATGTTACATAAAAATGCTGCACTCGTCATAGTTTTTCACCGATCACACATTATTATACCCATTTGACGACCATCAACAAATTCATTGCAAAGGAAATTGTTTGTCAAAGTCTGCGGGCACTTCTACGCCTACTTCCTTAGCCAATGTCAACATTTCGGCGCGGTTCGCTCGCATCTTCTCAGCCGCCTTTTTCTTAGCCTGATCTAACTTATATTGCAATTCAGCTTCGCGCCGACGAGCCTCCTTCTTCGAAAGACGATTATAGTGGAACGAACCGTAGCCGATCCCGACAAAAAAGGCAATCCAGCGAGAGCCCTGTAGTAAAATGACGATCACAAACAGAAATATGACAATAATTTAATAGTGATTTGATATTCGTACTAAAATCTTCGAGCAAGGTCAATGTCTGAAGTACTAAGGCATAATATTTCCGCCATTAATATAAGTGAATTTTTTCATGGGACAGCAGCCTACAAGTGCTTGAGAAGACTGAAAGCAAATCATACAGCAAGCAATTGTATGTTTGAATTTGAATCAGAGCATATGATAAAGAGAATCCCTGTGCCAAAATCTGTGGAAAATAAAATATATAGCAATGAAAACGAAAGCAACCTTGTGTGTAACCTCGCCTAGGTTTTTTCCGGAGAGCAAGTATTAGCATCTAAGCGTTGCCAACACAGCGCGCCGCCTTGATATTTTAGTAAGCAAATATCGTCATATAATAGACTTATAATAGAAGAGCAGCACTGATGTTGCGTCGTGTTCTATTTAATGCCATGATAAAACTAGCACAAACAATAAAGTTCTTCAATGTTTCTAACGTGTTTCTTGTGATAGACCTTTACAGAATAACGATTTTTCTACTGAAAGTCGCTACCAAAATACCATCTGAATACGCCAAATATGCCAGTTATATGTTGAATGCTAATAATAACAGTAATAACGTGTAAGGTTGATTAAAAAATGAAATACGCGATAAACAAACTTTTGAATAATGTCTACACCTATAGTTATGTACCAGCGTCTAATGCTTTTAACTTCAAAAAGGACCATAATGTATATAGAATAGTTGTTACCAAAGGGTAAAAATAACATCGAATTAGAGTTCATTCGAATGAATTCCCAACCTAGAGATGAAAGCCGTATATGACTTTGCAGGTTCCCATTATAATAAAGGAAGAAAGAAATCACCGCTCTGAATAGCAAGTAAATCAATATGCAGATTACAAATAGCTACTTAGACCTTGCAGTGGACACATTAATACAATGCACACATGAATACGCATAGTAAAACCCCTTGTATAAGTTCGATTCTCCGCGAAATAAGTTCCAAACTCTAAATCCAAAGGGCATAAAAGTTATTTGTTCCTTTTAGTTATAGCGACACTAATATGAAGGTGAACATATATATATAAATAGAGAAATATACACATAATTTAAGGCAAGACAAAACAATAAGGGCAAGTATGTTTTGAGTAGTATTTCGCTGGTGCGTTTAAATTTCTCGTACGAAGCTTACAGTACCTATGCGTATTGCAGAGAACTGAAATCTTAATATTTAATATTTGTTCCCAGGCTAATACTATGCGCCCCCACCGATACAGTGCGTTAACATATCTCTGTGACCTTAGAGGGTCACGAGCAAAAATTTCTATTCTGTACTCACCCGAATAAACGGCGAAACGTTCAGGGGTGGAGGAAGTACTTGAGTCATGTCCTTTCCGACGTAAGAAGAGCTGAACCAACTATAGGGAATGCGGAAATTGGCCTCAAGCCGTCCGATTTCACGACACTTGAACTGTGAGAACTACTAATCAAAGAACGGCTGGAACATCCGTTTCGTGCCATAGAGAAGCTTCATTCTTAAACATCAACAAAGCCAGAGGACCGCGCGATGTTTAAACAACTTTCGTTGTGCGAATGGACAATTAGAAGCCACTGTCTGGAATTAGTTTGAAACATACTTTTAACTGTGTTAAATTTTAAACAAAACTGGCCAAGTTCATGCGAGATTTTCACCATACATCCACTGCATCTCCGGATTCGAGAGCTCATTCGGCTACTTGTCTGTGCATATAAAACTTCATATAAGGTAAAAATTAATGGAAGAAGTAAGTTAAAAAAAATGGCGGTGTGCCAGATTAACTATATCAATGAAAAGCATCGTTGATTTGCTTTTTGGCTGACATTTAAAGTTTAGTATAAATGTTCCCACCCGTAGACTCTTTATTGAAAAATGAATGTATTGTGGAAAAAACCACTCTTAATAACTGTCTTTAAGTACCTTCGGTTTAGATATTATGTACTATTAATGTTAGATTGTTATTTCTCATCCTTAGATTATCACATGCCCATTGTGTTTCGTTAGCAGCTACACTAGTTACGCACGTTTTTCTCGTGTTTTTATGCAAAAATTTTCCCGTTCCAGTGCACACTTCACTATAAAATTCTTGCTAGATAAATAACCAATAAACTCTTGCATTTGCGGGGCTCGTTATTGGAAGGTATTTTCGAGCACTGATTGCGGCCTACCTTATTTTTAATCGCGAAAAATTGCAAGAAAGAAACTACTTGCAGAAATGAAAAAGTTTAGTGTGTAATAATCAGTTCATATGTACAGTAAGAATCCTACTATCATCGATGCGCATTTTGTAGATGTTGAAACTGTAACTTGAAAAAAGTAGTCATTCTCTCTCGCGTTATGCTGTTCGTCTTCGGTTAACGGTTGCTCGTTATTCATAAATTTTTAGCCAACATTTACCACACAATACATCTCCATCACCTAGTAGCGCAGCTAAATGTAGCTTCTAGCGAACGCTTCTGCCAGGTCCTATATACTCCTTAATTTTTAACTACGTGTCTAAGCTTTGTCAGGTCGGCGTTGTGTCAGTGTGTGCGCCTGCGTGGACTCATACCTATTTGTATTGTAGGCGCAGGTCTGGTCTCAGCTTTGCAAGCAAGTTGCACTATTTGTTACATGCGGCATTGTGCTTCACGTTCTTTGCGTGCCCATCTATGAGTTTTTTGTTGTATTGTGTTCTGTCTTCAAGCTTGTGTGACAGACTGTCTCTGCCAACTGGTTTGCAGAACAGCCCACTGAGGAGGCCATAATAGAGTCGTCTCCCGGTCCGTTCTGTTGTAGTTGTCGTTACAGCGTTTGTCGGTTTGCCGCTTCTACCATTTACTCTACCCGTTCGCTGTCATTCTGTTTTGCCTGCAGCGCTCTACAAATTAGCAAACGTGTGCTGTTATTTGTGGTAATTACGCAACCGTAGCAGCAACAGTCCTGTCTTGTTTGTTATTATGCCGTGTTGCCGATTGGGGGGTGAGTTGCTGATCCACGAAACAGCCGTAGCGGAGTGGCATCAGAAAACAGAAACCCCAGTGCAGTGGCAGACTGGCAGATAGGCAGACGGTGCTAAGCTATTCATCAACGTACATTGAATTCAAGTACCTCAGCAATTGAGGGTTTAATGAATGCTACTCCTAGAAGTACATAGAAATGAAGTAACTGTGTCGTCGACCGGTTCGTGTGTGACTCTTCTTTGTTTGAGCGCTTTTCGGATCTTCGCACTTCTTTACCAGGCAGTCACCCGTCAAGCGCCCATTTTCTAAGTAATTTTTTGGTTCGGGGCTTCCGATTCTCCTTTATTCATATGGAGATTTGAGTGACGACGAATTGCCCATAGCAACAATACCAATATCAGCAGGAACTTCAACAGGGATCATAATAATAATAAGAATAATAATAATAATGAACGCAAAGCAATAGGAGTAGTTCTTCCCGTTGTTTATTTTTTTGTCAGATCGATTGTTCAATCCTCGTCGCCGAAATCAATGCACCCAAATCGATTCACCATCATTTCGACCAAGCCCTGCCATCTTCGTAAACTATATTGAAACACGTTGACTTACTGAGTGAAGGCAGAGCCTGAAGAGAGACGAGTGTTCCTTGTTTGTTTATAACTGAGTAATAATAACAGCAAAAGCAGCGCATGCAGCGCAGATGCTAACGGTGGCTTTTTGTAGCGTCAACAATACTATTCCACTGTGTCTAAGCAAACGAAGAGAGGTGTTGCGAATTGGGCAGTTGGGCAGTTGTCTGCCCAACCGCCGCTAAGTGGCAGCTGCAATAGCCACAATCGCCCATTCGGGCGGCAGAGAACCTAGCACTGGCTGTGTGGTGACATCAAAATGTTGGACGTAATCTCATTTTTTAACCTGCTTATATATTATATCTGTATCGGCATTTCGTGGTTTTGCGTCAGCCTCGTACAATGGCTAGTATTCATCATATTTCCGACGGGGTGGAACCCGTATACGTTCTACGTGTGGACTGCGTGGACACTCGGCATGTGCGGAATATTTAACGTTTCATTAGGGGGCCGTGATATGTATGTGAAACTCCTATACCGGCTGTTTGCGGTGAGTGGAACGTGACGACATTCGAACAACAAAAGGAGCAGTAGTGTGTAGTCAATGCTGTTCTAAGTGTGGATGAATATAGGTATTTACTACTGTCTGATGCATACCATATAAACAACGACAGTTAGATGTTTCTTTTTGGTGTACCGTGTGTAATCCAATGAACCACTTATCAATTCGTCAGTTTTGTACTATCGCTGTGAGCTTAGGCTAACCTAAAGGCAATTTTCACTTGGGTAAGGTAAACACATTTTGTTCGTTGGCCTAGCAGCCCGCTAGTATACGATAGGAATTAATTAACAAATATAATATTTTGGATTGAATTTCTGTCGCCATGTCAAATCTACTAACACGCGCAAAGACTTCCACTTACTTTAAGCGGGTTTTCGACGATGTCAGTGGTATCCAGTTAAATTGTTTCTTATTATCTTCATTGTGCAATTGAAATTTTCGATCACGTTCGATTTCCAGTCGGTTGTGTACTTGCCGATTTTTATCACGCCGTCATGATTTCAGGAAAAAAAATAGGCACTCATACACTTGTTAGGTTGAGCGGCTTTGCAGAAACTGAAGTTTGCAAGGGCGAAGATATCCACGGTCGATGCATGTAGTGATCAGATAAAAATAATCCACGGAACTCACCATGCTGAGTATTAACCTTTATTTACTGCCAGTTTCCTGGAAAAAGCAATCGGCAGTTTTTTTTCTGTCACTGATTTTGCTCTCGGCTATCATTTTTGTAGCGAATTTATGCCCAAATGCGGTTTTTCAATATTTGCACACACGGTATGAGTATCTGCTTTCAATAATGGATCAATTATATGAATAGGTACTCGTATCCATGTATCTCTCCATTGTCGCTGTACGTCATGATGCGACCAAATTGCTTGACCCGACGCTCCTTCGTTGAAAGATTCACTCATCGCAGGTACGACATACAATTCGAAATAAATATTGAATACAGCTGCGAGCTAGCGCGATTGCTACAGAAACGCTAGCAATTATTAAAGTTATTATTATAATTTCTTTGCCATCGTCTTTTCTCGTTCCACGGCGTCTTCCCTCAGACGATTAGTATAATGTTGACGGTGTTGCTCTGCACCAGCTTATCGCAACTCGGTACTATCTCTGTCGTGGCGAGTCATTGCTACAACGGGCCATTCTCTGGCGCGTTACCCGCTTACAGCCGCGAATTTGATTGAAGTGGACCAGTTTTGGTAAAAATATGCTTTGGCAGAACAAAGCTAATTGGGCATGTTATGGTTAACCTCTAAGACAACAATGATCATATAGGTGACCAAGGACATTGTTACCACTGGCCCTGTGATTTTCATTAGCAATTTAATTGAAAGCGGCTAAGCGAACTTTGCCCGCAGGAAATGCTGGTATTTCAAGAGACCGCCTGTCGGTCGACAGATAGCCAGTAACTTATTACAGAAAGAAGGTAAAAAGTAAAGAGAAGTATGCATTTTGTACTGTTTATCGATTTCTATAAAAAGCTAATCTTTTTACGATGGGGGCCGTCGATTAGACACTTGTCTGAGTATACGAAAGGGCTTCCCAAATTCGTTTATCTGCTATCTGGTAAATTTCGATCATCGGCCTCAGCTCTTGACGTGATCCACCATTCAAATTACGTGCAGCGCCTCTATTGCAGCTGTTAGTAACCAGTATTAAACGAAACCTGCTGTCGCTTTGTTTAGGACATAAGGGACCTTATAAACGTGTAACTCGTATTCAGCCTTGGGCTCGAACAAAGCAAATTGAGTTACGTTAGGCGTGTCGACAAAGGGAAAGTTTGTTTCCCACCGCATAGGAAACTCGTCTGCGGTTTAATTCTAAGTTCATAAGCAAATAAGTCCTAAACGACCTCTAACTTGAGTTATCATATCCTTTTGATACATTTTGGTGCATCGATTATTGACAAACCAAATATAGTGTAAATAACACGATTCGTATTCTGTTTTCTTGAATTAAACGCGCATCTGGAAACAGGAAACCGTATACTTAATACGTCTATAGCTATCATTTTGAAATTGTTTTTAGGCTCATTTTTACTTTGCTGGTACGACCGTGGCCAATGCAGTATGTGCACCTTTAAGGTCCTTTGAGAACTGGCACGTATTAATGAAACTACTGCTATTCATATACTGTAGTCGTTGCATTTCAAAAATGTAATTTTTACTCCTTCTAATCAAACCTGTCAATTTGGGCGCCACGTAGTGTGCCTTCCAGAGCCCCCTGGGTCCGATGTCTTCAAAGAGCTGAAATAGGTGATGCACAACGGCCAATGACAAACGTTGCGATATATTATGGGTCAAATACGAACCAAACAAAAGCTAGTTTGTTACCGATGTGATAGGAATAGCAGTTCTTTGCAACTGTGGTCTTTGTTGCCTTCAATATGCATCGCTCATCAGAGGCAATTAACATGGCACTTCAATCGGAAAAATTAATATTTGCGTCGGCCCAATGTTCCTAAACGAACAACTATAATGGTAGTGTCTAGAGGACGCTCTATAACATGACAGAAACATTTAAATTCTTGAAGGCAAATTTATTTAGGAGAACAAATAAACCTATAGAACAATGGTTCAGAAATCTTGTACTTCCAATAAGCAGAGTGGATTCTATAAGCAATATTATATAACGCTCCTTCCTAAAGGTTGTTTCAAAGGCTGAAGTCTCTGAACGCACCATGGGTGGCCGAGCATCCAACAAAAAGCATTGGTTCGAGAACTTCAATATTTAGACATTTTTTTAAATATTAGTATTCACAAAATTTTAAATCACATTTAGGGGCCGCTTACTCGTGAAGTATCTGAAAACAAAAAATGAGATCTATTGCATTCATCTACCATTGCATCTACCATTATCCTCGAAGCCACTGACCATGGCCTAATATGTTTGAACCAAAAGTTGAGAACTTAAGTGCGCCAGGCAGTACAGAAATAATTTCTCCGAAGCCGGCACTTCTCTGTCTGATGGTCTTCATAATATTTCATCTGTAAATTTGCCGATGGGACTTTTTTTTGGGTATGGAAATACAGTAAATGGTCTTTAACATGTAAGCCTCCATTTTGAAAAAATGACGTTTCGTCAGTTTTCATGCAACAGACCTTTTGCCCTTCCAATATGCTCTTAAATAACTAATTAATAATGCTCTTAAATTCGGCAGCGTAACAAAATGTCTCTAGTCGATGTGGCCAGTAAGTGCATATTCGTCCACCTAAATTGTCACAAATATTGGAACCGACCGTGTTGCTCCTAATACGCATGTACCTCTTGATTCACGAATCTTTGTTAGATGTCCCCGTAAGAGAGCGACGCCGATAGGAACGCCGTTCAGGACCTATGCGTAGATTGTGGGTTGATAATTACTTAATTGTAAATTAATATGATGATAATTACTAAATTGGTAAATATGTGCGTTCACCAGGGCTTAAATTCCATTTTCTCAGCAGTTTAATGGTTGACTCAGAGGCCCCTAAGACTGGATCTATAGCCATCGTTTCAGTTCAGATACAATTGTTTGTTCCTATTTATTTTCGGTACCTATTTATTTTTTTGAGGGATGATATAGATCGCATTTACTCCAAATGCAGAGCACTGCGATTCTCTTAGTGAATTTAGTTGAATTTAATGAAATAGTTTAGTTAATCTGCAACGTTGCTAACTATTACTTACATAAGTGAGTCGGACAAAATCATCAAATAAAGATGGGCCATGTGGTGAGCGCAATCAACGCAATTCAAGTCATTTATATGGTACCATTTTTACTGTGTTTACTTAAAGCTATATATAAAAACAACGAGCGTATCAATCGTCGGAACTACGGACGACACTAACTGATGGATTTGTGAGTGACATTTTTTATTGACTTGGCAAGTTTTGTGTAAAACGGAACGCAGAATTAAACATATTCATCCATTAAACATATCAAAAGTTTTTATTCGGTAACACCATATAGACTGTAAATAGCCAATTATTTTGTCTAGTTCAATGCTTTTTTTTGTGAAAGGCTCTACAATAACTCTAAGCATACGCGAACTCTCACGTTTCGTTTTTCTGAGCTTCAAATTTTTAATATTTTCATACATTAGATAAACTTATAAAATGAAAATTTTGAATAATTTAGGTTTAAACAACAGAGAACGATTGCTTACGTGAACTTCGTATAGTTCTCTTTACTATTAGTTCACAATATTCACGTTATTTATTATTATATTTAACACTTAACATTATGGGTTTGATTTGTGAATTTCCTTATTTGACTGTGTAGAAAATCAAGAACAGTTATTAAGAGTATGATTCTCCCGCGCTTATAGCTTAGTTTTACTGGGCAAGTACGTTTCTACCACACCATACAAGGGCGTATATACGGTTTAATCGTATTGCACAATAAGAGCCAAATGTTTTGATATACAATATTTACCTGCTTCGGCTTCGGCCGTCAATAGTTAGCTATTTTCGGTCATATTTATGTTTAGGGATAATGTTAGCTTGAAGTCCGAAATGTGTTGCCCGTGGAACTCGATCAAATATACTTTGAAGCGCACAACGGTGTCATGTGGTCATTGCACTGCCTGGCTTCTTTCCCTGACTCGGCGTACCGCTGTGAAGGCTTTGAGAAGTGTAACTTTGACGAAATAGGTAAATGCTGCATTTTCGTATCTGTCGATAGTTAACATTTCTCAGTCGTCAGCCGGAAATAGATAGAAGGAAAACTGTCTACACAATACTGATAATAGGATCTCCTTTTGCTTTACTCAATAACAGCGAGTGCTCATTGGTTATTATTCGGCCAACTGTGAAAGGTGACGAACTGTGAGAAGTGTTGTATTCGTCTCTTTGCTGAGCCGTCGTATGCGATTATTGATATCTAGTTTCGTTAGGCGACCATTTGAGGTCAAGGGTCAAAATATAACGAATGCATTCCGCGTAGCCTCTTCTGCAGTAGCTCCTGGCTAGTACGAATTAAGGAATACGGAAAGCACAGTTTAGTAAAGGAACAAAATTGATTTATATTTCCAAGCGTTTCAGCAGCGGAAGTGCAAACGAAACCTTACTTATCTGGATAACTATTTTTTTGTATTGCCAGTTTTTTTTCGAACAAGTACGTACATTAATTACGTACAACAAATTAGGATATATAGAATTGTTGCTGGTCTATAAATGTTTGATAATGAAACGGCGTTGTAGCTCTGTCATATTATGTTTATTCCAAACTTAGTGTCATTATTAAAGCAATTGCTGATCGACATTAATGTATTACCTGGATTTTGCGTAGATTGAATACAGGGACGACACTTTTATAAGGAATTGATACTAATTTGGAATCATGTGAAAAGTAGCTATAACCGTAAAATTAAAATCATTAATTTCCAACAGTTTGCCTTAAAGTAATCACGGATATAATTTCACTACTATTTTTTAATATAAATGCACATTTTTTTTAAAACTAGCTTTTGTTCGAGTTCTCTCTGATAGGCTCAGGAGTATACAAGCTGTCGATATGATTGAAGTTTTACAAAGGGTTATCTCGTTTCCAATCATAGGTTGATTTAATGAGTTCAACTTTTACAACTAGTGAAAGTCTTTCGCGTTCATGATGCAATCTTTTGCAAAAGTTTTAATACTTTAGACATTTTGGATATTCCGGCTGATGATGGCACCTCAGCCATAGAAGGCTATATATAAAAAGAAAATGGTAGAAGATATAGTATGCGCATGGTCTTTTTGGGAGCGTATTGTATAATGTTTCTCTGCATTGCTAATTAGCTTAAATTTACCTTTATTGTGTTCGAAGAAGACATGTGAAAGACCTGGTAAATATTCACAATCTTTTCATATTATATGGATTCATAATTCTCATATACCATGTGTCGTTAACGTATCGTCTCTGCCTTCAAAGTCAAATTAAGCAACCTATGGTTGTTTGCATATCGGTTCACATGTGTACATGTGTATGCCGGTATAAAGCCCCAAGCTTGTACGAAGTTGAAATGCCTATATAGCAAATAAATTTGCATTGAAGTGTATGTAAAACGTGTATAGACTTAAGGCATCGTCTTTCTTGAAAATGCGAGAGCTGGAGTTTATTACTACTCAATGGTCGGAGTTGCTGATTTGCGTTTAAAGTTATACAAATAGATTTTTTTTACACAGGCATTCCGACCTATAAAATGGATTTGAGACATTACCGAGGCTGGAGATCGAATGCATCTAGAAACAATAAGGGAAAACCTAAATATTAAATCTAAACTTTTCCTTAAGTTTCGCGGAGATTCGCATGCGTAGAGACTGAGTAAGATTAATTAATCGCTACGTAATTTAGCTGAGTTCAATTTAGCTGAAAACAGTTGCTGCGGCCATAATGATTTTTAGGAAGTAAAGTATGATCGACACGTCTATTTTGGAGTAGTACCTACAAAATATGATTGTCGCCTTCGGGTCGCAGGAAAACGTCCAGCGCCGTTGTGCCAAATCTTTGTGGCGCCACTGACAGGGAAACGTTTAAGTGACAAGATTGCTGGATATGATATAACAGGAAAATTATTGAAACTCTGGTTTAACGTTGTCTCGAGTAGTTTAAAAAATGGCCTCTATCTAGCATCCCGCATTTTCGCTTCGATGTGAGCAGATAATGGAGACTCCGTAGATGGACTCACGAGCACTGTAGTCTTGCTTGGAGCATTTCCAATTAGCGCCTTGCGTGGGCCGGATTCACGTAAGGTTTATTAAACGACAGGCTGAGTGTTCCGTGCATTCGAACAAATACATTTTTACGTTTTTCTAATTTGCGAAAAGTTAAATAGATTATTATATTCAACGCTTAATTCTGTGGTACCTTAATTGCAATTTTTTTAAAGACGCTTGATTCAACAAAAGCGGTTCGTGTCGATTGCGCTTAGAACTCTAACCAATTGTGACCTTTTTTCTTACCCATGTTTTAATTCATTGCATGAAAAATCTAGGTTTAATATACTAAATTTAAAATTTTGTAAACTTCGATTTTATATATATAAAATTATGGTGCAGCTACAATCAGTTTACAACACCAAACAGTCTGTCTTAACGATAAGACCAGGAAGGTCGAATATCTTTTTGTTAATCTTTAGTGACTGACATAGTCCAAATATGTTTCCAAAAAGGAAAGACGGGGTGACAGAGAAGACTTTGGAAAACAATGTTAAAATATCCGAACAAAGTCCATGGCAAAATTTTTGAAAAATACCACTGTCCTGTGTGATTAGACGCATGCAAAAGCACATTCGATGCTAGAAAGAAAATCAGCATGAGATAGCTTCGTCTGACTAGTCCTACCGCAAGATAGCTAATTTCTTGTCTATATGATACTTAAAAAATTCGAAAATGTGCAAACATATTGAGATAGTTCCGTGTCGATAAAATCAACTAATTAAATGAAAGGGTCGAGTGATAAATAGAAACACATTAGTCAGTACATCTTGCAGCCTCATAGGTCTTAGCCAACCGAAACTCTAATCCAATCTAAAGTGAGTTGTATTTACGGTAAGTATAGACACGTTATATAATTAGTCCTTAAATTTAAGCCAACGTGCAAATATAGAATACAGTCAAGTTAGCTTAGCATTTTAGCCGAAATAATAGAGTTAGTGCAACATTTGCCGCACGGAATATGGTTACAAAATGTTTCCTTAAAACCTATTGAATTTGGATTGTTTAGTATTTAGTATCCGCTAAAATTATGTCAAGCAATTTAATTTCTTAAAATTATCGTTCTGAGGGGTACTTCCGTGGAGTACATTCTGCACTCATGATTCGGTTCATAAATAGCACTGCCTCAATCGTTTGCCCTCGTTCGTCAAGTGGCTACTTTTACTGTCAATGAGCTCAACCTATTCTTTGATTTTCAGTATATTCAACCACTATATAGCTGTAATATTAACATGCCATGTGTTGGCTCATAAAATGCGTTCATTTCATAAGAGCCAGGCGCAATTAAGTTTGGCCTCAATCTGTACGCGTACACAACATATGTTGATAAAACATTGCTGTGCTAAACAAAAAGCAAAACACCTTCACCGATTGGCGTAATTACTAAGACTGTCGTCTTATTTACAGTTTGGTGCGGTTAAGGTCGAGCGGCACCGAGTGGCCAAAGTGATCCAGCGACGGAGTACTTGCGTCCGGCCCGACTTGAGTAAATTGGACACTTCAAGATTCAATAACGCTAGTCCAGCTGGGGGAAGCGCCGGACAGTCGTCTTCCCAAGGCCCCAATGTTGGCAAAAGTCAGGACCCGATCCACCTCAGCGTCGGGTCACAACGAAGGGTTAATTGTACTCATGAGCCGGACACTGAGGACGAAGAACTTCTTTCCCCGTCCAAAGAGGTACAAATAGAGCCTGTATGCATAAACGCTCAACTTCGGGTTTTTTAATGCTCCCCTTTTTGTTTTCGATCTGACCCTTAAAAAAAATCTTTCGTAGCGCAGTTTTTGCACCAGACTGTTAACCGTTGCATCCAAATTGTGTACTCATTGAATAAATAATTATGGTATCGATCAGCATAATTATGGTATCTATGAGTCTATCAAATAGCAGTATTTTCTATCGTTTAGATCTTCGGAATTAACCTTTTTTACTATTTTTGTCCATGTATGTGTGGGGGTCTACCGTAGATGATTGAGAAGGACAATATGCAAGTGGCCCCAACTCAGCCGCTAGTGACGCTCGAACGACCGGTCGGCAAGGACTTTCAATTAAACGACGTTTTTCCGTTGATTAAAAGGGGCGTTGAAGCGATTGTCGACGACGACTTCACGAAACGATTCGCAGCCGAAGAGCTCGCTTCCTGGAACCTACTAACCCGCACTAATAAGAACTACCAGTTCATCAGGTATGTGTTTTTTGTGATGTTTACAAGTGATATTATTACTGTGATAATAAGTGATCGTTTTTATGTCACCCTTTCTGGTGTTTAATTATTGTTGAAATAACTGGTGCTTATTGGTCTTTGTCGTTTATCCGTTTAAATTCCTCGCTGTATTGTGTCTTGATAATGACAGAATTACACGCTGTGTGCGTATAAAAATCCCTCGCTGTTTACACGCTAAAAATCCCTCGCGGTTTACACGCTGCGCATAGAATGTCTTTAGTATATGGGTTCGGACTCTGAATGAAGAACAGCTGAAAAAAACTTTCTCTCAGCACTTTGGCCATACTGAATGCAATCGGCAGGACGCAGGAGTGGTCTAATTTCGACACAGTTCGACCTTCCAGCAAAATTCCGCAGTAATAATAGCAAATGGAGTGTAAAATTCCGCAGTAAAATAGCAAATGGAGTGAATATAGGTACTACCCTCTTCCGTTCTTTCCCTTTGAATTACTAAATGGTAGACAGAGAGGTACTGTCAACCTGTCGTAGAAGGGACAGCTACAACTATCAGGGTACCGATGGAATTTCGTTTCACCAATACTTGTACCTAGAAGTTAACCTCTAGGGATTTCAACGCGCTAGCTGACGTTGTCTAAGTATATCTCGACACCACTACTTACAACTTCTAGGATTTCAATATGCTAGCTGACATTGCAAGTAAGCGAATAGTAAACCTTTTTGATCAAAAAAATATTCTAGAAGAGAAAGTTCAATGCTAAGCAGGCCAGATTTTATTGATAAAATAAGTTGGAAAATGTATATAATAACCTTCTTTGCTGGCGATTGTAATTTATTCCCTGCCAGCCGGTTAGGCTGAAACACGTCGAAAGTATAATTCACTATGTATTTTTGTGTTGTTTTAAGTCGAACTGATACATTCATCTGATTGTATCGTAAATAGTAAAGATACCTTCGGCCTTCGTCTCAGTTTAGGAGATTGTTATGTGAATCCACGAGATCCTTATAGTACTTGACAGTTTTCATGCGCAGTTCCATTGTTGCGTCTTCATCGCAAACGAATATAGCTCTTGGATGCATTTGAAGAGCGGACGCCGTGCACATATGATTGATACCCTCTTCAATCGCTTGCCGGAGAGCCAACGCCTTGTGGATGCCGCTTACCATAATGAGGACTTCCTTAGCATCCATTATAGTTTGCACGCCAACTGTTAGAGCCTGTAACGGAAATTCGCACGAAAGTTAACGTTCGCGCACATCGGTACACGTGTGGAAAAAGACTGGGAAACACCGTAAACAGGTAATCAAGGACTTTTTAAATTTCAGAGACTAATCATGCGGAAAGCACCTGTCTCGGGACTTTTGTGATGTCGTTGTCAAAGAATCTTGCATTTGCCCGCAACGTGTCCTTGTTGAGCGTCTTTACCCGCGTACGAGACGTGAGACTGGACCCTGGCTCATTGAAGGCTATATGTCCGTCAGGACCGATACCTCCGATGAATAGATTAACGCCACCATACGACTGGAATGTGACCGGCATACAAATACACTGGACGATATATCTTATTTTAGTCACACACTTGATTCAAGTTGCGAGTCAACAAAGTGGACACAACACCTCCGAAAATTGAGTAACAGCACGAACACAGTAGTTGTCACGTTAGTAGCATCAGCCACACAAAAAGGTACTATCAGTTGCATTATTTCGTGTGACTGTTAGACCTGTACATCTAACCATATCTCGTTTATTAAGCTGAACTAATACCAACATTTCAAACAAAATTGGAGCAATCAACGTTAGCTAATCTTGTTTTAGTGCAGTTTTAGCTTTAACAAAAAATTAGTTTCGTTCAACGGTTGTTCTGTCGATCAGATCTTACAGCGCATACAATTTCTCTAGCGAGTAACTCCATAGATTATGTTTGGGGTAACCCCAGTTTATGTAGCTTCGATAAACACGGAGACCAGTCGACATGACAGCAATAGCGCATTACCTACGTTTTGGAAAAAAACGTGGGTAATGCGATGAAAACGGAAAAGCCGCCGTGCCGGGCGCCTGCCAGCTTTTTACTGTCGGTCAAGATTTCTCGCGGTATATCTCGGGGCCTGCAGGACCTCCTGGCAATTTTTGATTCGAGCTCTATTTATCGAAGTTGCGTGTCAGTCGCCAATTCACTTACCTTAATTTTGTCTTCGTAACGTTTGCACTCCGCTTCTAGACTGACAGCATTCCCATCTAGGATGTTGACGTTCTCTGGTTCGATGTCGACATGCTTGAAGAAGTTCTGCCACATGTACGAGTGGTAACTTTCGGGGTGTTCAATAGGAAGGCCTACATACTCGTCCATGTTAAACGTAACGACATCACGGAAAGATATAGCCCCTTGACGCTGAAACTCTGTCAATATTCTGTACATTCTGATTGGAGTGCCGCCCGTCGGAAGGCCTAACACAAATGGCCTTTTTTGGATTTTTGCAAAACATGGTCGCCAAAAACATGCAATTTCAAAAAACCCACGTAACAATTTATTTAAGTTATGTTTGACAATTATTTGGTGTGGCTTTTTCTGTTTGTTGCTTTCATCTGTCGCTTGTGTATTTTCATAAATGTCGCTAAATATTTCGTTCTCTATGAAATGAACTCTATCATCTTTAATTGCAGATAAAACTGCGTTCTGCGCGTACACAGAGATAATTTAACCCTAGCAGACGATGCTAACCTGGCTCTCGTTGGCTTGAACTCATAGATCCGCTTACGTATGTGTTTCGCTGCAAAGTCACAGACATCTACTTCGCTGTTCACTATAATAAGACGCATTTTTGCTATAACCGATCTGACAGCGATACACAGTGATTCAATATATTAAAGCGTTCGAATTCACGAAATCACTCGTTTGTTAGTTCGTGCCACTCTCCCTCTCGTCAACGTTGAGTCGAATCGAGTGTTCTCTTCAAACTGTTCGACAATAAGGGCGGCTAGCTGCAACTTAACCACCACCTAACGGTGAACGACTGAAACACATAGGGCGATCTCAAACCAGCAGTCGTGCGAGTCTGGTTGTCTCGATGGGCACTGCTTGAGGCAGCGAAGACGATTTTCTAAAAGTCCATAACCATAATACCTCCGGGTATCGACCGTTGACGTCCAAAGGAGGTGGAGCTATGATGACACTCTCACACCTGAATAACCGTCTGTCGAGTACTTGACAAATTGATTAAGTGTTTCTATAACAACGAAAAGACAGCATCGTAATGTTATCACACGAAAAAAAGCAGCTAAATTGATGACTCTGGCTCGTAGAAAAGAGCTATTATCGCTGCGCATCTGTGCGCGTTTGTCTCTATCTACAACCGCGCTTATTTGTCAGAACGAGAGAATAGCAAAAATAGATTAAGCCGGTCCCTGCCACTTTCTTGCAAGGGGATTGACCAGTGCTGATGCTTTAGTGGCAAAGCTGTATGTCGCTTGCGGCAAGTGGAAAGTCGATAACGATAGCGTAGAGCAGACCGGTAGAAGAAATTTAGCGGTAGTACGATGCGGTTGTTTGGTAAAGTGTTCAATCAATTGAACATCGGAGTCAGCTAGCACGCAATAATGAAACTGTAAATCTACATACGCCTATGTTACACTACGGCCATGCTTAACAGTTCTCTTAACCTATGACGAATTACGAATTCCCGTCGGTAATAGCAGTATGCCAGTGTATGTATAAAAAATCACTTACCATTTGTCGTCAATGAGGTTGTTTCAATTCGGGTATTCAGATGCACTGGGCCACCCTTTTCTAGAACACAGACCTACACAGGCAAAGACGCATCGACCGATTCACAGTAAGTATGAATGAAATCGAGTGGATGTCACTGCTTTTATATTTAAAACTAATGTTCACGCTCGAAAACTCAGCTGCGTTAGCATGCGTGTTCTGTTGTAAAAACGAAAACAGATCAGGTTATCACACCGGCCTTCGTTGTTTATAGCTGTTCATGGCTCCAATCTGAGAAAGGGACAATCTCTGCCGGGCCGCGGCTGGAAAGCTTCAGAGTCAATCTGTATAGATTATATACTGAGAATCATGCGGTACATCTGTGACGAGCAGTTGCACAGTGTAATAGAAGTAGTTGGAGTAATCGTTCGTAGCACTTTCTTAAGGAAAACCTATTTTATTGAGCCGTACTACTGTGAAAGACATTAGGAGAATCGTTTGCTGCTTTGGAACACTATATGTAGTATCGTGCACAAGGCTCTCGTTCCTGTCCGATTCATGGTATGGACTAGCCATAGTAGTCATTAGGCTACTTATACCTAAGTGATCATCCTTTATGTGATTTAGAATAACTAGATTTAGGCAAACAATATGTAAACCATTCTATCCGTTTTGGTGGCTCTATTACGTTCTTACAGTTGGCGTCTGACGGTGGTATGGGCTTTGGGCTGTTTGATCCGGTATCTTCTTCTATTCCCTATCCGTGTGATCCTTACTTTCCAGGCTGTGTTAATTCTTGTTATTTTCGGCTCATTCATTGGATTACTGAAAGACTCCAGGTAGGATATTGCCTAATGTATGCCTATGATAATTGATCAAATGGAAGGTCATGTACACGAAATTTTCCGCGAAGTAAACAATTATAAATGTTAATGACAAGCAATATTAAATGCCTTTCTACCTTTCACGTATCTTGTCACTACATAGAAACTGTGCTGCCGCAGAATTAGTGCACTTTGGTGATAGCACATTTTGCTATTTTTTTTAATAGTTAATTATCCCTCAAGTGCTGTCATTTTAAAAACGAATGCAAATTAAATACAAGCAATTATTTCAGGTGCCCTTCCAGGTACGTTTATATCAGTAATTATTATGGATTTGAATTTATATATTCCATAGTTTATTCGTCGTATTACTTTGCTCCATCGTATGAATGTCCACAATGAAAACGTAATGTTTACTTTTCGTATAGTTTAGACGTATAGTATAAGTCATTTATTTCAGTACTGTTTATTTTTGAAAGGCCCCATTAGGACTAAACCTATCGGTAGTTGTTTGATATTACTTACTTCTTCATTACTGGAGGAACGAAGACGCTCAGATGTATTAGGAGCGGTAGGTTCAATGGTGATCTCAACAATACCATGCTGAGATGTTGCTACAGGAATAGAAATCACGACTCGCCTTTTTCTGGGTCTGCTTCTAGACGTTTTTCTTTAAATCTCAAAAAATACGCTTGTGTTTTTATAAGTTGTTTTATAAGTATAGTGCTCCACAACGCTGTCGGACCTTATACCTTTTTTCGAGAATAAATCATTATCTTTAAAAAAAATCGAATGGTTTCTACTTACGAAAAGCTAGCTACGAAATGTCTAGCTTTTTTATTATTGGAAAAAGAAAATGACCAATCAGAAAGTATTATGATTTTTTGAGATATAAATATATCCATATGCGCTCTGTAAAATATTTTTTTAAATTGATTGTCAAAAAATAACGTGCGTACTTTCTATGATGTAATATTTAATAACATATTGCACTTAAATAATTATATTGAAAATATTTTAATTAATAAAAGGTTGTTAAGGAGCGACGGAACAAGTGCTTGTCTATAAATTATAGTAACAACACTGTCATTTCGTTTCATGCTATTCTCAGGTTTACTGCACGGTAAGAATTTGAAATAAGATTTCTGTGCATGTCTCACTCTTGGAGCGTTTCATAACTAAATACAGACCTTTGTTTGAGACGCTTCGGATTTGATTTTTATTTGCTACCGGCTAGCGAACGGCTGAAAGCAGACGGATGATATGTCTGATTTGGAGGAGTAATTATTATGCCTTTTCCTTTTTGCCACGTATGGTATTTTGTTTGCCTCAGAAAATAATTAATTTTTAGTAGTTACGACATAACTACACTTTCGGAACGTAAGGTAGCCGATTGCATTGATAATCTTTCGAGTTCTGGAGCATAGAACAAACGAATTTGCCAGCTGTAATTGAAGAACCCATTAGAGGTATTTAAGCAGTACATAACAACTATGTGCCACAGTTGGTCATACTTAATACTTTTAAATGAATTAAATTTGAGGTAGACGAAGGGAAACGTTTCCATTATCCCTATAAGAAAAAAAGATTTTCCATTTCTTCATTAGTAAATTTCGAATTCTAAAATCTGTAACTAACCTTTCTTATATTGTGTTTTTAGGAATTGGTACGATTATTACTTATGAAAATGACTACTAAATCATGAACTTTCTTTGCGCTTGGCTGGAAACAGATTTAAACGGTGGTTGTACTCGACGGTATCGTTGGTAGTGTTCCGAATGATGGGCCGCGCCATTTCGGCAACGATTACTTACCACAATCTGGAGAATCAGGCAAAGCAGGGTGGCATATGTGTCGCTAATCACACTTCACCTCTTGATGTTTGCATCCTATGCCAAAATAACGTCTACGCCATGGTTTGTGTAGATAGAAGCCTTTCTTACAGAATAATATGCATCGAATTTATGTAGGTGTTCTTTTAAGTTTTTTTTTTTTTAATACAAGACGCATTGAATACAAATTTCCTTGTTTCATTTTGCCGGTGCTTCTAGGTCGGCCAAAACCAGGGAGGTTTTCTAGGTCTTCTACAAAACTATCTGAGTCGCATGTGTAACCACATCTGGTTTGAGCGTGGGGAAGACAAAGATCGGCTGGAGACGGCTGCCCGAATGAAGAAACACGTTGACAATCCCAACAACCTGCCCATTTTGATCTTCCCAGAAGGCACCTGTGTCAATAACACTTCCGTCATGATGTTCAAGAAAGGATCCTTTGAAGTTGATGGTAAGTATTTTATAGATAGTGAAGTTGCTGAACAGGTTTCTACTATGCGTTTATTGTTTAAAGTATATAATGCGTACGTTTATTACTTCAAAATATTTGAAATCAATGATTTTCTTATACTGCTGATGCTGTTACTGTTACTGGAGTACTGTTTTTTTTTCGGGAGCTTTCCTGAATTAATTTAAGTCTGAAATCCAATAATTAATGAATGTTTTGTCTGTTTTGTTCTCTAAAGCGCCCATCTACCCGTGTGCTATACGATACAATCCAGCATTTGGTGACGCTTTCTGGGATTCGTCGAAGCACGGTTACGTGATGTATCTATTACGAATGATGACATCGTGGGCAATCGTTGCCGACGTGTGGTTCATGGAGCCAATGCGTAAGAAGCCCGATGAAACGAGTATGGAGTATGCTAATAGGGTTCGATCGATAATTGCGAATCGTGGCGGCATGGTCGAACTTCAGTGGGATGGCATGCTAAAGCGTGGCACTCCTAAAGACGAATGGAAATACTATCAGCGATTGCATTTAGGCAAGCAGATTGGCTATGTCGAGGATGAAAAAAAGCCAGTCGAACTGATTCAAAAGGAGCAGGAAAAACGAAGTGAAAAAATAGATCACTCGGCGTTGTGGACGTACACGCCAAAAGAGGAGGATGTGCCAGCTTGGCTAAATGTTACCAAACCGCCGAATCCTGAAGAGCTGCTCAAGAACGGCAAGGTTGAGTAAAAGCAATAATGTGCCACAAGAGAAAATGTTTTGGCTAGAGTCTACACCCTTCCTACAGTGTTCAGTTAATCGATGCAGAAGCCATTAGAGAGACACAAAGCTGTCTTTATTCTTTCCTTACGCTAGGAAAAAGGTGGGCAAAAAAACCCAAGGACCTTTTAGTATTTAAATGACGTAATGCATCAGTCTGCGGTGCGTTGCGTGTCAATTAGTACATGTGCTTAATGGGTGTGAATGAACGAATAGATGTGAAGGGTTCCACTGCACGGATGGACAACTGCTTATTATAAAGCGGGCCGTTGAGGCATTTAATGATGCTGCTGATGAACGCAAGCCCGGACAACTTTCAAGGTTCGATGTCAAATCAAAGACGAAAAATGAGGCTATGTCTGTTTTTCAAAACCATCCTGCCATCTGTTGCTGCATGATTGCTCGAACAACCTACTGTAACAGAATGATATTAGAAGAGAGTTCTCATCGGCTCTTCACGACCGTTCATAGCGAAGTTCTCTCGTATCACGGTTGCATTTGCATGAGCTGAACGCATCCGTGCATACGACTCCATCCAGCATAAACTAATGATTTACACGTTACGGCTTATAAAAGAAAGGTTCAGTGTTAAAGGGTGACGACCTACGAAGTGAAGCACCCTGACCGGTAATGTTGTAAAGCAGGGGACGATTTATTATGATAGGATGGTTATTATAACGATGATGACACACTAGTATATTTTATATTTTTGTCTTATTTTTACTATGCCGTTCAACGTACCGACGATAATTACCGTATTAATTACTTCTGGTGTATGATGCCGATGCTCCACTATCATTCCTCATCAATATGTGAATGAACACTTTAATTTTAACAAAACTTAATATAAAATCCGAAATGAACCTGTACTATAGATTCCTATGAATATGCGCACACACACAAACGTGCGCACGCGCACTCCCACGCAGACATAGAAGGATAGAGATATTTGATTAACAAAGTAGGACGAGGAATATTTCTTTCTAGCTCGAGCGTTCAACAGACAAAGGAATAGAATATCGAACTCCTAGTGGACCTCGACGTTGATTGTTAGTATGCGTCGATGTTTCTAAAGGTGCCTACAAGCTCCTGTTAAAACTGTACACACAATATCGATGAGAAGAATATAAAGGAAAATGCTGTATATGCATCTGACAGGGATAGAGAAATAACTAGTACGTGAATTCTGGCAACTCTGGTTATAGAAAGAACAGGATATAGACGACAAGCAGAGTGAGATTTACGAACATGAACAGATCGAGGGCTCGAAATACCACTGATAAGACTGAGTGCCTCCCGCCCCTTGTTCAATGGCGATGGAAAGGTTCTAGTCCAAAGTAGAGAAGAGATATAAGCCCTAGATCAGTGTCTGTCACATTCAAAAATGTTTCTGGACACGTATATTACATAAATACATACATATATGTAATTATGATATAAAAACTGTAATGAGTGAGGCTGCTGCGCGGCGGCGCATCATGTTGGTTGTTATTTTTTTGATGGAACGAAGATGAAAATAGCCTGATATTGAACTAAAGGTAAAGGAATAGAAACGATGGAAACAAACAAAAAAAGAAAATAGATGTCACTTATTTTAGAGCCACTGTCGCCATGTTATCCACCCAGCCGGGCGGACATTTGTAAAATAACATAAGACAAAATCGATCTACATGCATGATAATACGTAGCACACCTGGAGGTAAGTATCATTACCTTGTGTCATCACAATTATTATGACTGATCTTATGGTTTTGTCAGTAAAATGAAAACAAAATGAAGTGATACAGTTTAATAAATCAAGGGAAAAAGAGGAAAGTTATGTAAGAAACGAGAAGATTTCACTGAGTTTTAAGCAGAAAAATACCTCTGCATATATATATATATATATATATATAAGCAACTGGTATGTGGTAAATCGTAGTTAGTACGATTTTTACATTGACTACAACGGTACTGTGAGTGGCTTCTTGGACACTAAGAATGTTTAGGATGCACAAAGCAACGATGAAGGCGATCATATAATTATAAAAAAAATTAGGGCAAAATGCAGAATATTATATTACTATAAACATAAAATACATGAGAAGTAATGTTACAAAGAAAAAAGGCGAGTAAAAACGACGATTAGAAACTCAGGGCTACAATGTATTGCCGCAGATTACAGGGTTAGCAGACTTAGAAGAGAAAATATATCTAATTTGTTACGATATAGCATATTGGGAGAAAAATGAGCTCAGTTTGCGCGCTATTGAGGAAGACTATCCTTAGATAATGAGATACACGTCATTCATTAGTTGGAAGTCGTTTGACAAAAATACCTATTGAACACTCAAGATTTTTTCGTTTATTTAAGGGAGATTTTGCTGTTCAAAAAATCAAAAGAATAATTATAGCTTCAACAAAGTTTCAGCAAAGAAAAGACATGATAAAATTCACTATTGCAACAGATGGGGGATTTGCAAAGCCACGAAGTTTATGTACTCAGGCGTAAGTGCGCAAGCACATAACACGAGGGCGAATCTTTCAGAAGTGTTCGAGTGTCAATTTTTGGTAACAAAATTTGGTCTAATTAAAGGAAAAAAAATTATAGCATTGCTACTTACACTGTACTCGACAGTTTCTGCCCATGAAAACGAAATAAATTGCAGCTATTTTTAGATATTTTGGCGATGGGTTGTTTGTATAATTTAATGCTTTTATATATTATTAGCTGCGTGACACATGTACTAGTATTAAACCTTTGAAACTGGAAAACCCTCGTCTGTCAGTGTGTTAACGGCGCATTGAAGCAAATCGATTTGTAGAAGCATGCTCAAAATGCTATTTACGTATCTCCATGGAGTACGTCCACTTGGCTCGAAATATATTTTGAAATTTAGATCTGAGGTTTGTGAAGCAGCATACTAGGTAGATTCTGTGCAAAGTCATTTTTGTATATAAGGCAGATGGAATCCAGGAGCTAAGAATAGTATCTACGTGGGCTTAAGTAAAAAGTTACAAGAGTCACAGCTCAACTTTACCGAAATGAACCAAGGTAAAGATACAACTAATCGAAGGTGGTTACAAGTAAATTTGTAGTATCTGTAATTGTTTTAGGACAACTATCCCCTATTAAAAAAAAGTTTGCTAATAAAACCAACAAATCGTGCATACAAAAACCTTGTCTGAAGATAATGGCTCGGACAGTGGGGAAAAAGGATATGAAAATTTTGTGAAGCTAAATTAATACTCTCTTTCATTGGTACCTCAAAGTTCACTGCTAATATTATGAAATTATTATTATTAAAAATATTCCTAAAAACTAATTCTATTTTATTACGGAACTTGTTTAAAAAAAGTATCTTTCCCTTTTACTCTCCTACATAAAATGATCTTAGATCCTTTCATATATATCGCTAAAGGCATGTGTTGAAAATGGCTACGAACAGTCCACAGCGTCTAAATGGAATGTTTTTTCAGTGCTTTGTTTCTAGGAGTAATAAAATAAAAACAGATAGTTCAATAAAATATAATGCTAAGTAGCTTTGAAGTGTACTACAAAAATTCCGACATTGTTTTTATCTAATAGTCAAAAATGCTAATTTTTATTTTAGCGGAGATCAAGCACCACTACGCCGGTAAATCACACTGAGAAGCTACTTGTTTGATAATGTAACCTCGTAACGTCAGTTGCGTTGTACGTGAGCTGCGTGTACCGATGTCACCTCTCACGTATTTGCAGATGCTTGCATGCTAACCCCTCTTCATATTTTACTCCATTCGCCGGCGGATTCACACTGTTCCTTACGTCACTATAATGCTGTGAAGGCTATTAATATCAGTGTTTATTTGTACGTACGAGGTAGATGGCGTCCTGGTGTATATGTAAATATATATTATCCCCTTGAATTGCATTGAAGTAATGCGAAATGCCCAAATGCCTAGACGTTCTCAGTAGGTTATTGTTTACTGAGTCATACTAAACACAATATTTGTTTGTCTACTTTTCAACCTAAGCCGTTTGCTTCGGAATCTAACCATTCGCTAGTTATTCTCAAAAGATCGGAAGATTGATTAATCCGCAAATGACCTCAAACAGTAATCGTCAATAAAGCGATTTGGTAAACATAAACTTGCCAGTGTGGCTCGAATACGAAAAAAAAAAACAGGTAAAAGTGTAAAGTGCAAACAAAAAAATTCAAGCGGAATTAAATTTTAATCTAATAGCCAACCAAAATTCTTAAAAATACTTGGGTTCGAAACAGCCAGAAATCACTCACGGCGCAAAAAGCCGTAAAAAGCCTCAAAAGGGCCAAAGCTCGTTTAATTGACAATTGATATTTTTTTAAACCGTTAATTTCTCTATCAAAAATGGCTTTGCACGCCTTTGCAACGAAATTTTGAGCCCTCTGAATAAAAAATCTATTAAGAATCTTCCGGTTTGCCTCATAGAAATCTTCCTTGGATATTTAGCGGCTGCATAAAAATTGGCGGTAACGTAGATCAGAGATCGGACAACAGCTAAAATTGTGAAAACATCATTCTTTATCATTATGAATTTGCTGTTTCTTTTTTCGAGAAAGAACGGGCTTTTTTGAGCTACTGAACGCATGCGCGTCAGTACAACGTATTTTTACAATGTATTTTTGCTGCGATAACCTAATGAGCAGAAAAAGTTATTGCAAGAACTGTTATATACATACCCACTCAAGTGTAAGGTTCCCCCAAAATCTTTGCGCACCTTCCTGTCCCTTTGTTTTTCTATTTCTAACTCAAACGTATTAAAACTTGTTTTTTAAGGCACGGGTGAAACAGGATGTATTTGTGGACAAAGTATGTATCTACCTGTAGGCAGTATTGTAAATATAGCAAAGGCATAGTAGATCGTTTCTACTATAGTCCAACAGATGCACTACTGTTGATTGAGGAACTACAACGCAATCTATGGTAACGTACATTTTCCATGTACCAATGTCAAAAGGTGTCTATTGTTCTAGCACCTTATAATAAACTTTTTTTAGTTAGCAGAAGGGTCAAGCTTTGGTTGCCTTTGTGAATGAACTAAAAATATTCCGAGAGATTATTTGTCGTATTACCATTTTAGGAAAATGCCGCAGAAGATATATCTCAAAAGTATTTCTCTTAAGATCGTTTACCTTATTTAAATAATATCCGTGTAGTATTTACATGTCCTTGTGAGGCTTTTGTGTTTAAGGCAGCGTTTCTAAACACAGAGTGGTCTAAAAGACACAATAATAAATGTGAGGTAAGCATTGAAACTTCACAACCTAAAGTTTTGATGAAGCTTATTGATTTTGCTTAGCCTATAGCAGGTTACATCAGTGTTAAACAGTTTGAATACTCCTAGTATTCAAGTATTCATTGATTCTAGCTTATAGGGAATGACCACTTCGCTTTCTTGGTAATAAATCGTGTTGGTAAACGCATCTGAATCACATCAGTCTGAATGAAAATCTGAAAAGGTATACACGTTAAGTATATAAGTTGCAACAACAACATACTCCACTATAAGTCCACAAAGCCCAAATTTATGCACAAATAATAGAAGCATTAAAGGAACTTCGGCAATAGAGCCGTACGATGCCACTTTCTCCTATGTCCAGATCTATATTAAATTAAAATAGAATTTTTCATAAAAACGTTATTCCTAGCTGGAATTCCGACGCGATTCTTATGTATATGTGTTTGTCATCACTACATTGTTAATAATATTATGTTAAGATTAGGAGGTTGAACGCTCAAAATTATTCCCCAGGTGAGGCTCGAACTCACAACCCCGGCATTGCTCACGGCGACTGCCTTATAAGTACCGTGCGCTAACCGATTGCGCCACTGGGGACACACTAAGTCGAGCCCTTATTTCGTTCATGTACCCTCATGCAACAATGAGATATCGACAGGATCATTAAAATGACAATCAAACTAAAAAGTCGTCCATTTTAAGTTGCAAGTATCACGATTTTCAGGTATGGTAAATCAGCGTCTAACTACCGCCAGCATCATGGCGTCAGAAACAATGCTAACAATGACGCAAGTATCTTTTGGCCCGGATGCGGTTTCACTTTTCGTACTAATAATAGCCAAATCAACGTTTTTATCTGCCGAACTGCTTTTTTCAGGGATCAATAGAAGATCAGTATGCAAACGGTTTTTGAAATTATATTCGTTAAGGATAGCCTTTTAAATATTTCCTAGCGATATGCAGGTCCATGGCAGTAGCGGAATTTTGAAATGGGCGGGCTTCCGACCAGACGTATCATTGAACCATGTGGTAGACAGCGTAAAACAGGGTGGCAATTTACAGGTACTGCAGGATTACTATTACACTTTTAACCCAGTCCCCTCACTCTATACCCACTTTGTCGTCTCTAAGCAACTGCTAGCGAGCGCTAAACGTTATATTCGCTCACTGGTTGTGCTACGGTCAGATGATACTGCACAAACGGAACGTGCTCGAAGCCGCCTTTCAGCTAAATTGGTGGAGTTGAAAAGCATCCTATTTCTTTAAGGTACTCGAACAAGCACATGACTAAGTGAAGTGAATTTTTTTGCATAAAAATATATGCTAAATAGATGCAACATTAAGTTAACTAGTGTAAAGGAACAGTTATCAAAGGTGCAGAAAAAATAGCTGGTGTGTCCTGTCATTTTAAATTTCGATACGAACGTATTCAAATTCTTCAGTTATGTTCCAGATGTTTCCAGTTATGTTATCTTCCAGAACTATCAAAGTACTGGCGCACTTTGATAGTTCTGGAAAAATATGAACAACCTGATTCATAACTATGGGATGTGGCGGATTGAGCTTAAATAGACTAAATATAGTCGTTTGTTCGCCTCCGGCGGCCAGCGTTCATTGCAAGAGAATTATTATTTTGGTAGAACTATAGGCATTGCTCATCGTGTAAATTGAACTTCGTTAGATAAACATGTAAAGCTGTATGTTTTAAAATGATTTCTCTGTCAGTGTTTGTATTTATCAGACGGTGATGCCGACTGCCGTTAGTACTTGCGAAACAACAGAGGAACGGTTTTGGGCGATTAAGGAAGCTATGTGAACCTTATTAATCAGAATACAGTTACATGAAATATATTTACCACCATTTCTCTATTCCGCGTTTTTTTTTGAAGCAGTTGCGTGTAAACGAAAAGAAATCTTTCAACGTTGCTTTAGTTCATATGGATTGAAGGTCATAATTCTTAACTTTCATTTTAAATAAAAAAAAAAAAGCAGAATTCTTTTTAGGAGCTTCAAAATATGGCAAAGAGCGTTCGAATCCATGTTTTAGGTAACCTTTCGTAAGGAAAACACGTGTCCATTACGCATCTGAAATTTTAGGACCGCAAGCTATCAGGCTCGAAGTTGCTGCAAATCTTAAATGTGAGGCTTTAGTTAGAAGTTGTTTTCGTTCACAAACGATCGAAGAATTTTTCGTTAGACCGATCTCCATATATGAACTACTTTAATTGATAACTCAGAAACTAGTATTTAGTTCTTAGACTGACAAACTATTAAACCTTCAACAACTATTTAACGCAATCCTTTTGGAGCGTTCGTGTTCGTATCATGTTTACAGTATGATTAGAACGGGCTGATCATAATAATAATTTAGGGGAGAAGTGATCTAAACTGTTCCCAAATGGCTCTTCTAAAACACCAAAAAAGATGGCAGTTTTTGATGGGCTTCACTTGTCGTCAAAGACAGTGAGGTGATTTCCCGTGCTTTATGTAATTTTTCCAACCTACAAAGAGATCTCTTGGAATCGCGTTGCTTGAAACATCGTGCACCGCTGTTAGCCCTGGTTCAGTCTGATCAATATGGATGGTCTAAAATAACTTGTTCTAGATACCCAGTTATGACGAATAAATAACGAGCATTGTTATATTTGACAAAGTATGTTCAATTCTTCTGTTGCACACATTAAGAAAAATAAATGTTGGGCATAGTGTGTAACTGCAATGCACAGTTGAATATTAAATATCTTGTTTTTTTGTCCCTTACGTCATGTTCAATGAAACATATTGGATGATCGAAAAAGTATTGTTCACGGTTCTTAGGCCTAACCTTGGAGCAAATATCAATTTTTCGATAAAAGGATATTACTAGGTTAAGTAGACAGCCAGCTGTTATTTTTTTGTGGTGGAAAAATTATTACAAGTGACGTCTGCATCTCTCCATTGAAGGTAAATTAAAATCATTAAAGGTGTTCTGCAGAAGCCACAACACGTGTTGATCTCATGATGCAAGATCTGGATTACACAGCGGATGCATTGAAATTTCGCCCATTTTTACCGGGTAGCTTAACGTATATTTGATCTAGCATCATAATAGAGAATTGTGGCGCCTTTTCTGTTCACTAATTCCAATCGATTTTCTTCTTTAATGGCTTCTTGTAAACCATCGTTGCTGACAGTTGAGATCCAAACCGTTTGGTGGCAGCAGTTCATCATGCGCAGATCCATTTTGATCTCAGCAAATGCACAGTAGCATCTTTTTGACGTCAGTCCAGACTTTGTTCCGCGCATTTTTTTTTCGTATGTGATCCACTTTTCCTAACTCGAAATAGTATAAATCGCAAGGATTAGCTTAACGGAAAGATGATCGAGTAGATTCGTTTGCGTCAGTTTGTCTGGTAGACTAACATCTAGTTTCTGTTTGTACCTGGCTTTGTTTGAATGGTTTAAAGCTGTTTGTTTAGTGGACACTTGTTCCTTGACAGTGTTTTGGTTTTTTACGCATCCATCTTCGCCGATCTTTGCAATCATCTCGGTCGGTGACTACAAAGAGCATATTGCACGTCGAAATTTCTACGTTGTCCCGATAACTCATCTTGACCATAAAGAGCACTAAATATTCATGGCGTGAGTAATCTAAAGTATAGCTAGTTTTTGCAAAAAATCTACTCGTATTCAAAACATTTTATCCTCCTTCCATAATAACAGCATTTCAACAATTCTCATACATCTACAACTGTCAGCTCTCAGCTCTCGGATGACACCAACGCCGACTCGCAGCCCACATTGCCTGAGATACGCAGTTTCAAAGCAGTTGAACCATAGGGGTGACGGTCGGAATCTTTTTCTAACAACAATTGGCGAAATGAAGCGGTCGATCATCCGCTGGTAGGAAGTGTTAATGATACTGCGCATGATGACGCACATTATACAACTGTTCGCCATACCCTTGATTTACCTACTTGCCAAGCATGAGCGCCATCACTGATCCAACACAGTTTTTGTAACTCTGACAACCTGACGCAAGCTACTTAAGCTGTGCAATTCTAAAACCATCTAGCCAGAAAGAACGTCAGTATTTTTTCGAAAACCCAGGATTTGAAAACGAATATGGAAAATAATCTATAAAAGACTGAGTGCAACACTATATCTATCAACGACGCGCTGATCTTGGGTCATTTTTCGAAATTGACGCAGCGGGTGCTTAGCCAAGAAACTTTTTGGAAGAGGTTAATGGGTTTGTGAACACTGAAGGAAAAAGCTTATTGTTGGAAACGAAAAAACCTGTACAAGCTTTTTCGTTTTCTCTTGTTCTTGCAACCATTCTTCACGAGACGACTGTCGTGCTATGGGTAGTTAGCCATGACTAAATAGCACGACACCTCGTTCATGTATGCGTACCAGGAAGTTTCAATGCTGATTTAGGTCTCTTTGCTGAACTGCACCTGTCGTGTGGTATTTTTTTTTTATTTTATATCATTTGTTATATCATCCACAGGTCCTTCATTACGGTTACGTTCAAACTCTTCCTTCTAGGGCAGCTGTCCATTCAAAGCGCGTGTTCAGCTCGCTCTCCGCTGCCCTTTCGTCCTAGGTTATTTTCCGGTGAAAGTTAGTCATACGGTTGTTGTTACTGGTACATAAACTGTTCTACCTATCTCAGTGTCTGCATGATCGAATTCAGCGAGCTTGGCTCGTAATAAATAGCGCGCATGTGTGTCAGTAAGTTTTTTAAACTTACTGACATTAAAGTGACGTGGAGTGCTTGGCTTCTAAGGGCAAGCATATGATTTCATGCATGGCTTTTCGTTCTTTAATCGAACGCAAACTATTTGGTCCAGCAGTCCTTGTGAGCCTTCATCGACGACATACAAAGGGGGCCTAGTGAGCAAACTAACCATAACTGTATCAAGGGTTGTCGCTTAACAGTTGACAAGGTATTTCCATAATACTTAACCTAAACTCACTTGAATTTAATCAAAAGGTCTTGACGCTCACTTTTCAATAAGATTCTTTGCTTGTTTTAGCATGCAACATTTTCGCTAGCGTATGAGAACTGTCCAGGCGTAAGATGCAGCTTTGATGGTAACGTACATTCTCTTCGCATTGGTTTGTCTCTTTGACCTGATGCACCACAAAATGCTTAGATAGTTTTGAATAATAGATACTCCTATTGCTATCAATATTTTAGACAGACTGCATAGGTTTTTCCGTCAACTACTATTATCTTCAATTATTAAAGGACTAATAAAGCGTCCTAAATTTATATAGATAGAGCATATTTTGAAGGTCAAATTTGCAAATGTAATAAAAATACATTTCCATACGTATTATCCGCATACGAACGAACGATATTTAAAATAGTTCCGGTGCTTAGGACAGCGGAGAACGATATATTTAACAAAACACCCTTTCTAGATTTAAAATTAGTAGCGATCAGAGTTTACACAGCAGGAAATGATCAGGACATATCATTAGTTGACCTTGATCCACTGTTTAATGTATTCCTTCTCAACATTTCGTGCCGTGATCACGTAGGACGTATCTTCAGGGTTGGCCGCTCTCAAGTCATAGTGGTGAGCGCCTCCCTTGATGATAATTGTCGGTAGGGTCGGGTTTAACTGTTTCAAAACACCACCTGTGTAAAGGAAGGCCAAACAGTAACAGGGGGTCGAATCATTGCAACACGTGTGTTTTTTGTTACGGGCATTTGTGCGAGCCATATCATTCGTATTTGTCGCCAGTATAACATCAGCCTATCAGTGACTGTACTAGTCCGTGCAAAACCGCTGTTCTCGCTGGTTATGAGTACGGTGTTTATTTCTTAAGAAACAACAGCGATCTTGGATGTAAACCCCAATAAATATACAGTGGAAACATTTAATTTGAACGGGCAGGGGGGTACTGATCGAAGTTGCTTAGCCTACAAAAGATACCCATGCTTCCTAACTTCCTATTACTGTATCACACTATCGACAATAAGAAATTACGACGAACTCACCTGCTGACCAGGGGTCAATGTCACCGTTACTGAAAATAATGTTGCTGGCTGAGGAGATGTCTACACCGCCGAATATCATCCGAGCTTTGTAAAGATCTGGTGTCATCGAATACGTCTCCTCGCAATTGGCGCGAAATTGGGTGAACTCCCACGTATAGTTGTAGAACATGTCGGTTTTCCCATTTCCACAAAAAGAAGTAACCATTTCGTTGCACATTTGTATATTCCAGCCAGCGTCGCCCAGATTATCGCCGGCTGCAACAGTAGAAGCGGAGTTGTTGTTGTGTTAAACTAGGAATAGATTTCCTCGCCAAACAACTAAGGGTTTCAAGTGAAGTTTCGTTTCTATGAGGGTACTATGACTGTATCGCAGTGGCTAAGTAGAAGTTCCGAATACTGTATAGGGCACTATGTAGCGTATACTTCATCGTAATGTGTCAATGTTTCTAACCGCCATTTTCGACGTCGTTGCATGCCACGTCCCCGGAGAAGTTGTGGAATACGTTTACGGCTTCGTAGATACCGAAAAGCAGGTCGTTATCATTGGTGAAATTCTTTTTTAGGTAGCTGCATGATATCTTGACAGGGTTGCCGGGTACTTTCTTGAGGAAATTTGTTGCATACGGGTAGTTCATCATTGCTAAATTGCCGTATGTATCATAAAGCCAATCCCGCACTATGGTGTAGTTCGACGGGAAGACAGCTTGGCAGATTCGAAAATTGTCGCGGATAAAGCTGGCTCCGTTCTCTACCGAAAAGCATTTAATAGTATGAAACGGTGGCTTAAATTGTTGTGTTTGTCTTATTTCTGTGGTAATTTGATTGACAAGACACAAGTAAGACAAATATGTCTTACTTGTGTCTGAGCTGAAAGCATGGCTATGTAGGCAGGTCAATGTTCGAATGTGCGCGGCGCAATATGGGGATTATAATGACTTTATAAAAAACTTATATATATATATATATATATATATATATATATATTCGGCCTTTTGAATGAATGTAGAATGGTATATAAGAAATTATGCTTCATACTTCGTACAGTTTCAAAAATCCCGTTATAGCGTCATAATAAAAACACTTCATCCGTATTTTCAGTGTAAATAGACAATGAATGAGCAAGACTGTAATGTCGTATATAACAACTATTGATAGTTGGCTACCCTTAAAAGGACTTAGGAGTTGTCCTGGATGAAAAAATTTTCTCATTAAATCAATAATATCAAATAGATAGCACAAACTATACTTACTACCGGACTTGGCCTTATTATCCAGGGCTATCCAAGATTTACGAATATTGTCAACACATTTCTCTCCTTGCTGCTCAAAGGCCTTCGTCACTATGTCGTTGTACACCCCACATGGAGTAATACCTTGGAATTGGAGAATGGGAGCAGAAGCGGCTAGTGCACTAAAAAAATAGAGATTATTTAATTACCACTTGATCATCTTCGTCGGGCTCGTTGTCTACTTATTTGTAGCTTGTTTAATGTTTGTCAGATGCAATTTAACTACAAGAAACTGTTCTCCATCTTCTGTTCTGAAATCCCGTTTGATTCGTCGCAGTTACAACTTACGCGTCAATGATCCACGGATACTTGATTCGCATCCAGGAGGCTAGCATCCCACCGTACGAACCACCAAACGCGACAACCTTGCTCTGAGCTGTTCCTGGCCAGGTCCTTTTGACGTTTTGCAAAAAATCAGCGAAGTCTGCAAGGGCCTGTTCGACCGTCAGGTAACCGTAATACTTGACTGAGGAAAAAGACTTGCTTCCATATGGCATTGTTTTCCCATAGAAGCGGTGCTCGGCAAAGATCAAAAGAGCCTTAAATTCAGCTGCCCAATCCCACATGAGGCCTGAAAAATTGAACACCCTAAATATATTAATAAAGCTACTGATATGATATTTAGAAAGCGTTCCTTTTTCATGCGCCTTTACACGAAAACGCTGTGATCATATATTGCTACCATAATTATTCGCGAATAAGAGGTGGTTGGCAAGTAGATCGTACCTGTGTTATTGGCGAACATCTCAATATCTCCTTCATTTCCAGTATAGAAGAATATTGGACCAGGTTCACTGATGTTGAAATGTTCTTCATTATACAGAACCCTCATTTTGAAAGTGTCGTTGTTGGCATAACCAAAGTGGTCTACCTGAAGTTAGTTTTCGAAAAAAGAAATTAGCTCACTCAGACCTAATGACACCGTAATAGTTCTTGTATTGAACTAGACTTGAGGGTCGTAGCTACGAAAGTCAAGATAGCGCTAGTTTCAACTATAGGTGCTTGCGTCGTGGCCGGTGGCAATCAAAACGTTCGCACTAGCTATTTAAATTAAGAAGGAAAGCTCATGCGCATAGAGCTATTTTCATAGTCATTGTATTTCATGGCGAGGTTTTAAATATTCATTAGAACTAAAGGCACGTGGTGATACGGTATAAGTTTGACGGAGAGCTTGATTCAGCCGCTTGACGTAATGCTGAACAGTAATACCGAACGCGAAGCATTTACTTAATATAATAACCTAGCATCCAACTGTCATCCAAACGGGTCTCTATGTATTTTTTAGCTTATTTTTACAATTAGCCGTCCGCTTATGGTCGACGAACAGACTGCAAATGGAATGGTGGGCTTCCTTGGATGAGCGTCGAACTTAAAATGAGACAGACGTAAGATTATGTCAGTCCGAACAAACGGGATCTTAATTATGCTGTTGCAATTCGCCGTTAGCTCAGTTGAGAGGGACGTTTTTCATCATTTTGCTTTTTTTTTTTTAAATTAGAGTCACTGTTGAACCCATCGCGTCACCGTTGGAATTTTCCCTCATCGAATACATACTTAGCAATGTGCAGCATGATACAGCAACACAAATCTACGAGTACGATTTTAACAAGCAAAATAAGAGAGACGTAAATCAATTACGTACCTTTGTTTCGAACCATGTCGTATTATAATTGTACCCACGGACAGATGCCAATAATGCCGCAAACAATAGAAGCACCACAAATAGCTTCATTGGTACGGGTTGTTTCACAACTCCGCTTTTGTCCGTTCTATTCTGTACACTCCCTATAATATCGATTGGTGCCGTGCGTGAAAAGATCATTCCGCAACCCGATGTGACTATGGTTACCGATTCGAGTAGATGCAACACTCTGGTACGACTGCCGATGTAGAGAACAGCGACTAGATGCCAATAGATCGAACGAAACGGCCTCAAGTAGGCCGTTAGCCAGTGTGATGAAAACCTTTAGAGAGCAATGGCTGTCATAAATATCAACACTAGAAGCGGTTAATATTGAACGACGTTTTACGTCTTGCGAACGAGAAGGGAGGAGATCTGTAAAAAGGGGCCGTCGAGAAAGTGTGTTGACTTCGCTGATGGCGTAAGTTTGACACGCAGGTTCATATGGAAATACGCCGACACATAGATACGCTTTTGACGGGCTACACCTTTTTCATACATTAGTGAATAGTAGAGCGAGAGGAAGGAAAAGACCTTCGAAGAAATAGCAAAGCCATTGACTATAAGCCACCATTGACACACCCAATTAGATTTCTATATTCTTTTGACGAAAACTTGGAAGCTACGCTCAACTCAGAATGCGTTTATCCTGTGGGCCATCCGTGTAGACAGCCTGTATAGCCTAATCCGCAGCCTAATAAACGAGACGGATTCACAGCTGGTTCACTCTACAGTGGACGGACCGTACCGGTAGGGAAAATGTAAAATTCGCGGATTCATTCGCCTAACGCTATACGTATATTGTGGATGTCGCTTTTGTTACTGAGGAGCTTGTCCGTCTTCATGAAACATTATTGCACTCGGTGAAAAGGATGTTACGCATGAGACAGCCGATAAAATAGCAGAGCAACGACGAAAAACGAGTCTTCGGCCGATTTTGGGCGCAGAAAAACCGATTCATTCATTCAAGGATAACGACCGTCTATTTTTATGTGGGTGCAGAAGGAAATCACGGGACTGACAATCTCATCCAGATCAAGCGCTGAGCAGGAGAAGCAACGTGAACCAAATAGAGCTTGGATTCAGTGTAATAAAATCGCAATTCGGTCACCTGTTAAATGAAACGTTCTATCGCCGTAAATGGCTCATAAATGATATTTACATTAGTCACGCTCAGCTGTACGGTAGAACAATATTAAGAACTCTACCCATTATCAACAATTTAAGCAGTATTTATAATAAACAATGGAACATTAACCGATGTGATTTGTTTGCATGGTAAAATTCCAGGACATCGCATGCACGAGACGATCATTTTGAAAAGACATGCCCACTTGTCTAGGAAATGATTTACGCAACTATTGGCGAAAGTAGATAGATAGATAGATAAATAAAATAGATTAGTTTAGGGAACTATTTTTGAGTGAAACAGATTTACTTGGGGCTTTCGATGCCCCGCAGAGCTTTTAGCAGAAAAGTAAGCGTAGCATTGGTGAAAGTAACTTTCGAGGCTAAGTAATTCAAACATCATATGACTAAATATCTATTAGTACTACCTTTGACCCTAACAGACGTCCTCTTGCCTGAGTAGTACAGCTTACATCAAAGCGATCGCCAATTTTCTCGATTTGATTCAGAATTACTAGGACTAAGGAACTATAATACTGATATGCGACATTATTTAAAACTTCGTTTTGTCGCCTTATTTATTTAACACTTTGTTAGTATATAGTTTCATAGTATATATATTCAAGTCGTACACAGACAAAAGAGCCGCTATTATTATTTTGGCCAAGTTCAGCCTCTGGCCGACTTTTAAATCGATTGAAACGTAAAGCGAAAGTTTAGAATCGTAGTTTTATCATCAGATATTATCATTAGTAAGGGTATTCGAGATAATACCATCTGTTCATCGTTGAAATAGCTCATATAGTAAATTATGTCGTTACGTAAGCTACCCAAGGGGATGGGCTTACCTGTCAACCTGTGTGGTCTGGGTACGAGCCCACGTCAAGGCTATGGTTATGGCCAAGCTTAAGCATAGTTTAGATTAGATCCGTCATTGTTAAAATCTTTTACGTTTTCCGTTACCCAAGCGTAAGTAATCGCTGTCGGTTTATGGAAAATATTCAGAATCTAATGGCCGCCTGTCAGGGTAGTGCGATTAAATCTTTACCGTTACAAGCATAAATTATCCAAACGGCACTTTAATGGCAATATCAGCTAATCGTTGTTTGACTAGGCAGCGGATGAATCAGATATATAACGTGCGGAAAATCTCATCTGTTGCATGTTTTCCAGACTTTCCAGTTGCGCAACGATGTGTCGGTTTAACGTACTTTGCTTTACTGCTGTGGCTATTCTTAGTGGAGTCTCGTTCGCAGAGAAAGTCATCTTAATGGAGGATTACGATCCTGAAAAGGTCTGAGCAGGATCTGGTGAACGGTTAAATTCGACGGTTGCTTTTTTCAAGTATGCTTCTCCTCGACAGGGTTAGGTGGAAACGGCTCCGAGCTAGACGCTAGATGCTGTCAAATGGCAGAACATCTAACAACAATTTTTGCACAAATCCTACCTTCTTGTTACAGCTGTTCATTAAATTAGTATTTTTTTCTTATATTAAATTTAGTATTTTTTAGAGGTATTTACGTGATTAAAGTGTTGACAATAATCGATCTTTCTAAAAAATAATCGACATTTTTAGGTACAAGGCACATGGTACGTCTGGCGAATCAATGCGATGATCTTTGACGAAGTGAAGTGCATTAAATTTGATATGTTGCACGACATTGGAACTGAAGATCTCTACCGGATAAATTCAAAATGGATCAATACTGAGTGAGTTGAGTAACTAAGCAATGCGTGAAATTGCATGGGTTAGGTTTCACAAGTAGAACAGGTCGAGATAGTTTGGATAACTTCAATAAAATAAGCTAGATCATGCTTCTCGACGACTAATTGCGCCATGATCGTATGAAGTTTCGTTGTTTAGGACTAAGCGCCTGCCGGTATTCTATCGACAATCGGCTCGTTCATAGACCTGAGGATCGTAAGCGCTACACTGAGTGCTACGGCTTTTTGCAGGCGTCCTTTACTACCATCTCCCTTAATCTAATGTAGTTATCAGTTAAACTACTGCAGCTTTTACTTACTGTCGGGTATAGAAGAATACTGCTATAGAAGGCTTTTTTTTTTTGAAATATTGGGATACTTTATTTCCATATCGTATCTACATTTATTCGTTGTTGTTGGCGGCAACGCATTTAGAAGCTGCTGGTAAAAAGGTTCAGTTGTATCCTTTATAATGCCTTAGGTTCGTTTAATCACAGTCTCAAAGAAAAATTTGACAAGGAAGTATTGCGTTATGAAATGTCTGTTTTGTTACAGAGGACAATATAAACACACTGAATTCAACGTTCTCGACGATAAGTACCATAAAGCACAGTATTTATTTGAATCTACAGGTGAGTGGTTTGCAGAAATTGTTTAGCGACAGGCACAGTAGCAGCGTTATTGAAACTCACAACTACAATATGGGCGATGATATAGTTCTTTCGAGTACTAACACAGTGGATGTAACGATGGAAAGGCTTAAAAGTAAAGGGCAAATTAGGATATAGTAAGCAGATTGGGTTTTCCCATCGTCACTTTGGAGCTCAAAACAACTTTCCACCAATTCTACTTCTGATATTTAAGCCGTCAGGCAATCACCAGACGGCTGGCTCCTTCTAGCCCGAAAGGAAGTGCGTTGACGTCCGCATTTGAAACAAGACCACCACGTGATCCTAAATTAAATAAGCAAAATCGTTACGACAGGGGCCAAGCGTATAGCATAGATGATATCTAACAGCGCCGTTTGGACGATTAGTGACCTTGCCAGAACAACATAACATCAAAAAGTTCAAGACTTGAATTTGCATTGTAGTCCTTTGCTGGGCCACCTAGACGTCAAACTGACGTATGACCAGAAAACAACCTCGTTTATTCGCTATGACATATATTCTTGTGTTTTTTACACGTTCCATAAGCTGAGTTATAACAGCTACGCATTTCGTACACGTACAGACGAGATTGTAAAGTTAGAAATTACGGCGAATTGTACCTGTTTTTTTTTGCTTACTTCAGCTGATAAGGTGGCTCTGAGCATCATGGGCACTGATTACAGTAAATGGATCGTGGGATATGGAAATAACCTGGGGAAAGGTAATATTTAGGACGGTCAATTCACAAATAACGTACCTCTTATGTACTCAAAAAATAAAACTAAATATCAAATATACATGTGTACATATATATAGAGCAGCCGAATACAGAAAGCATGTCCGCATTTGTGCTTGAAGGATCCATATATAACGATAGTGATGTTGGGCGACTTATAGTACGTATTATGCACGTATCATGATGAGTCGTCCAATTCCAGCGGGTGGTGACAGCTAGTGATATTGACGAGCGGAATGAGTATTTCGTTTGACCAAATGTTAAAAGTAAGGCGCGTTTTCGCCATTTTACCGGCTCGTTTTTATTTTGTATCATAGAATCGTATTTCGTAGCCCTCCGAACCAAGACAGTGCCCGAAGAAGTCAAAGTCCCGATAGAGGAGATTCTCAAGAAGAACGAAATAAATCGGGACTGGCAAATTATCGTCCAGGACGATTGCCCTGAAGAACATTAACGTTATTTATGTTGCGGCGCTCTGGATATCGTAAGCAGACGTTTTTATGTAATGGAATATTGCGACAGGTGTATAGAAGCACCAAATGCTAGTGACGCTCTCCATTACCCTCCTTGTCATATTGTTATTTGCGGCTATTTTGATACTATGAGTAAAAACCTCCACCCTAAAAGGGTGATTGACAAACACTATTGACAAATACCATTGTGACTGAATATACAAACGAGGTGTAATATTAGAAAATTCATTTTTCATTTGATACATATACAAAGGGTAGCCAGAAGCTCCTGCTCCAAGTCCCACAAACGACACAAAAAGCCACTCGATACAACATACATAAAACGAATAAAAGGATAAAATTCAATAATACATTTGAGTGTTGATCGAAAAAAATACAAAGGTGCGTTAAGTTTAGGCTTTTTAGGCTAGCCTGCTTCTTTGCACAGCCTATACTCAAATCTCTCTTTTGGGTGTTGCAGGCACACCCTTCTTGCTGCAGCGTAGGGATTGATTACGTATTTTACAAGATAGGTTTCTACTACAGAATTCAACTTGTGCTATTATGCAGTGTAAGTAGTAATAGCTAAAAAATTTATCTGCCTTTTGTGATGAGTCTGTCGGGTTATACTAAATTAGGATGAACGCTTATGCTAAGCGTATTTGTCTGAGGTCATCGTTGAAATTACACAATTGGTAACTGTTTCTTCGTTTGCTGCAGTAACTATTTTGCTCTTAATACGGCCATCAACAATGCATATGTATGCTAAGGCACAAACGCTGACTAATATGTATATATATATGTGACCTTATATAAAATAGCTAAGTATTCTTTGTTCTCCATTGGACTTCCGCTAAACTTTCGCAGTATATATATATATATATATATATATATATGTCATATTAAACTAACATATAGTATTACAAACCACGCTTGTAGAGTGGTCTTTCAAAAAAACCGTCAAGTTGGTACTTTCATAGTCGAAAAGAAATATTCACGTTTATATGGCTTAAACATCTTGTTGACTGCTGAACTGTAAACATAGGACGATTATTTAAAATTGTCAGACATCACCGATGCTTGTTAGGTTCCAACTGGAGTACTTACAGCCTTGGGTTCGTTCGACAAATTTATTTAACAACATGGAAACAGATGCAAAGCACAACGTTTCAATTGTAGAATGTTGCTGAAAAATACATCTAATTCCTAAATTCAGCACATTTTTTAATGCATCATCATGGCGCAGTCGGAAACACAGGCTCTGCGTTTTCTAGGGTGCAGCTCATGACGCACGTGATAATGGCTGTATCCGTCGGAATTCACGTGGTTCACAAACGAAACGTCTGAAGATTTTTTTTAGACATTAGGTCGCAATGTCTAAAACAACAGAAAAAAAGAGATGCAATGCCTGCCAATCGTGGCTAATCACGAGATTCAAACAGGCCGATCAAGTCGGTCTTAGAAAATGGCTTCTTCATCGTTGGACTTCCTTGATACTGTCTGAATACTAAGCTACAGCCCTTAAAAGCGACAATCTTTGCGCCATTTAGCGCTCAGTCTTGTACGGTTCAAACTTTATTCCTATTTACGGTAAAAGGATTACAATCTACGAATTATTTACGATGGAAAATATCGTTAGATTTATAAGTCAGGTATTCCGCCGCGAAAATATGCTCACAGGAGATGAGTTTCTTTTTTCAGTTGCACAGTTTGATGATCAGCCGGTTTCGTCGAGTCGTAATTTCAGCGGGACAGTGGTTTATCTTTGCAAATGGACGCTTTGTTGTAAACAGTTTCGCCGCAACGACAAAATGGCAAAACCCACCAATCATTCCAAAACAACACGAGGAGCTCCGTAAATATGGATTTGTTTTGTGCAGCTGTCTGACAGAATCAGCTGCATTCAACATATCAATATCTATCTTCCTCTTAAAAAAAATGTTCAATAGAAGTTATAAGAATGATTTCTAGTTGTTCCAATCGCTCGGATGATTTTTTGCCATTTAGCCGTACTCTTTCCTATATATACGTGTATATTTATTTGACAAGGATTTCATCACTAACCAAGGCATATAAGTATATTATATGGAACAAATAACTAGTAGTCTGTTAACTCAATTGGCAATTTGATCAAAATTAATAGATTTCGGATTGCGCAAGATAGGCTGGTATACAAAAAAAAGTTTGTATCTCTTCATCATTTTTCTGTTCCACTTTCTACTGATAACCATAACTGATGAAAAACTCTACGGATAGTTTCCTAACGAACTCATATAGAGTTGCGTGATATGGATATACTAGGTGGTAGAAAATACGTTTTCTATACTTGTTCCACCTCACAACTTTAGTCAATGTCAAAAAAAGTTACGGAAATGCCTCAGGACATCTGTTCCGTGTCTGCTGAGGATTCTTCTAAAGGACGTATGCTTTTCCAAAGATTACTCTACTTGACAAGTGGTTTGAAACGATTTACGACACATTCGAAAGAGTCCAGCGAAGAGCGTTTTTTAAGCGAAACAGAGAGAAAGAGAGCGAGAGAAATTAAGCAGTCTGTCTCGTATAGCTCGTAAAGCAAGCAGCTTTTTGAGCTCGACAATAACAAGTATGGAAAACATTGCGTCTTTTTGGTCAAGTACGAAGCTAAGGTAGCGTTTTGTAAAGCAAAGAAAGAGCTTTCTAGCCGTATATACAGGTAAGTTTTTCGAAGGAGCCATTGATAATGGGAAGCCATTAAAGAAACGGCCACAGCTTCTATGCCGGTTTAGGGTATAGTTATCTATCAAAATAGCGTTTCAGACCTCGCCACACGCACACACACCGACAACAGTCAAAGGCTCTTAGAGGGAGAAGCAAGAAAAGCCCGAGACCCTTAAAAAATAAAGTGTAAATAATACTGCTTAGCAAACGGTCGAAGAGATGTTTATTAGACATGCAAGGAAAAATATATGTATATTTATACAGTCACAGCATAGCTAGATATAGCGCAAAGCACTGCTATTAAACAAAGCTAGCTGCTTCTAAAGCTGAGTAAATTCCACATGGATAGCAAAACGTTCGGATGTTTACTGACTAGAGAAGAATTATCGAACTGAAGATCACTATTAAATATTCCGCTGATCAAAATAGGGGCCTAATTATGATAGCTAGTATACCGAAGCCGTCTACCAGCCAGCTGAGCAAACTCGGAATGGTCAAATAACATAACGGTAACACACAAGAGTTTACAAATTGGATCTAGCATTGTTTGTGGCGAGAAAACATTCAGTAATATTAGGCTGATTCACGAAAGTACAATATATGACTCTGGTTATAAACTTAAAAGTACAACTATTTATAAGGAATTTTATACAGCCTATACATATCAGGTTGAAACTAGTTAAGCAAGAGTCGTACGACATAATTGTTATCCGTTCAAAAATTCGCGGCATCGTAGCCTGGCGCCTTAATCGAATTCAATGCGCGCCATTATAAGACTCGACCTAGAGCACACAGCGACTCAAGCGAATGCCAATGCGTAGCCTTTTTATCTCATTCTTTGAAGTCTAACCGTAGTATTTTTCATTGAAGGTTTTGTTTAAGCGCCTGTGACGATCAGCCGAAACGATAAACGTAGCATAGATGTATCTGTTTATTGTCTGCGGGGGGGAGGGGGGGGGGGGTGCGTCGTACGACCAGGCGTCGGGATCTCCATACTGCCTGTACTGTGCTAATAACAGATAGTCGCCTTTTTCTGCATGAGATTTGTACGAAATGCGTTCATCTTTGCAAATTAGCTGGGTTGCAGATATTTTTGTCCGTCTTTGCACTTCCGCAGAGAAGGAATGGCCTGTAGGAAGGTGCTGCATTGGCACCGAATCAAACACTAAAGCACATCGATTGAATTTGCGTGATCGTACAGATTTATTGACAGCGTCACAAGGCAACACTGTTGCCGTAGAGGGATATTCATCGCGGAGCACTTCCAACTTCCAAATCTTAATCATTTGTGAGGCCCCTGTCTCGGCCCGGTTCAAACATTCCGTTGATGACCATAATGGAGGTAATCGAGGCTGCCAATCTCGAAAAGACGCCTGATATCTGCTCGTCATTGGAGACAGCCTCCGGTTTCATCTCAGCAACTGAAGATGCGCTATCAATACTTTGCTACATTGTTCAAGAGCTCTTTCGCGGTCGAACATTTCTACGCTGTAGCATTTTTCCAGAACTGTAAATAGAAGAACAAGGTTCATACTAATATGAACGCACGACGGCAAAACTCGACCTTATGATTTCACGCCAAGAAGCGATTGTACTCCAGATTGATCCATACCTCCGTTGCCACTGAAGTTTCGTAGTACTAGTTAGTAGATAAGTCCTTCCATAGGGTCGCTTAGGATAGAACACAGTGGCTTAAAGGCAGCCGGTTCAACCTTATTCAACAAGGAGAACTTGAACAATGTCCCAAACTACATTGCCCAAAAAAGGTTATTCAGCGATGAATAAATTAAAATTATATGCAATCGCTCGGATAATCGGAAGCAAAGTGCTGAAATTCCATGTGTATGGTCTACATCTTCTGTTTATTACCACGATTCAATTCAGAATTGCCCATATGCTTGGCAAGTACAGGTTCCGCGTTCTTACGCTACCGCGTTAACACGTGCCTCGGAAAACGCGGTAACGTTGCACTACCTATCTTCATGAAGATAAAGGATCCATAGTAACGTTTACATGCATAGCACCGCTCTATAGCTTGAAGGTTCGTGTCTACAATCCCTGTATTTTGTAGGGAGTCTACCGAGTGATTCGTTTCGTGCACGAAGAAGGTAAACTATTATATGACGAGTACTGATATTTTGGCTCGTGGTTGGTGGTGTTTGCGCGTTCAACGGGTATCTAGTAGCTTTAGTAGTCGAGCGAGTCGGCTTGCTTTCTGACGCAAAGGGGACAACATTGAAGACGTCTGAAACGTAATGCGTGCAGCTTCAATTTCAGGAAAAACCGAGGCAGTTTTATATCGCAAGATTATTGATCAAGTGTAATCTAAGCAAGCTAAACCATGATGGCTTAAGTTTGTGTGTCTTGTCAGATATATATCCTTCGGGACAAGTTTTATAGGTGGTATCTATAATTCAAGAGATTGATAACGTCATAAACAAATCTGGAGGATTTTTCCTTTTCTAATAGAGCGCTTCGCACCTATTACCTAATTTCGACGCAGCCAAGGAGCCATAACCATCAAAGGTAAGTGTGTTTTAAAAATACCTGTCGCCTTCAGTAATAATGACAAAAATGTGTCATTTTATAGATACCTGTCGATACATGGGATAGCACGTGAGGTAATGCATTGGTAATACGTTCATTCAAAGCTCCGTATCATTGTCATCATCATCATCATTCTAGAGTTAGATTATTTCGAAAATTCTACAATTCTACAAGAAATTTTTTTTGGCTCAATAATTCGCCTAATAAAAAAAAAAGCCGTCCTACGTTTAGAATTGACGAATACTGATAAACTGTACGTTTACGTACTTTTAAGGACATAATTTGTCTAAGCCATAACTGGCTTGGCTAGACCGAACTAGTTCCAAATTTTAGAATACCACGGGGAGTTGACAAATTCTATCTTACCAGAGCAATGCAACCGGCAAAGCGTTACAGACTTTCCCGGTTAACTCATCAGAAGTTTCCTGCTAGACAAATGCTTCATTTAGCTCGATAAATAGAGACATTTATTTTACATTTCGACATTTTATATCATCAGTAGTTCCTATACCTTGGTCAAATGTTAGGACCCAGTCTCCGGCGTACGGTACTAATGCATCTAGTACAATGGTAAGTTGAACGCATTGGAACGCCAAGCTTTCAGTTCAGAACGCCAAGAGTTTACGTTGAGGCCTACTCATTAAAAATGGTTATATGCACTGAAACACTGCAGAGAAATGAAGCAAGCTCTTATATTTATGTAGCACCTAGAAGATACCTTCAAAAGCTGCATTAAGAGCTTACAAACAACGTCAAAATCATTAATTTTAACATAACAGTCGGCTACTTAACAACGGAAGGAACTTCTACTTAAGCGAAAATGTGAAGCTGTCGCGTAAGTTGCACCTGTTATTAGATTTCTAAATTTTTAATAAAAAATGCAAATTCTGCTAAATTACGAACAATAGAATTTAGGATGATCCAATTTATTTGCTGGCAAACACCCTCTTTCGTGAACGAAAATCCATTTCATTTTAACTTTCAATAAATGTCAGTGTCCTATCTCCAGCGTCAGCGTTAAACTAAACCGCCGAGATAAAGACGATTCACGAGAGGTGAATTGAAGCTATGTCATGGCGATTTCATCGAAAAATAGGACGTTCGTTACTTTGGCTTCTTTACCTAAACAAGGCCCGCTAAAAATGCCTCGTTTCAAAAATTGCTTTTTATAATCGTTTAAAAAGTCCGATTGTGAAGCTACTTCTAGGTAAATACCGATATTTTTTTATGACAAAAACAGAGGCCATATCAGCTGATACTAGACAAGACGAGTATTTGGTATAACCGTGCTAAGCAAAATCAATTTGAGAAGTTAAGGTTACAGAAACAGGATTACAATTGAGATTTTGATCAGTCTGCAAAAGCGGTTTGTTAGGTCGTGTTACATGCCAAAAGGCCGCAGTCTATCCATCTCACAGTTCGACATAGCGAGATTATCTAGAAGTCCACTAATTGATGTGTTTTATTACCGGTTTATTGATATTGATTACTATTTTAAGTAGATTAGAAAAGGTCGTCAATCAACGAAACGATAATATTGATGTTTGCAGAATGTAGCTATTTTTCCGGACAAGCAAAGATCGAAAAGACCCATTTTCTCTAATGACTATACATATAT